TAAGCCGGGCCGTCGCGGCTTCACGTGTCACATTGTGTCACATGGGTGTGGGTCAAAATTAAACCACCAGGGGAACCGGACCGCCTGTTTTAGTCATGGGGAACCCATTTAGCAGGGCTTGACCCATTTTGGGGTTACCCCATTTTGGACCAGCAGCCACATGACACGCAAGACAAAGAAACGAAGAAACGCACGCGAACGCCGCCGCCCCCGTTTCGAGCCTTGGTGGAATCCTTTGAGCCGGCCTCGCGAGTCGAATCCTTTGAGCCATGGGGACATCGGACCACCCAGCTGACAAGCTAGAATCCTAGCTAGGTCCGGGGGGTAACCAGTATATATATATATATATTTATATTCATGTTTATTATAATACATATATATATATGAGATGTGTACATTCGGGTACTGTCAGTGGCGCAAACTGCTGGTTCAGGCCAGCAAAGCCAGGTGCGATCATTTCCGAGGTGAAGGCAGCGCACAGTCCAAATCCTTGCAAGAACCTTGATGTCCTGTGGTCACGCTCCCATCTGCTACCCACGTCTAGTCCCGTTGCCATGGGACAATTCACAATACATGTGAAACACAAGCCGCATACTGAAATGTAAACTTTCCTGAACTCAGACACTGGCTGCACACAAGGCGGTGATGTCTAGGTAGGTGCTTTAGAAAGGTGCATGCTAATATGTGGATGGTCTCGATATCCAAAAAACCTCACACATTGCATTGCACGGAGATCCCCCCAAGATTTCCTCCAGCCGCACACTCTGCGTTCCAAGCCTAGAACGGACTTGCAAGCTGTGTCTGAAAAACAGGAACTCCACCTGCTTAAAGCTTGATTCCGTGAGCACCATTGAGTTGGCACTCAGGTGACTTCTCAAAACAGGCACCTTCATTTGGACGTTTTCAATTAACGAAGCCAGAAGAAAGCAATGATATTTGGGGGGCCGCTAAGACATACCCCGCCCCATTTCGGGTGCGCAGCTTTTTTCACGCCTGGAGCCGCCCGTCCTTAGAAGTCTCCTCTACGGGCTGTTCAATATTGTTATCTCTTCTTTTTAGGACCCCAAAACGGTGGCTTTTCTTTTGGCTACCCTCCCTCCAACAATCATGGAAGTTGACAGGAGAGCTTTGGAAGACTATTTTCCTTTTGGGGAACCCCTTTGTGCACTTCCATGATTGTTGGAAAGAGGGTACCTTCTTAAAACTGCACAAAACACAATACGGGTATCCGCAAAAAAAAACCGGAGCACCCGTATAGCTATGTGCCGAAGGGATGTGTTCTTGGTAAGGAACACCGCCCCCGGCCTCTTCCAACCTAATGTTCGTTGTCCTGACTGGAAAGCATCCTGAAATCGCCCCCCCCATTTAGAGCTCAACATGGGCAGGCACTTCTCGAAACAGGTTCCTAAACTGTCAGCCCCTCTTTTTATATGTTGCCAGGATGCAACGGAGTCGTGTCAGCCATCTACTACACTTACCTGGCACCATTTTGGTGATGCTCGATTGAAAAAAATAAGAATGGGTGGGCAGGGTCACTCGATTGCAAGTCTCCCAGGACCGTCCAAAGTCTTCACGGAGGTTCAAAGGGACAGGGGCAAAATCCTGCACCACCTAAAAACCATGACAAACCATTGTTTGTTGGTATTTACAGTGGAAGAAGCGATTTTAGGTTTCTTTTGGTGGTGCAGGATTTCGTCCATTCACAGTAGGTGGGGATTCATGTCCGCCAACCTTTTGGATCGATGGTTCCCTTTTGAAATTAACTTAGCCACCTGACGCTCCACAGAACGGGGAGGCAAATTGAAGCCCAAAGCTGAAGCCTCTGCAGTTGTGCTCTGAACTTCACTTGAGATGACGAGAAGTTCCATCAAATGGCAGCTGAGAATCAGTTGAAGCCCTCAACATGCTTGAATCAGTTGAAGCCTTCAACATGCTTGGTTCCATGTTGACTCCTCCTTCAAAAGCAGCCGGTTTTCAGAAAACCCCCTAGTCTTTCAAAGGACAGGGCATTTCTTAGCCTCAAACGAAGAAACCACTGGAGACATTCATTTCACTCTTCCAACCGATGATTTAAGATGGATCTCACTTCCTGAGAGGATTGGCCCAAAACAGCCTGACTTTGTAATTGCCACTCATTTCATGATTAGACTAAGGCCCAGTTATAGAATGTATATTCTATTGTTTGCGTCCCTTTGAGTCACTGGTAAAATGTAAAATGTATCCTAAGTCTACCCAGTTGCCTGCTTGTTGGACTTGTGCAGCAATTCCATGCCTCGGAGATGGCTCTGATGGCCCCATGCCCGAAGCAGAGTTGAGTCTGAAAACGCGCTTCCGGAACGCTGGGTATCCGTTTGATCAGCCCTATGGAACCGCCGAAGATTTGGATCCCGACCAACACATCCGATCCCCGATCGCCCAAAAAGGAGTTTACTTGCTGCTCAGCAGGGACCCCCAGGCAAGTGGAAGATTGTCTCAAGCCAAAGCGCTCCGCCAGTCCAAAGAACCAATTTAAGTAGCTACACCAGTAACCATTTCCTCCGTGAAATGGCAGTCCCGTCTTTGGTAGGATGTTCTCTGGTCTGAGATTCCAAGGGCTACCATGTAAAATGTCATCAGCGCTTGTGCTTCTAGCCCAGAATCAGCATACCTCTTGCACGATTGTTTCCGCACTCGAAACTGCCTTGAAGGGTTTACCGAGTCCCAACCTTGGGAACAGGATGCGACAGGTTTCAAGGGAAGCACCGATAAAACCAGACATTCACTGTCCTGGTTTTGACACACACACACACACCCACATGTACACGGCCACGGATCGCCGGGCTTTGCTTTTCTTCGCGCGAGTACGTGTTTGGTGTACCGAGCCCCTATGGCATGAGAAGGCAAGAGGCTCTGAAAGCAGAATTGGCAAAGCTTGAACACTCTCTGTGACCTTCACAGGCTGCAAATGTGTTCCACTTCCTTTGCTTGTGTACATCTCAATCTTGCTGAGAATTGCCAGCTCATCTTTGAATTTACCTCGAGTGAGCATCGGACAGGGGTCTTTCGGTCTTTCCACTTTCAGAGCCCTTCACTTATGAATATTCTGAGACCTGATTTCCAAAATTGCTTCGAATTCGGGCTTGACATCTCGGCTCGCGACTCCATCAAAAAAAAACACGCAGGCACGAATCTGCCCAAGGTAAATATAGCAAGGCATAAACAGTCACCCTGTGTTTGACTCTGGTACGCCTCGGGCCAGAGTACGCTGCAAACTTGCCCCAGGTTGACGTTTCCGAAATTGGATGATCTTGCAAGGGAAACCAAACAAGTGCCCATCAAACCGGGCCGATCCCTACTTTGCAAGCAACCAAATATGACATTCCAGCGCGCAACATGGCCAACCCTGTCCAAGGAAACCAGCAAACACACACTCGTGGAGACATTTTTCCGGGGTAGGGAGGCCTCTGGACCTGCGTCTCCGAGCTATCTAACTTAGTGTGCTATGTTGGCTCAAATTAATTGCAACTTCCATCCAACTTTGCAAGCTGTCTAATCGTATGTTTCCGGAGAAAAAGATCAAGTGCAGGTTTCAATGGTTCATTGATCAATTAAGCTTTAAAGCTTGCGCAATCATTCAAACCGGTTATGAACGTCATGGGTGAGCGGATCGAACAGTTAGCACCTCCAAAGTCCATAAATCCGTAGTGAATGATAGCCATTCAGCGTGACCGGCTGGCCACGAAGTGACACTTCAGGTTGAGTCAATAAATCCTGCCTTGTGTGGACGTCAGGTATAAGCAAGACTCAAGCGCAGTAGATGCAGCGAGTCCTGTCCACACTTCCTCCCAGATTATTACTATCCAATCTTGCAGAGAAGTGTGGAGAAGGCGACACAATGAACAGGGGGCCGTGATGCACTCAAATGGACTTCCCAACAAGTATAAAAAAGTCCATGAACATACGAAGTGAGACAGAGACAAACACGCAACATACATATCAAACATTGACACCTGCAAATCTCGCCAAGAGGACCTGCCCAAGGGCGCGCAGAAATGTCGCCGGCGGCCCGATCTGTGGACATTGCAAGCCGAACAGGGCACTGCAGAAGGTCCATAACCGCAGGTGTAACCGGCCCTCTTTGAGGTGCCAAACACCTGAAAAATGGCAACGCTCTGGAGCTCGCTGGAAGTCCACGAAAGAGATTTAGATATGTACCCTTTGTTCTCACCGTGTGACGAATCAACAGGCAATGGGCAGTTGAGCATTGATTCATACATGCGCATACATATTACACACAATATCTGCTATACCCTTGATATAATAAGAATACACCCGTGCATGCCTGGGTGCGGGTGGGTGTGGGTGCTCGTGTGTCTCACCCATCCAACTGGCCCATTGCCTGATTGAACACACAAAACATGTTGCGGTAGCATACCAAGCAAAGCCTGCCAATACCTTTGGAGGACAGACCTGGAATCTGAAGTTCGTCTGTGACCTTCCCAATGGCCGCGGTTTTGTGGATTTCGAAGCCTCCAGTCTATCAATTCGATGCACTGAGCGCCGGCAGCCTTTGGTGGAAAGCGGGGATACGAAGCAGAAAACTCGAGACGATCTCTCACGTGTTGCACATGTCAAAACACAGCGAGAAAAACAACCAATCACATTGCAGCCGATTGACCAAGTTGATTGTGCATGATCCACTCGCTTCCGCCAGTCAAAGCTTGTAAACAGAGACTGCCTACTGGCACTGAATGTGCCTCTTTGCAAATATCTACCAGTTCCTGCTGAAATCCGCCTATACCATCTGGATAAGGCCTGCTCCAAGTCTACTTGCAACATGTCCCTAGAGTAGCCACAGCGGGACATTGCATAAGGAGTCGCAATCAAAGCCCGGTATTAAAATGGTCTACCCAGAACCATGCTTCAAGAATTAAGAAGCCGGACATCCACAACTATTTCTGGCTGGGACTGCCCCTTACCTTCATCTACCTGGGTTTTGAGCAAGTCGCTCATATGGAGTTGTCTTCAAAGATCTCAAGGTGTCTCTCTGGAGCGCGCCTAGACAAATGCAAACTTCTTCGAAGGCTCTGCATCTGCACAGTCCGTCCTGGCAAGTCCCACACGGACAAGAGAGAAGCGGGGCATTCATTTTTGGGGATTGGTCACTATCCCCCCCAATAAAATGGTATACAGTATAGTGGTTTCCTGATTGGAGGTTTCCATTCAATCGGAGCAGTCGACTCTTTTGTGATAGGTCGACCTAAGATAGAGACATGCTCGAGGAGTGATGCACAAAAAGGAAGTATTAACCTAAATCGATATGGCCAAGGGTCAAAATTCTGTACCCCTCATGAACATCCCAATCCCCACTAAATTCCCGACTAAAATGGGTGGTGCACCCAATCCCCAAAATGGGATCGCAATGGTTTGACAACCACGGCCATATCCTCCCACAAGCACGAAGTTCCTTCTGGAAAGCTGCTTCGAAAAGGGCGCTTAATTGCTTGGTCTCCTGGAGCACCAAATCGGGGATGGGTGTCTCCCAAAAAGCGTGGCTTTACAGGAACCACAGCCAAGTGGGTGTCTCTAAACCTGTTTTTGGTGGGATTCAAGGGAAAGGGAAACCATTAATTTTGGGGGTTCCCAATATTAAGACCAAGCCAAGCTGGTGTTTGCCCGGCCTCACTTCTCGGAAACCAAGCCCAAGGTCGCCAAGAGGCTCGGCCGCGCTCTGCTGCCTGGCCGCATTCGTGACGTGCCGAGTTGACAACATGGTGACCCTCTTTGGGGAGCCAACGTTCAAAATGGCACTGGATAACACGGAGCGGGTTTGAAAGGGGCTGATTCGGCTCTTGAAACCGGGAGCCTTCTTGTCGAATTTCAAAACGAACACCAGTTGGCTTTTCGGGACCCATGTGTTGAACCGGGAGCCCTCTGGTCGAAACTACAAAACGCAATGCTTTAAACCAACCATTGGACTGGGTGTGGCCAGTTTCGACACGTGCGACAATTCTGCCCAAAGCCAGCCCCCAAGGATTCCTCACTTTGGAGTGGTAAGAGCCGCTCCGCAGATAGCAACTTCACTCACCGGGGCAACTCGGAACTCGGTGCGACTTTGATGATGCCTGAGCTGGACGAAATCCAAAGCTCAGGCCAGGCCGGGAAAAACATGCAACATGTGAATCGACTTCTGGCTGTGGGTCAAAATTAGGTACCCAAAATGGAACCCTGGCAACTGGAAACATGGACTAAAGTCTGCGGTCCCCTGGTGGTTTGATATTGACCCACACCCTTTTGATTCTCACCTGCAAGAGGTTGGCTGCTGCCATCTAGCTACTGTTGCCGCCAAGACAGAAAAGGCAGACCAAGGCTTCGCTCGGACGATTTAACGCCTAAACAACTGAACATGTCCTTTTTATTAGCCTGACCAATTTGTGACACAACGAGTCGAACCCATCTATCCACTTAAGGGCACCACTCATCCAACGCGAATCAAGCCATTTGCAAGGTTCCAAGGTTGGCCTTGACGCATAGCCTCGAGGCGAGCCACTGCAAACTGCTTCTTTCCAGAGATTACCTTTGACCCGTTTTTTCCCCAAAAGTCTAGGGGTTGATTCCCCATTCTTTTTAACCATCGTTCTTTTCAATAGCCGGATTTGTTTCCCCTTGGTTTTGATGGTTTCCTGAAAAGACTCGGATCCCTGGAAAGAATGGAAATGGAAGGTACCCCTAGAATTCTGGGAAAGCCATTGGTGGTTTTCATGGGGAGTTGAATCCTAGTTCTAAATGGGGCGCCTTGTTTGACCGGTTTTTTCACCAACAAGGTGACCCTTTCTTACCTTTGCCCTTTCTCAGCTGCCCGAAGGACCCAGAACTACAAGGTTAACCTTTCGGCACCTCTACTACAAATGGACCAACATGCGGAAGAAAAAGAAAAACGAGAGAATGGAAAATGCGAAAACCAAAAGGTCAGATCCGCTCGCTTCGCTTTGGACTGAGCAAAAAACCTCTGAGCAGCCGAGCTCGACGTCTGTCTCCGTCTGGGGCTCCCGGCGCTTCCTCTCCTCCTCCGCGACCACAGAAAGGCTCGGGGCCAGGCCCTGCGATCGCCAGAAATCGGTCGGACTGTTCAAACGCCGCCTGAGTTCATCGGCCGTTTGTTGGAACATAGATGGGTTTCCCTGGTAAATGGGCCATTAACCCCATCTAAACCAGGAATTGCCCTCTGTTTTTTAAGCAAACCAACCAAAAAGGACACCTGTGCTCCTGAGTTGATAGCCCAAAAAAGGCGTGAACTTTTTGTGCGCCACTGACATGGTCTTCCCAAAAAGTTTGAAGTCCATGAACTCAGGAAGTGAGAAGTGATTTCTGATTCACTCTGTGATACTTTTTGCCTGCAAGGTGGGGAACATTTGCTGAGCAACGTAATACGCCCGCGTGGAAGTCCCAAATTACCAGAGCCAATTAGCTGCTCTGGATTCTGGAGTCTATCGAAGCAAAGAGCTGCCAAGGATTCGAAACATGCCTAATGGCCTTGGCGCATAGCGGTATGTAGAATATATATACGGTGGTGATGGTGGTGTTTGTACTGCAAGTAATAATCATTTTAGTAGTGGTAGTAGAAGTGGTAGTGCTAGTAGTAGTAGTAGTAGTAGTAGTAGTAGTAGTAGTAGTAGTAGTAGTAGTAGTAGTAGTAGAAGAGTTTTGACACAAAGCAAACACCAAAACCACACATCACTGGCTTATCAACCACGGATCTGTTCAATTCTCAGTCGCATCAGCCAGCTATGCTTCATGAAAAGCGCATCCACAATAGCCAATAGTTCATTTAGTATTTGTGCCTGTGGCACGTCTCTAGTACTGCCTGCCCAAGCACTCCGTATCACGAGTCACCACATGTCCGCTTCAAACATACCATTTATCCGGGAAGGTCCTTCTGTACAGAGACGAGCCCCAAACGAGACATGAAACCCAAAGAGCCCCTCTTGCACTGCTCCAACGAGGATGCCATTGAGACCAGGTGGAGGACAGAACGACAAACCACCGGGGTGTATAACGAGACATGATCTCACTCCAGGAGCAAAGCATTTGCAAAAAAATGGCAAAGACCTCTCAGACGGCCATTGACGCAAGGACGACATAACAACATAAAACCACCTCCCCAAGTGCAGGGGGGTTGTAAAGAGACATGATCAAATCATTTCCAAAGACCCACCCCAGACCCGACGGCGTTGGCTTGGGCTTGCCGTAAGGCCAAAACTGCCTTCACATGATGCCAACCAACCAATATGTCGGCGCCTCCATGCTGGCGCTGCCGGAGCCATCACCGCGGCTCTGGCCCTGGGACAAACGCAGACGATTGAACCAGGAAAAACCGGCGAAAACGGCAAGCACTGCAAGGGAATCCGTTTCTCTCTCTGTGACACAAAAGTTGCTGGAGATGAAGTCTCAAGTTTCCCTTCATGTTGATTCATTCCCGCATGATCAAAGGCAAAAAACACCTTGCGAATGACAAAGGGCAGCCCTGACGAACCAAGGGTCAACTTTGATACATTGAGTTGAACCCTGTGTCTTGCTCGGCAATCCAGGCCGGTCAGCGGAACTTCAATCTCTGGGATTCACATCAGCTACACATTTCCTGTGATGTCGCAATGCCACTTGGCACCAACCGCAACCAGAAGTTTGAGGAGTCAAACAATATGAAGTGTTGCAGAACAGGCTTGCAAACAACAATTTAGACAAGCTCCAGTTCACCCAGAATCATCTATGCAGCATTCGCCTTCCATGAGTTCCATGATTGCCCAGGGAGGCGCCAAATTTGGGTGGCGAGGCCTGAACCATGGCCATGTTTCGGGGAACGGACTCACCTGTCAGCCAGGTGGAAACGAGCTACACGGGAAGGGGAGGGAGTATGTTTCAGCCGCTCTCACTAAACACAGGCTTCACGGGACATAAAACCCCTCCTAAATGATGTCACCACATGATTAGAGTTTGGCCCAGTTATAGAATGTATATCTTATTGTTTGCTTCACTTTAAGTCACTGATAAAATATGATAAAATGTAAAATGTATCCTAAGTCTACCCCAGACAAGAGGGCAACGGCACCGGAGTCACAGGTCTTTTGATCCCGCCTGCAGCTTCACAGGCACGCGGCTCTGCATGCTCTGCACTGGCGTGAGCCTTTGCGCCTGCCTGGCTTGCCAGCTGAACCTCGGGAGCTTCCGAAACCAAAACTCTGCAGCTCGAGTTGGTGATTGGGTGTGGCTCAAAATTAAACGATCGGAGGGGCAAACCGCAGGTTTTGGTCGTTTCCACTTGCCAGGGCAACCCATTTTGGAATTCCGGTTTTTTGAGCCACATGCATTTGGAGCCCGGTGATGTGGAGTGGTGTTCGCGGTTTCTCATTTGCCCTTCACAAGAACCAAGGCTTCAGAGAAACCAAAACTTGTTCAGCTTCCGTCGAATTGGAATGATTTCTTGGTTGACGGAAGGGGAGCAAACATTCAAAGCTTAGAAGTTCAGTGGTTGGATTTTCAATCCCACTAAACCACAATAAGCAAAAATAAGCAACATGTTTCCCAACAACCATGATTTAGAGCCCGATGGTTTGGGTAGTTTCCCATTTACCCTTAGAACCAAGGGGTCAAAGCCCAGCGACCCAAATCAGCAATTGAGGGATACTCGAATTCCGCGCGACTGAATTCTGATGGGTCCGGGATTCCGGGGAAAGAGTTTGGAACGGGAAACAAGCCAAGCGGATGGATAAACAGGTTGGGGAGGTGGGAAAGCTGGAGGGCAAGTGTGATGCGGTGGCTTGTCCCTGTGGTGTGACATAAAAAGGAGGATAGTGAACTAGCGCGGCCATCACTGCCTAGAGAAAGCTGAACCAGGATGCTGCAAGGGTAAGTACAAGTTAAATCGAATTATCAACGTTGAAGCCGTTGCAGGTTTAGGGGTTTATGGGGGATCAAACCGGTTAACCCCATGAAGTACAGTCGATAGCCGCATGCGATTTGTTCAGATGGCTCCGAGCCAGGGGTTTGAGCCGTAAAGCAGTGCAGAATGAAAGCAAGTGATTGGGCTGCCGAGAGGTCGCCAGTTTTGCTTCTCTGTGGTTGTCTTGGGGCTTGACCTGCTGGGCCGCACAAATGAGAAGCTAGGCAGGTATGAATTTAGATAGGTAGTGACAGTGAATGAAAAAGAATAATGAATCACATACCATGACATGGCGGATATACAATGTTGTTGTATACTCCATGTTGGGTTGGGTAGAGTAATTGTTCTAAGGGGTTGACTGCCCATTCTTTTCAACCATCGGTCTTTTCAAAAAGCAGCTGTTTCCCCTGGGTGTTTGATGGTGTTTCCTGAAAATAAGGATCCCTGGAAAGAATGAGGAAAGTACCACTAGAATTCTAGTGGTAATCCAGAAGTTTGCGCAGTTTTTATTTGCCAATCCGCCCGGCAACCTTCCACACCTTTCAATCCCTTAGAATTCTTTTAAAACACCAGCTGTTTCCCCTGGGTGTTTGATGGTTTGCTGAAAAGAAGGATCCCTAAAAAGAATGGGGATCCCCTGGTATATATACCAGAAGTTTGATCAGTTTGTATTTGCCAATCCGCGCGGCAACCTTCCACACCTTTCAATCCGCTAGAAATCTTTTCAAACACCAGCTGTTTCTGCTGGGTGTTTGATGGTTTCGTGAAAAGAAGGATCCCTGGAAGAATGGGGATCCCCTGGTATACCAGAATTTGATCGGTGCTTATTTGCCAATCCGCGCGGCAAATTCCACACCTTTCAATCCCCTCGAATTCGTTTAAAACACCAGCTGTTTCTGCTGGATGTTTGATGGTTTCCTGAAAAGAAGGATCCCTGGAAAGCATGGAAATCCCCTGGTATACCAGAAGCTTGATCAGTTTGTATTTGCCAATCCGCCCGGCAAATTCCACACCTTTCAATCCCCTAGAGTTCTTTTCAAACACCAGCTGTTTCTGCTGGGTGTTTGATGGTTTGCTGAAAAGAAGGATCCCTGGAAAGAATGGGGATCCCCGGTATACCAGAAGTTTGATCAGTTTATATTTGCCAATCCGCGCGGCAACCTTCCACACCTTTCAATCCCCTAGAATTCTTTTCAATCACCAGCTGTGTCTGCTGGGTGTTTGATGGTTTGCTGAAAGGAATGATCTCTGGAAAAAATGGGGATCCCCTGGTATACCAGAAGTTTGATCAGTTGTTATTTGCCAATCCGCCCGGCAACCTTGCACGCTTTTCAATCCCCTAGAATTATTTTCAACCATCAGCTGTTTCTGCTGGGTGTGTGATGGTTTCCTGAAAAGAAGGATTCCTGGAAAGCATGGGGATCCCCTGGTATACCAGAAGTTTGATCAGTTTATATCTGCCAATCCGCCCGGCAACCTTCCACACCTTTCAATTTCCAAGAATTATTTTCAAACACCTGCTGTTTCTGCTGTGTGTTTGATGGTTTCCTGAAAAGAAGGATACCTGGAAAGAGTGGGGATCCCCCGGTACACCAGAAGCTTTTGATCAGTTTTTGTTCGCCAATCCGCCCCACAACCTTCCACACCTTTCATCCATAGTTGTCCATTGATACCCTAGATTTTTTTCAACCACCAGCTGTTTCTGAGGACCAACGAGGACATTGCTGCGGCAACGAGGCTCTCCGACTGCGCGGCCGTTGCTTGGAGTAACCCGAGGGCCCGGCCGCAGGACCCAGGCCAGCCACAGTCCAATCCTCAGATCTGGACGACTAAGCGGGGGCCTCCAAAATGGCTGTGGCTCAACAGATGGAATCCCCAAAATGGTGCTTTGGTATATGGAAATTACACCAGCCTCGACCCCAAACAGCAAAAAAACATAGCCCAAAACAAGGCTTGTCTCCTTCATCTAAGGTGCGAACTTGTGTAGCTTATGTGAGCAACACATAGTTACAATCAGTCCATGTATGTCCCTGCAGAAAATCCCCTTTTTTGGGAAGAGGACACATCGGGTACATCCATCTCGTTGAGGCCGGGTAAAAGCATCGATGTTGTTCATCGACTTCGAGGACAAAATTCTATGTCAACGCCATGTTCGAGAGTGAAGGCCCCGGGGATTCGCGGTGAATCAACCTAACACCTGGCACTAATCAACTGAAGTTTCGAAGGAACTTGCGTAGTACGGACACTCAATGCACTTTTCCATCACCGCAGCATTTGGTGGCCGTCTCGCTACTCTGCTGAAACTTGCGCATCAGTCTCAGCAGCCTGCGGCCGAGACTGGACACATGTGACTTCTGGTTGCTATCTTCTTCTCGAGCTCGGCTAAAGGTCTTGCCACAAGCAAAGCAAGAGAGCACTTGCATAAACTTGCAGACTGCGCCTTGTAGCGTTGCGGCCGGGACATCCTTGCCTAGCAACGCAGACACACGCCGCGCCAAATTAGCAAGCGTCAGCAAAGGTGCCCGTTTGGCGCGCACCTCTGTCACCCGGCGCAGCTCCAGAAAATCCTCAGTGTTGATTGCAAGAATGAAATGGAATTGCTCGAATTTCCAAAAATACTCACTGTGGGAGGCTAGCACAAGGGCCATGCAATACAGCTCACGTTGACCCTTTGGTTTTCCATGGGTCCAGAGACTGTAGGGAAGCTAGTGCCGCAGAGAATGGCACCTTACGACGTCCCGCCATGAAAACCCTTGAGCCCTCGCACTTGCAAGCCCTGGGCACTTTCGGACACCTGCAAAACAGCAGCGTCCATATTGCGGAATATGTGAGAAATCTGTTTTCAACCCTTCTGTCAGGAGGCAACGAAATACGTCAAAGCTGCGACCTTGCCATCACGAAGGTGTGAAATGCTTCAGCAAAATGCGTTTGTCAGTGGGACTGGATTATATAGGTTGCAATGAGGAAAAAGCGTCGCAGGACCAGCTAAAAGACTGGATATGATTTTGGCCGGGCGACATGGCTATCCAACTGAGAAGGGGCTAAATACTGGCAACAAGATGGGAGGCAAGGTTTACAACAGCACTGCCAACAAGAAAGGGTGCTCGAACTACAGTGATGCTACCAAGAGGAGACTAGAAGATGGGTGGCCCGAAAGCATGAGCCAAGTAATCCTAGCAAGTTCTCTGCGCAAGCTCCTCTGAGCAAGTTGTTGGCGCGAGTTGCTTTGAGCAAGTTCTCCAAGCAAGTTCTTGGCACAAATTATTTGAGCAAGTTCTCTCAGCAAGTTTCTCTGAACAAGTTTCAATGAGCAAGTTGTCTGAGCAAGCTCTCCGCGCGCAGCGCTTGCCGCTGCAACTTCTAGCGCCACTTGCTGGTGCTACTTGCTAGTGCCACTGGCTAGCGCTACTGGCTCGTGCATCTCGCTAGCGCTATCTTGCTCGTGCTACTGGCTTGCGCCATTTTGCTAGTGGCATCTTGCCAGTGCAACTCGCTAGTGCTAGGTCTTTCCTGCAGCGCCGCTTCATACGATTTTGGCTTAGACGGTGGCTGCCCCGCACAAGCCCTCTGGCCACTTGGCCGGGCTGGGCTGCTGATGCGCCACAAGGATGCAAACCAGTCAGTTACGGCCACTTAGCTGGGCTCTGCTGATGCGCCAGAAGGATGCAAACCTGCACTTGACCAAGAAGCGGCACTGGCTTCCAAAAAGCAGCTCAGTATCCTGAGCAAAGCAATCAGCCGGATGTCCCAGAATATTTGTTTGTCGAGAACACAGACACATTTGAGGCTCGACAGGGCTCTGCTGATGCGCCGCACAAGGATGCAAACTTGCACTTGACCAAGAAGTGCGGCACTGGCTTCCAAAAAGCAGCTCAGAATCGTGAGCAAAGCAATCAGGCGGATGTATTCTTGGCTACCGAGAACAAAATGGACACATTTAAGGCTCGACAGGGCTCTGCTGGTGCGCCACAAGGATGCAAACCTGCGCTTGACCAAGAAGTGCGGCGCTGGCTTCCACAAAGCAGCTCAGTATCAGCCGGATGTCACGGTAGTTGTTCAGCTGATGCGCCACAAGGCTGCAAAACCTGCACTTGACCAAGCATTTAAGGCTCGACAGAGCTCAGCTGTGCGGGACTGGCTTCCAAAAAGCAATCAGCCGGATGTCACTATATATTTGTTTTTTATCGAGAGAAACATAGACAAGGATGCAAACCTGCACTTGACCAAGAAGTGCGACACTGGCTTCTAAAAAGCAGCTCAGTTTCCTGAGCAAAGCAATCAGCCGGATGTCACGATTTGTTTGTTTAACGACAAACAATTAAGGCTCGACATTGCTTGTTTCTATCCCCAACGATGCTCCACAAGGATGCAAACCTGCGCTTGGCCAAGAGAGAGGCACATCCTTTGCACGCAGGCTAGCAGCAAAATCTGCGACATGCCCTTTCCCCGTTGCGAAACATTGTTGCAAGTGGTTCCTGCTGACTTGTCGAATCTATGTTTCTAGCTTGATGCTTCTCAATTGCGCTTGCGAGCTGCTGCCACGTGAGCCGAAGGGAGCCGAAGGGAGCCGAAGGGAGCCGAAGGGAGCCGAACGCCGGTTACTGGATGTCAAGCAAGAAACAGGTTCAGTTAGTTTTGCCCGGGAACTTCATTTTTCCTGTTGAGGGCTGTAAGCAGGAAAACAGCCAGCTGGCAGCAACTGCAGAGACTGGGAGACACAGGGAGACAAGTCGCAGCACCTGGCATCTGACCGCAGAGACTGGGGAAGACAGACAAGCGGGAGACATGGCTTTTGACCGCAGAGACTGCGAGACACAGGGAGACAAGCGGGAAACACGTCCCGGCAGACACGCAGCTGGCGTCACCGCAGGGCCAGCGTCACAGCATCTCGCATCCCCCGGAGCCAGCGTCACAGCATCTGGCATCCGACCGCAGAGACTGGGAGGGAGACACGACCCCGGAGCCAGCGTCACGAAAAACGGGAGATGGGAGACACAGGGAGACAAGCGGGAGACACAACAGCCAGCGGGAGACACAACAGTGTCACAGCATCTGGCATCTGACCGCGGAGACACGTCACAGCAGCTAGCATCCGACCGCAGAGACTGGGAGACACAGGGAGACAAGCAGGAGACACGACCCCGGAGCCAGCGTCACAGCATCTGGCATCCGACTGCAGAGACTGGGAGACAAGCGGGAGACACGACCCCGGAGCCAGCGTCACGAAAAACGGGAGATGGGAGACACAGGGAGACAAGCGGGAGACACAACCCCGGAGCCAGCGTCACAGCATCTGGCATCCAGACACAGGGAGACAAGCACGAGACACGACCCCGGAGCCCGCGTCACAGCATCTGGCATCTGACCGCAGAGACTCACAGGGAGACAAGCGGGAGACACGACCCTGGAGCCAGCGTCACAGCATCTGGCATCTGACCGGAGAGACTGGGAGACAGGAAGACAAGCGGAAAACAGGACCCCGGAATCGGCGTCACACTTTCCTATTCTCTATGCCTCAAGTTAGAACCCCAATGCTTCGCTGTTTGGGGAATAAAGAACACCTGCGTATCCCCAGCTGTTAAATTTGAGCCACACCCGAAATGGATAGTTTGTCTTTTGGAGTCACTTCAGAAACATACAAGATAATGTAGACACTCAAAAAAATACAGACCCAAACATCTTCCCTGAACCAAGCGAGCGCGCGGGCTGGGACCGAAAACCATTGCATCCAAAGGGTCAGCGCGCAGCAGCAGTAGTGCTCGATGTCTGCCAGCATGGTTTCGCCCTCAAAGGCCTGCCCGACACAAGAGCAAGCTCCCCAGAAATCATGCAAAAGAAAGGGCTCTGGATTTCCCCTAAGGTCAAAGGACGCATTGAGAAAGGATGTGGGGCACACACAAGCACACACACACAATCACTCACACACACACAATCACTCACACACACACACACAATCACTCACACACACACAATCACTCACACACACAATCACTCACACACACACACACACCAGACGCACACACAGACACACATACCACACACCCACACCCACACCCACACCCACACCCACACCCACACCCACCCACACACACACACACGCATCTGCGCAAGCACGCACCTTTCTTTCTGTTGCTGTTGCCTCCTCAGCTTGCAATTCAACATGCATCTTCAGCTTTAGCAAACTGCGCTGCAAATGCTTTCATTTCTCACAAGACTCGGTACCTGGACAATTTGCGAAGAAGTTCTCATGAATGGGTTAACACGATTCTGCGATTTCTCGTGATTTCTGTGTTCAAAACTTCGGGGGGGCCACCGGTCTGAGCTCACAGCAAAGCCAACCCTCAAGGAAAAATTAAGCTACACGATCGCAAAGCAACACGGCCGATGTTTCCGTGCAGTGGTGTGCTTTGTTCGCGAGGGTTTAGTGGGAAAGTAAAGGTTTAGAATTTGTTTGGCCCAGCCACAGGAAGTGAGTCAATGGAAAAGCCATTTCTTTCCATAAGGAAGGCGTGATACGGTCGCACCAAAGGCCAGCCATGAGACTAAAGTCCAGAAACTCCAACAAGTGAAGCCTACCAGAGGTGAGCAACCTTTTACGCGGGGTGCCCAAGGCACATAGGCCCCCCTGCCTGCACGCTGAAGGAGTCGCAGGGCTTCAACCAGTGCGGCAGGTTGGAGATGAAGGAGGCCGCCATACCTTGGATCAAACGGAAAGCACCGCGGGAAAGCCTAGGTGGGCCTGAAAACCAAGAAGCACACACACCAAAGGCTTGGCTTGTGGCTGCTTCTTGGAGGAAAAACCTCACCTCCGCGGGCTTTTGGCGGTTGCTTCTCGTTTTTTTGGGGGGGGCGCTGGCCTCCGCGAGACTTTGGTGGTTGCTGGTTGGAGGGAAAAAGTGACCCCAAAGGAAAGCAAGGCGCTGGGACTGAGGTATCTACCAAGTACCCCGACTTCACCAAGCAAGCAAGCAAGCAAGCAAGCAAGCAGGCAGGCAGGCAGGCAGGCAGGCAGGCAAGCAAAAAGCACGCAAGAAGCCCGCAAACAACAACCAACAAAAAAAACAACCAACCAAACGAACAAACAAACAAAGTCGCAACATTGCAAATTCAACCAACCGAGCAGCCTAACAAATAATTACGACGCAACAACCCAATGAACTGGCACAAACAAAAAAAGCAAACACGCAATCAAACAAACACAAAAGCAAACAAACAAATAAAGCAATCTAAAAGGAAAACAAAGACCGCAGTCAAACAAACAGACCAACTAACCAACAAACAAACACACAAGCAAGCGAAGAAACAAACACACAAACAAACAAACACACAAGCAAATGCACGCACAAAGCGGAAAGGCAACAAAAGAAAGTCATCAACAAAACCAGCAAACCAACACCAACCAAAAAAGAACAACAGGACACAAACAACCAAGCAAACTAAGCAAACCAACCAACCAAACAAACAAACAGACAAACAACGAACAAACAAACAAACAAACAAACAAACAAACAAATCAAGAAACACGGAAACAAAGAAACAAAGAAACAAAGAAACACACAAACAAACAAACAAACAAACAAACAAACAAACAACCACACAACAAAAGCCATGCCATGACATCCACCCTCTACATCCTCGACGCCAGGGCCAAGGCAAGAGATTTGAAGAGCCCTTTTGAGGAGCCAGGCTGCAGGTCTGGGACAAGCTGGTTGCTTTGTATAGACACTGCATATTCATCCAATGAATCCTGGTTTGCCGGTCCCTAAAGGCAGCCGAACGACCAACCGCAAACTGCGCTGTAGTACGCGTACTTTGAGTTAACAAATCGTTCATGGGTTCGCTGTCACTCTTGGTCATTCTCGCCATATCAGGACGCAATTTCATGATATGTTCACTCGCTCAGTATTGGCGAATGTCCCTTCCATCCTCATTGTGACGTGCATTAATGGGTATTTGCTTGGGCGACTTGTGATGCTCCTGTGCTTGTGTACTTTGAGACTTCGAATTGTCGTCCCCAGCAGACTGGAAGCTTTTTGGAATGCTGACAACCGATGATCAGCAGTGCCTCTCCAAACCTTCTGATTCCAATGATCAAACAAATTCTGGCCTAGATCGGATCCTGTTGATCATGTCACATGTACCATTAAGAATCTTGTTCGCATCGGTGCTGTTTGGTCCATGTGCCAAACAATGCCTGGACAAGAGCCTACCACGTAGCCGGCGCCAAAGCTGGACGACATCGGGCTCATGCTTGCTGTTGGCAGGTCAAGTCAGTGGTCCTATCTGGGGCTGAGCTGCATCCCATGACGATCACCAGGAAGAGCATCTGACAGGCCGTGGCAAATGCGTCGAACCTCAGCCGTGCTCTACGGTGGTACGCGCCGGTGTCATGGTCTCGCCCGAAAAGGGGCGAACAAAAACCCGGGACCTTGGTTGGAACGCAAAACATTGCAGGGCTTCTCTTTTGACTCGATTCCTGGGTGCTTTGACCAGGGCCTGCAGGGCAATTCAAGCACCGATAGCAAGAAGCACCCCTTGCTTGCCCAGTGGTCAGGGGAAAAGGAGCAACATGATTAGACCAAGGCCCTTAGAATGTATATTCTATTGCTTGCGTCCCTTTGACTGGTAAAATGTAACAAATGTATCCTAAGTCTACCCCAGGCAGCACTTTGCTTCTTTGGTCCCAAACAAATCGCCCACCTTGCCCAGTAGTCTTTGAGGCTTACGAACCCCGCACGATTTCTCGTTCGGCAAAGCTCCCATTCGCAAGGACTCAAGCTCAATCTTCGTAGCTCATGTTTCCTGCTGGAGACTGCGTAATCTCTTGTAATCATCCGAAAATCAGGGAGCAACACTTCTCACTCTCACTGAACAGGCAGGCACACTTGTTCGGGCGTTGCTGACATTAGGTCAGGTGCCAAAAGGGGTCTGAAAAACCAACATTCCGTGCCCTTGCGGCTCTCTTTTAAGAGAATCACACCGTACACGAGTGTTCAGCACATGAAATACACTTGCGACTTGTCCATACGAGACCAAATGTCGTGCCATCCTAGTCGTGCCATCCTACAAAACTCAGCCAACTGTCTCGTCAACAGACTTCCTCGAGTAAATACAGAGGATGCTTCCGGCAGCAACCCTCAAAGGAAACGCCACGTTTCGAAGCCATCTCTCTTGGGATTATGAGGGTTGTGCGCCGCGCCTGCCAATATTTGCCCATTTCCCCAGTGGATGGCCCAAAAGCACTTTTAACTTATGTATTACCACCAACATGGTCTTCCCAAAAACTATAAAGTCCAGGAACTCAGGAAGCGAGTTTGCGCTTTTTGCGATTTTCGCGCTTGGTCGTGTAGTCTTTTGCAGCAAGTCAACAGAAGGAATTCTGTTTCGCCATGCCTGGCAGATGCCGAGATGCTTCGTTGAGTAGCCCACTCTCGGCCTAAAGCACGACAGGACCCACGACTCTTGAACCTCACAAAGGCAAGCATGCAACAGTTTCTCGGTTGCTTGCTGCTCCCCTCTGCTAAAAGTTTAACTTTTAGTGGTTTAATGGAAAACGCATTAGTTGGCAAGCAGTTAAAGTCCTAACATCCAAGCAAAATGCACCTCTGAGTTGATGGTTCTTCCCAATGTTGTTGCACTGCTCCCACTTGGTCCTGAGGTCCTGAGGTCCTGTCTATTCGTGTCAAGTGTCTTTGGGCCCGAAACAATTCTGTTGTGTATGTTCATTTTCACGCTATCAATCAGTCAGAGGGCTAGGATTGTCTGACAGTTGCTCTTGAAAGACTTATTACAATTGTTGCTCGAGCTGCTGCGCCGTTCTGCAACGAGCCACAAGGTAATTTGGCCCTGTCCCAGGAGGAGCCTCGACCTTATTTGAGGTCGGCCAGAATCCATCAGGACGAGAAAGAAGCCAGTGCTGTCACGAAAGTTCCGTCATAAAAAGAACAACACCAAAAACACCAACAACAACAACACCACCACCACCACCACCACCACCACCACCACCACCACCAACAACAACAACAACAACAACAACAACAACAACAACAACAACAACAACAACAACAACAACAACAACAACAACAACAACAACAACAACAACAACAACAACAACAACAACAACAATGTGATCAAGCATTTAGACAATGGTACGCAAAGACTAAGTCTGATCCCAATGAAGAACACAATGAAGAAGAGCACATTGCTTGGCCATCCCCAGTCGTGGTCGCTACTCCGCGTTTTTGTTTGAATGAAAATGTCTCCAGCGTTCCAAGATTGCCAAGATTCGCATGTTTTCAGCCTCTTGTCCTTGACATCCTCTTCAGGGCTATGTCCTGACTACGTCCCAAGCTTCGCGTTGCTCCGGCAAACCTGGAGCTCAGGTCTCTGCACTTCCTGGGTTCAACAGCGATCCAACCAGCAAATCCTTGGGATCCTGAGAAAGCTCTCAACGGTCAAACTGTGGGCCGGTTACCTCGCAACCTATCAGTGCTTTAGACACTCTGGGATCCAATGGCAACTTCTTGTTTCGAGCCCCACTTCACCCTTTGCGCTCGGAAGCTCCAATCCTGAGGTCGCCGCAGCTTTGCTTGGGCCGACATCTTGAAGATGACAATCAGCGGGAAGATGCCGAGGAAGACCTGATGTCGAACTGGTGGCAGTGTGCCCCCACCCCCCCCCCCGGTAGTGCCAAAAGCAACTGTCCGAAGCGGATGCTTCCAAGTTTGATTTCCAAGCATGTGCAAGCCTATTTGAGTATGCCACAAACAGGGCGTTCAAAAGCAAACAAATCGCGCCCGCCACAAACAGGGAACCCATGTTAGAAACGAGTCCTATTTGGCCATGGGTCAATGACCTATGCCTCCATTTTGGGGCGGATGAACACCCATGTACCACCTATTTTGATGTTCACCAAGGGTTTCCTGGGTTTTGACCCACAGCCATTTCTTCAGCCCACCCCAGATCCGCCTCCGCTCGCTCCCAGAAAAGGCTCACATGCACCTGGCGCCGGAGAGCTCCCATGCACCGCGGCCCCAAACGAAGGGGCATGATGCGGTTTTTGTCGCTGAGCTTCCATTTGCTTAAGCCATGAAAACAAAAACAAAAAACATACTTCCAGTGGCCATAATTTCCCTTTAAAGCCGACAAGGGAATGTAATAAACATACTCTTAAGCAAGTGGAAGTAAAGCGACCCCTCTCCCTCGAAAACTCCAAGCTTTAGAGCACATATCGGATCGTCACTTCCTGAGTGGGCCAAGAAAGGTATTAAACTTTGTGATACAACTATGGGGGTGTGGGGGTGTGGGGGTGTGGGGGTGTGGGGGTGTGGGGGTGTGGGGGTGTGGGGGTGTGGGGGGGTGGGGGTGTGGGGGTGTGGCGCTCAAACGCAAAAACCCGGCCGTGTAGATGGCAAAAGCAATGGACGAGATCAGGCCGAGCATCAGCATGATATTGACAACCTTGGGCCAAAAGCTGGCACGATCTCGTTCGCTCTCTCTCTCTCTCCCTCTCTCTGTGGCCAGTGGGCCCATCTCTAGTATAGGGGAGCTACAATGATTGGTTCCATGGTGATTGGCTTTTTGCACCAAACAGGCATATCACTCTCGAAGGATTCAAGCGAGGTCCCTTAAAGGATCAGACCTTTGCTGGGGAGCATGTTCATTCAAGGGCGCTGATCACCATGGTCCCCGCGCTTCCTGCAGGCGAGCAAGAAAAATCAGAACTAGGTCCAGTTCGCCGAGAATAGAATCAGGGTACCCTTTTCTCTGTCTATTTTAGTAGGTGAACCCTCCCAACCAAAAAAGGAAACGGTGAGAAAGGGCACCTAGCTGGGAGACCTAGGCAACCTACCAACCACAACTGAAACCGGCGTACGCCTCTGCGCTTGTCAAGGGATGTGTATCTTGCAGGCCGTGGATCTCCAAACAAGCAGAGGCTGCAGCTGACAAGCGAGAAGACGAATGCACGGCTTCCAAACCGGGTCTTCTCATCATTCAGAAAAGGAGGGATCACATGTCACAACACCAGTGATTGTCCCGGTTGCCTGGAAACATGTGGGAACCTTTCCTCTAGGTCCTTTTTGGATTGATGGTTTGAAGCACGGTAATGGCTTCTCTGTTCGTTTCAACCGGAAGGGCAAGCTGTGGGGTGCCTGAATCCTGAATCTTGAAGAATGTCATGATTGAAGTGTTGTGCAATCATGATTGGTCCGAAAAAGTCCACACTTTTTGCTTACCACTGAAATGGTCTACCCAAAAAGAGTAAAGTCCAGGAATTCAGGAAGTGAGTGATAACACATTGCGAACAACACTTGATCATCCCCTCTGTCATCCCTCTTCTCACTGAGCGCACACAGTGTCTAACGGCTTGATAGAAGCAACATGCAACGAAAGCTCGTGATACACGAATCTTGGGCCAAACTGTGGGATAGCACCGTAAACTCAGTAAACACGACTCATCCAGTTGCCACTGGTGTACCCAAAGCAAGATGCGTAAACAGACGACCAAAGGACAAAACGACCGCTGGGATTTCAACTGGACCCCGTTTGGGAACAGTCAGCCTTCAGCACCCAAAAGGTCCGGACTGAGCGACTAAATTTTCGAATTCGCTCTGGGCATGAGAAGCTGAGTATCCTTGTTGCTGATGCTGCTCGAAAGATCAAAGTACCCAAATGAGTACGACTGTTAGCGACATGGGACATCCAAGGGCTGGCTTCGTGATTCATGTGTGTTCCGGTTTTCAAGCTGTCCCCTGAAAGAGTGCGCCTGTTTCAAACGAAAGGGATTAGGCCAACCACCTGCAGTTTCAAGTTGTTAGTGGTTACACACCCCGATCTAAGTTCTAAAAAGCAACAGTCTGATTCTCTCAGATTTCCAGTAGATGTCCGTGCAAAACAAAGGATGCATCTTTCTTGGCTTGGTTGAGCTTACACTGGAACCCTTCCCAAAACAGGGATCCTTACATTATACACCTGAACATTGCCTTGTAAATGGTGGTTTCCCTTTATTTTGGTGGAAAAAGCCATGTTTCAAATGGTTGCAAAATGTATCTTTTAAGGAGCCCTGCAAAAGAAAGCTTAAACAAGGAAAGGCTGGAAGCCACTGGTCGCAACGGATGGCTTCACAGAGCCCAACCTCAGAACCTCGAGCGCGGGGCATAGTAGCGCGAGGCTCTGCGGATCAGCAACCCGCACATCACCTGCAGCGAAGACGTGGCCCGGAAACAATCCTCTAAGGGTTGATTCTCCATTCGTTTCAACCATCGTTCTATAAACCCCTGGTTGATTTTGATCGGGGGTGTCCCCTTTTAGTGGGGATCCAGACCACTTTACTTTTGGAGGGAACACCCCCCTAATAACGGGACGGGTTTATTTTACTCCGGGGTCAACATTACCCTACGAACTAACGGAAGGAACCCAACGGGGGGGAAAATACCCAAACAAAGTCCTCCAAACACATGGTGGTTTTTGGGGCTCCATGTTAGTCTGTAGAGGAAGGAGCTTAGCGAGGCAAACTCGCAATCGCAAATCACTGCGTTTTCAACTCGCTGTGGGTTAAAAGCAGGGAATCGCAAACGCAGCGATTTGAAATCGCTAGCTTTGAATCGCTGCTTAGGGGCTCTGATTGCGAAACGCAGAAAGCATTGGTTTTGACATTGCCTTGCTTTCTCTGCACGGGAAAGGGCCAAAAGTGATATCTGAAGCCACAAGCTTTTGCGTCTAAAGGGAACACTCCCAAACCCATTTTCCCAAGACGAAATTCGTTTCTAGAGCCTTGCCGCACCTGCCGCCTCTCTGTCTACCCAGCCAAACCACAATCACAAAAGCAAACATCGCTCCCAAACCCATTTTGCCTTCCCCTGATGAAAATTGTTTTCTGCTTCGACACCCAACCATATCCAACCAAGCTTAGCACATATCCCCTCAAACTAACTACTATTCCCCAAATCGCTGCGATTCACCTTGGGCTCGCAGAAATCGCAAATCGCAATCGCACAAATCGCTGCGTTCCCGCCGCGCTAAGGGAAGGAGGACACCCAACATTTGATTTGAGGGTTGGTATTCATGGTTTGAAGGGTTGGTACTACTGATGGACACAGGTTTTGTTCTAATGAAGAAACTCAGGTTGTTTGTTTTAATGATGGCATTGAAGGGAACCCACCACCCAAATGCTGGTTGATGATAAGGGCAAAACCAACTCTCAGAAAGGTGGAACGGGTACTGCTTGAGCTGTGCCATGCATGCAACAAAGAGCCGCAAAAGGTTCTGTTTCTCCCCAACCCCAACCCATTTTTGAACCCAGCTAAAATAAAGCTCAAATAACGGGCTTGGACAAAAACAGGGGCCCCCTGACAAGTCACGACCACTTTTTGGGACCTGCTCTGGTGAATATTCCCAGGCTGCTGGAATGAATCGCTTCTCAAGCCCCAAGCTCGCTATCAGTGATCTGTGGATGTGGGTGCAACGTGCATGAGTCTGGTCAGGTGCATCCTTCGGTATATTGACCTTCACACGCTATTCTACGCTATTCTCCCCAAAAATAGGTGTTGGTGAACCAGCTGTTTTCAAGGTACCCTTTTCATCTTTGAAGGACGCCGAAAGGAAAACCATCCTTTTTCGAGTCCCCTTCTTTGCCACCTTTGGGTCGAAATTAGACCACTCGGGCACCGAATGTTTTAGTCCATGGTTCAATTTAAATTTACCGATCGGGGCAACCCATTTTGGGGGGTAACCTCATTGTTGACAACCACAACCAAATGGGTTCGTCTTGCTTCAGGGGTCCTTTCAAATGGGTGTTCTTCCTTTTGGTGTCATTTTTTTTGTCACCAACCAAAAAGGGTTCCCAACAAAAAGCGCCTCATTCCACAGCAAAGTTGGTGTCCTTTGTTGTCACCAACCAAAAAAAGCTTCCCAGAACAAGGACCGACCCATATGGCTGTGGGTCAAAAATAGGTACCCTACATGGATAGCCCTGGTAAACGGAACCAAGGACATGTCAACCTGCGGTCCGATTCCTGGTGGTTGCATTTTGACCCATACCCATCTGAGTCATAATCAAAACCCTGTACAAAAATGGTGAACCCAGAACCATGCTTCAAGAATTAAGAAGGGAATTCCGAAACTATTTCTGGCTGGGACTGCACCTAACCTTCATCTACCCGGGTTTTGACTGTGGCTCATATACCCACATTGTCACCAACCAAAAGGGTTCCCCCAAAAAAAGCGCCTCATTCCTCCTTTGTTGTCACCAACCAAAAAAGGCTTCCCCAAAAAAGGACCGACCCATATGGTCCACCGCTGCAGCCCTCTCCACACAAACGTTCCTTCCAGGGCGCTGTGTCCTGGATACTCGGAGCGGACTGCTTGGTCAGGGTGCTGAAGGCGGGGTCCGGGCAAACGAACCACTCATCCAGCCTCAGCAACTGCAACTGGGCCCACATGTACACACATATACGTGTGTCAATATATATATATATATTACTATACATATATAAATATTGATACATGTATATATATATATATATATTCATAGTTTACTCTGTTATTTTTGTTTAAAGTCTGCACAAGTACGTATTATCTTTACATTCTTGAATTGGACTCTCTCTCTCTCTCATGTTTTAGTCTCATGTCCCTGTATAAAATAGCTTTGGAGACACAAGGCACAATGCGTCAAGCCGAAGCCGCTCCGGCACCGAAAGTCTGGGTTTTGAGCCCGTTGCCCCAAAGGCTGCCCGGTGTCGTGGTAGATTTGCCAAACATGAAACGATGACACACTCACTTCCTGAGCGGCTGGGCCAAAAAACAACTATGTTTGTTGCTTACCACTAAAGTGGTCTTCCCGAAAAATGAACAAAGTCCAGAAACTCCGGGCATGAGTACATCCTCTTGGATTGTCCTTGACAAATACAATCAAACTCGGTTGCTTTCTGCTCCCCTGCTAAAAGTGACTAACTCTTCGTGGTTTAATACGGAACACCCATTAGTTGGCAACAAGTTACTCAGTCTTAACATCCCTTGGCAACATGCACCAAAGCAACATGGTGGGTGATTGGAACCTGCATGCGGGTCCTGGCATCGGCCCACTTGCAACTTGGGGATCGCATTGCAGAAACTGACTGAACAGCGAGAGGACCGATGGTTGAAAGAGCAGATTCTTTACTCAGTCTCTCATGAAAGAAAGGCTTGCTTTGGAACATCAGTGGGTTCACTTGGCAATCCAAGGGTAGAATATGTGCAAGAATCAGCATGCTTGATTCGGCCCGAGTCCTCGATGCCTCCAGAGAGGCAGAAAGAGAGAGAGGAAACAAAAAGAAGAAGAAAGAAATAAAGAAACAAAAGAAAGAGAGACAGCAACCAATATAGGCCATATGGGTCTGTCAGTTTTTGAGGGTACCCTTTTCATGTAGGTCTTAAGGGAATCGAAAAGGAAAACCGCAATCGTTGGGCCCAAATTGAACCAGGTCCACCAGGCAGCTCCAAACCATCTTCTACCCTCAGACTAGGGTCCCTGGAAGCTTCCATGTTAGCTTGGGGGAGCTGTATGCAGGTATGCAGGTTCTGAACCCAACTTGTCTCTGCTCTGCAAACCCGTTGCAAAATCCGGGCCCGGCGCCAAAAGCTACGAGTGATCCTTCACCCGCAAGGCGGGTGAATTCAAGCGCTTGGATCCACCAAATGCAGAAACCAAAGGCTAGGTTATGATTCCACCAAGTGAATAAGCATCCACCCAAAACATGTGAAAACATGCAAACACAAAACAAAAAAAGGCAAATCCACCGACGGGCTGTGACTCGTTGAGGCACTCTATGAGTACCAAGCATAGAGTCATTGACTCCTGAATCCAACAAAAAACCGTATGACTCTCAACAAGCAAACACAACCATCGGAACTTAGTTTTGCCATCAATCCAGAAAGGTGAACTCCCTTTCGCAGTTGAACCCCCTTCAGCCAACGGTTCTCGTTTGCCAAGGGGCGAAAGTCCTTCGTCCACCTGAAAGTACAATGCCGGTGGGCCCAATCATAGCTGCACTTGTGCACCCCTTCCCCTAAGGGGGAGTCCGGTCACCACCGAAAGGGTCGACCCTTCATGTCTTGCTTCCTTTTGCCGGGCGAGGACCACGATTTTTTTGGGTGGTTTGAGCCATCTGAAGAAGATCCCTGGAGAGAATGCGAAGGGCTCGCGTATCTGCCATTTGCTTAAGCCTCATGGGAAAAATAAAAAGTGTTTCCAGTAGTGATATATTCCCTTTAAAACCAACAAGGGAACATAACACATATTCTTAAGCAAATGGAAGGTATTGAAGAGTCGACAAATTGATCCCCTTCGGCTCGATCACATTGGAATCTAACTGGCAAACGGTCTCATTTGGCAGCCAGCTCTCTCATTTGCAGACACCCGGAAAAGCTAAGCTTCTTCTTCCGATCGCCTACCGCACACTTCCGGCTTTTGCTGTACAAGCTCATACCATTGCGCGTGCGCTGTTGAAGGGAGTAATCTTACAGTAGGCTGTTACAGTAGGCTGTGTATGAGCTTTTCGAATTCCTACTGCAACCAGTGTAGGTAACACTGGCAGACAAGGGATTAGGCAAAAAGAAGTATGTTGTCAGGCGGCCTGTACCTCTGTCAACACGCAGAAGCTGACAAGAAGGCTAAACAGAGACAGAGGAACACCTTGGCTGTTTGGGAGGGCCAACTGGCTTTATCTGCCACTCACCCAAAAGAACCAAGATTGCTTTGAGGCTCTTCAATAGAACAAACGTGTTCTACTGCTCCGCTCAAGTGACCAGGTTCTTGTTCGACCACACTAATCGGTTTGTAGACGTTTCTGGGACTAGTCGGATGAGGCTCTGGGAAACACATCGGCAAGTATACGCATCCGCCCATACGCAGCCTCGCAGTACTGGAAGAGGAAGGAGCGGTTTCGAGCGCAACCTTCTTCCTTAGATGGGCACTAGTGGCCATGCATTCCAATTAGGTACCATTTGGTGGATTCATAAACCCTCTGTGATCAAAGACATTCCTTCTTCCAGCCGAGTGCCAGCCAAAAATACTACTTTTACAGTCACCCACTGTTCGTTAGAATGACCTCTTCCTACTCCGTTTTTGGCACTCCCCACAACCCCCCTGACTAAGGCCGTCTGCGCCCCAACAGACCCCAAACATGAAAAAGACAAGCTCTACATTACAGAAGCTATTTCCAGTTCTCGTTCCCTTCACAGGCTCAAGTTGGTCGCCTTTCCAAAAACACAAAAACGGGTGGCCGCATACCACCCTTCGAGGTCAGCCCCAGTATTAAGAAAAAAGTGATCAATTCTTGAGTGGATCGGCAAAACATGCCTATTGCTGTCCTATTCGCCAAAAAGGGAGAGGACCTGAGAGGATCGAGCATCAGATGTTGATGGGGTGGCACAAAGAACCCTTAAAATCTGGTCGATTAGGATAACATGTTCTCCCCTGTGAAGAGTTCCAATGAAAGATTCGCTTCCGTGGATGGGCCCAAACAAGTACGCAAGGTTCTTGTTTGCCACTAAAAGGTGACTAAGGTGCAGGAACTGAGGAAGTGAGAACATGATTAGACTAAGGCCCGGTTACAGAATGTATATTCTATTGTTTGCTTCCCTTTGAGTCACTGTCAAAATGCAAAATGTATCCTAAGTCTACCCGAAAGAAGAGGGGGAACCGCCGCACCGCGCCAGGCGTCTTTCAGAGACACGGTGATCGCCAGCCACTGGCAGTCGAATGGGAAGTGCCTGACCTGCTGATCCATTCCTGAGCACTTTTGGTCCGGGCACAAAACATCCACAAGTGAGTCACAATCAAAACTCGGTAGTAAAACGGTCCGCCCAAAAACCATGTGAAGAATCAGGAAGGCGGATATCCGCTGCTGTTTGTGGTTGGGAGTGTCCCCGACTAACCTCCATCTACCCGGGATTTGATTGTGGCTCAAGTTGGCTGCATGCCAAAATGAGACCTGACTGTAAGAACAGCCACTGCCCATGGATTGCCCCCAGTCAACCCCAAACGATAGTCCATGAGCAGCATAATACCTTTGCCGCCTGGGAGGAAAAGGAAAACAAGCACCAAGTCCAGACCGCTACATGTGCAGCTACCCCAACCCCCTAACCGCAAAGAGACAAATACCCCTACGCATAAACAAGCCTAGACCCTTGACTGCACGAATCCCGAGAAATAGAAACAAAAAACAAACTGCATCCAACAAAGCCCAAAACTTGAACAACTCCAAACCCCGAAAGGCGAACTTGAAAGCCCTCCCCTAACTTCATTTTCTGTGACCCTAGACCCAAGAAGCGCCAAGCTCTACAAAAAAACTAAGATCCTTAAAACCTACTCCATAGATCCTTCTCTGGATGGCAACATCCTCCCCTGCCTGCAAAGACCTGAATCAAAGTAAGCAATTGGGCAATCGATGAACCTGTGCATGTGGCAAACCCATGCGCATTGCAGGTGTTACCACATCCACTGTCCAAAGCAAGTGCCCACGACTATGACGCCTGCAAGTGGGACGCAACATGCTAACCAATGGACACCAGGCCGAGGATTTCGATGTCGTTTGGGTGTGGGTCAAAATTAAACCAGCAGAGGACCGTCTGGTTTAGTCATGTGTTCCATTTACCAGGGTTCATTTTGGGTACCCATGTTTGACCCACAGCCAACTTGCGACTCACTTCAGTGGATGCCCAGGGAAGTGTGACCCCCTTCCTAGGGTCTTCATCTCTGGTAGAAAGCCAACTGGAGCCAAAGGCAAACCGCTGTCCGCCAGTGATCTGGAACCGATCATGTAGTCGTCCACTGCAAAACAAACAGCAATTGCCTAACCTGAATCAGGCAAAAGCTTGGCATGTTGCAAGGCTTAAAAGAATGAGCAACATACTCTTATGGCTGTACTTGTACAAGTAGCAGCAGCTTCAGTTGTTGCTCTTACCAAAAGCATCCAACATGACAGTTTCTTATCAAAATCCGCTCATTGATCAGCTTCCCTTTGGTTCGCGGACAAAAATCCGCCAAACTTTGAGCCATACGTTGCCTAAAACTATACAACACATCCTGAGGCCGGCGCGCAGCGTCGCTCGGAAAAGCATCTGAACCTGCGCATGGGCGAAGCTATTTAAAGCTCAACCCCGACCCCACTTGACAAAAAGCGTGTGACTTACCCTCTTTCCAACAATCATGCAAGTGGACCGGGGGCTTCCCCAAAAGGCAAGTAGTCTTCCAAAACGTTCTTGTGAGCTTCCATGATTGTTGAAGGGAGGCTATTTTTTGAATGGACCAAACAAAATGCACAATTGAATCACTGCTGAATTAATTGGCCTTGGTGCACCTTTGACAACCAAACGGGACCCTAACTAGTACAAACAGACAAATACATAATCATTGCATGAAGGAGATGCAACGTTGCTACCAAGAGATCCATCGCGTGCTCGAGCCAATGGAGTGTCTGTATGAGGTCTTTGATTGTTAATATGGCTGGCGTCAGCCTTGAACATGGATCTAACAAGAACCCTTGCACCGATCTCTACCCAGCCGAAAGCATTACAACAGGAAGAGCTGGAGCAATCATATATGGCTCTCAAGTTACATTACGCAGCTACTTGGTCCTTGCGTCCTTGCAACCTGCTTCATCCAGCAAAACGTCAAAACTAGAGATACCTGTTCGGTCCGATTCCAAATGAAACCACCCGCAACCAGATGTTTTGTTGGTCCACCACTTGGTCTGTCTTTGCCGGGCTTCGTTTTACAGGCAAAGAAAAAACCGATGTTGGAGGCCCCTTGAGACAAACCGACGTTTTTTGTTCCGAGCAATGCACCAGTCTAGGCCCCAGGCAGCGATGTGTCCGGTGGCCGGGTTCACCACTTCGGGAGCCGAGCTCCTGCGTCAGATCTGGTCTCCAAAGCTAACCCGGTGATTCAATATATATATATATACATATATGGTACAGCGTTGCCAGCCCCCCCCCCACCAATGGTCGTGGGTCAGACAAGTACCCCCCCCCCCTGTGGTTGTGGTCCTGTGGTTGGGTTGTGGTGGTTTAGGGTTGGTTTAGGGTTGGTTTAGAATTGGTTTAGGGTGTATTTAGGGTGTATTTATGGTTCGTTTAGGCTTAGTTTAGGGTTAGTTAGGATTGGTTTAGGGTTGGTTTTGGTTTAGGGTTTATGGTTCAGGGTTTGGTTTAGGGTGGATTTAGGACTAGTTTAGGGTTGGTTTATGTTAATTTAGGATTGGTTTAGGGTTGTTTTAGGTTTAGGGTTTATTGTTTAGGGTTTGGTTTAGGGTGTATTTCGGGTGTATTTAAGGTTGGTTTAGGGTTAGTTCAGGGTTGGTTTCTGGTTAGTTTAGGGTTGGTTTATGGTTGGCTTGTTGTGGGGTGCCGGGGAGTTCAGGGGGTCGGGGTGGGGGTGGGACCGTAGGTGCCAGGATCGGGGGCTCGGGGTCTCGGGGATCGGGGGGGGGGGGGTGGGGGACCCATACCATATGAAAGGGGGGGGGGGGGTAGCAACACGGAACATGGGACCATATATATATATATATATATATGGTTTCTTGTTCCGTGTTGCTACTCCAGGACCCCCCCCCCTCGCCCCGGCCCGAGAGCAGATGGTATGGGTCCCCCAGGACCCCCCCCCCCGGCCCGAGACCCCGAGCCCCCGGATCCTGTCACCTACGGTCCCAACCCCCACCCCGACCCCCTGAACTCGCACCCCGACACCCCGGCACCCCCACCCCCAGGACAAGCCAACCCGCAACCAACCATAAACCAACCCTAAACTAACCCTAAACCAACCCTAAATACACCCTAAACCAAACCCTAAACCGTACACCTCTAAACCTAAACCAACCCTAAACCAACCCTAAATCAACATAAACCAACCCTAAACCAACCCTAAACTAACCCTAAATACACCCTAAATATACCCTAAACCAATTCTAAACCAACCCTAAACCACCACAACCCAACCACAGGACCACAACCACGGGGGGGGGGGGGTACTTGTCTGACCCACGACCATTGTTGGGGGGGGGGGGGGGCTGGCAACGCTGTACCATATATGGTGTTTCTCAAACATATGGACCTCGTTTTGGTGTGGTTTGAAAGGGGAACCAAAAGAAAATCAACCAGCTGAAGGAGTTTTGTAATTTAGAGAGACACCTATGGGCCAGTGTTTTAAGGGTGTTATGCATAGCACTTGCCATAGGACATGGCTTGGGACTTGATGTTACAGATCAAATAGCGTTTCGATCAAATAGCGTTCGACTCAATCTGTAGTTGATCTTGGGGTCCTTTCGCCCGGTTGTGACCTTCAGAAATTAGTGCAATAAATCACCACAGGTGTTTAACTTTTAGTGGGTGTCATGGAAACAACCGAGAAAACCTAAAAAGCTACAGGGTGGCTGGGAACCACCAAGTTACAGAAAGCCTGGATTTGCTGACTCGGAGCACCCGGTGCTTGCCACGCTTCCCTCCTGTCGAGCACTTCGGCCTGCACCGCATTCCTGGGTGGATTTGGCTGATCTCCGACGAACAAGGGATCGGTTGGTGTTCGCGGTTTTTTAGAAACACCGAAAGGAAGCAGACCATGTTTAAGGATCAAAGGTTGAGAAACGCAAATCAGATGGGGAGCCACCCTTTGGATGGCTCAAAGGTAACCAGGTAACTGACAGGCAACCGCGCTTGCATTTCGACACTTCCAGGTCGGTGTGTGGAAGTCAACATACAAATACTCCTTTCCACTTCTCGTAAATCTGACACTTCCGGTTGGTTCAAGACGCATGAAATCCAGGGCAGTCAACTGATCATAAGGGAGACAGTAGGGGGAAGCAGGAAACGCCTTTGCAACGCTTGTCAAAGGAAGTTTACGAGGAACTTCCGTGTTGCGGACACTAATTGAAGGTAGGTCTGTATAAAATACAGACAAATGAAGAAAGAATGAACGCTGCGAGCAAACATGGGCGTGTGGCGCCGGAGTAGACATCGCAAAAACGAGCAACCCTCTGCGGGTGTTTGCTTCCCCAGCTGGCTTAACGCTACCCAGGTCGCGACGCCTCTCGAAACGGCCCATGAACGTGCGCGGAACGGCCTCGAATCGGTTTCGGAACAGTCTTGACCCGGGGCCAATTGGCACGGACGCCTGCACTTTTCGCGACATCGGTTTGCGTGACGCGCGCGGCACTTCGGCAACCGAGGTATAGATTTGCGTGGCAGGCGCGAACAATCAAAAAGTGAAAGCGCAAGCGATAGAGAAAGTGGGGCAAAAAGATAAAGAAGAAAGAAGTAACAAAACAAATAAAGACTGAGAAGCATTAATAAAGACACTTGTCAAACTTCGCCAACCGGCTTCTCTGGCTCTACTGCTATGCTGACGCTTCCAAACGTAGTCGACAAAACATGTTGCACTTGCTGGTGTCCTTTCAAACTTCCGCTTTTGCTGCATCCAAACAGGATCCCGAATTGGGGAAAACTTGCAAACCCAAGTTCGACCAACTATTTCTGGTGGCTCAATGTGAGCCTCGATCAATCCGAGGACTGGATGGACAGTGCGCCACAACTCTTCGTGATATTGAGCCGCCTTCAAAAGGGCTCGCTGCAGGGGTCACCATGTTGCCACCCCCCTCCCAAGTCGAAGTGAGCAACGCGTGAAACTGCACTTATCCAAAACAAGCTGCTTCTGGGAAGGAGGTCCAACCCTTCAAGACAAAGTCCCCAATTCCAATTGCCTGGATCGCCTGTTGCTAGTTGTTTTTCCCCCATGCACTTTACCCCAACACCCAGCAACAGTGACTGAAAAAAAACAACGCAACTTGGCTATCTAGTTCATCCTGCAACTTCTTTGAGCTTCTCCGCACTTCTCGCCCTCTAGAACTCGCCTCAAACCAGAGATGGAATCCCAACTCAGATCTTGTTGCCGAGACGGTGCCCGACCGGCAACCTGCTGGAAGCCGCGACAAACTCATCTTCTGAAACATGAGTTTGAGGCAATAAGAAATGCCAAGGTATTCCAAACACGTGAGTACTAAGGATTGCCGATGCGAAATGAAAACCAACCTGCGACCCCAATGTCCAAGTCGGAACAAGTTCCAACACAAATCCCAAAACTCATCCAAGAAACAAAAAACTAAAAACTGAAAGCAAACAAAATAAAAAAGTATCTAAAAACAAAACCAAAACTGAAAACCACAAAACCAATGGGGGCACCCGCTTCGTTCGAAGTTCAAGCCACGGCATTCAAGTCCAAGTGGCGTGATTGCGATCGAAGGCACTTTCAGCTCTTTGGCCTCCCGCGTCCGCGACTCGAATTCGCTGGTTTCTTTTCGAGGCTCGGTGCCCGAGTTCCGAGTTCCTCAAGTTTTTTGGTTATATATATATATAGATAGAAATATATATATATATATATATTTTGTTACGGGAAACCAAAGGGAAGCCGAAAACCATGTTGGGTGTCCGAATCCATCTTTTGACACTTAGCTACAGGCACCAAACTCCGCTTTGGTGACGCTGAAAGCCTGTGAGTCATGGCTAATTCCCTTCAAACCAACACAACACCGCAAGCACATGGACGAACTAGGAAACCAACGGACTGCAGAACCCCATACTGTGCTTGGGTTTGGCCGTGTCTTCGCATTGTCGGTGTGTTTTGTTCAATGTTCCCTTGCTTGCCTAGGCGTCTGCTTGCTTTGTTTCAGTTGCACGGGTTGAATTGATCAAGTGGTTTTATTGGTTGGTTGGTTGGTTGGTTGGTTGGTTGGTTGGTTGGTTGGTTCGTTCGTTCGTTCGTTCGTTCGTTCGTTCGTGGGTGGGTGGGTGGGTTGGTGGGTTGTTGGGTTGGGTTGGGTTCAGTTGGGTTGGTTGGTTGGTGGGTGGGTGGGTGGGTTGGTGGGTTGTTGGGTTGGGTTGGGTTCAGTTGGGTTGGTTGGTTGGTGGGTGGGTGGGTGGGTGGGTTGGTTGGTTGGTTGGTTGGCCGGCCGGGTTGGTTAGTTGGTTGGTTGGTTGGAGTATCGCCTAAGTGATCGGCTGATCGATTGACTGGTTGATTGATTGATTTATTGAGCGAGTGCCTGATTGATTCATGGGCTCTAAAACATGCTGATTGTGCGTTTGATGGATTGACTGATTCGCAAGATGAGTGTTGGTTTCGATACGGGACTGATTAAACCATAGAACTATATTGAGGCTGACCGAGGGCAACTTACTCATGTCCAATGTGTCAATTGATGTGTTGTAGCTAGAGAGAAAGAAAAATTGGCTGAATGGTTGGTTGATTGATTGATTGATTGGTAGCTTGCTTGCTTCATGGTTCGTTTTTTGTTGGGTTTGTTTGTTTGTTTGTTTGTTTGTTTGTTTGTTTGTTTGTTTGTTTGTTTGTTTGTTTGTGTGTTGATTTTTTGTGTTTTGTTTTTGTTTGTTTGTTTGATTGTTTGTTTGTTTGTTTGTTTGTGTGTTTGCTTAATTGTTTGCTTGCTTGTGTGTTTGGTTGTTTGTTTGCTTGTTTGTTTCTGTGTTTGTTTGTTTGCGGGTTTGCTTCATAGTGTGTTTGATTGTCCGACCGACTGACTGACTGACTGACTGACTGAATGATAGATTGATTGACTGATTGACTGACTGCTTGACTGATTGACTGTTTGATTGCTTCACTGTTTGATTGTGTTTGCTTGTTGATCGAATGTCGGGTTGGTACGTTGTGTGATGCATTTCATTCATTCATTTGATGCATTCGTTCATTCATTTATTTCATGTGGTCATTGAATTCATTCATGTATGTTCATATCTCACTCCATATCATTAATTCAATTAGTTGTTAATCATTCTTTCATTCTCGCATTGCTTGCTTCACGCTATTTTCCCGACTTGATGCGCCGCAAGATGCCCCTAAAGCTTGAGAGAGCCGCTGAAATGGCGCGAACCCCAAACGTTCTCCAAGTCCACGAGCTCAGGACGTGAGTCATGTGAGGTTTTCATGTGCGGAGCAAAACCCAAGCGGACAGGGCACGCTGAGCCGGCCTTCTTGCCCTTCTCAAGGCCCACGGCGGCTTCATCGAGCCATTCCTCAGACGAGTCCGGCTTTCCGAGGGAAACAACTTGGGGATGTAGACCAAACTGGGCTGCCCGTTTTCCGATCCGCCAAAAGTGACTAACTAGTGGATTAAATGGAAACTACCACTAAACACCTAAAGGCTGAAAAGCTCCGGGCAAAGGTGACCTTTCGCAAACAATGCTCAAGTCCCTAGAACAGAAAAACATCATTTCAGTAGTGATAAACTCCCGTTACAACCAGCAGGGGAAACCATAAAATATTGGGGTTCCCTGGGAAATGGTTTATAATAACAATCTAAACCATGAAACCCATCATTGTTTATCACAACAAAGCGATCAAAAGGACACCTATGCTCCAGACTCTAAATCCATACCCCTGAAATGGCAACACCAAGAATGGTCCTGCATAAACCGATACCGAAGTACCTGGGACAGTTTGTTGGTTGTTCATTTGATGATCTGGCTCGCAGACATGTATGCAACGCTTCGAGCCAGCCAGAAAGCAATTTGTGTGTGTGTGTGCGTCTCATGTTGCATCTCATCCAATGGACAAACGCCCGAACTGACACAGCTGTTCTCTTTGCAACCGCGAGTCGGCGGATGGCAGTTTTGAAGCAGCCAGGCCAATACAAACGGCTTCTCATATTGCAAACCTAAATCAGGTCCAGCTTCCGGCCAAATTGAAATGATCCACATAACTTCGGAGGACATGGATGGATAAGCCTTTTGCCTTGGTCCATTGCTGGAAACGTGCGAGCAGTCATCATCTTAAGTATCATCTTCCATCTTACCCAGATTAGAAAGCAACTGTCTAAAAAATGGGAACGCCAACCCAAATTGGTGGATTCCCTTTCGCTTCCTGTGGTTTTGTGCCAATTTCCCAACTGCCCATGTTGCTTCCTGGCCACAAGCAACATTGCCGCACAACGCAAAGAGAAACAAACTGATAACTCATGGCCCTGAACTATACGCTTGTGGTTGGCTTAATTAAGTGCTAAATTTCGGAGTCTATGGTGCCATGCTGAGCAAACCAATGCCGATGCAAGTGGTAGGCTCAGGAAACGAGCCAAGGGACTCTGGCGTTGACAGCCATCCCCAAATCAAACAAAAGTGCATGGCCTAAAAAAACAAACAAACAAACAAACAAACAAACAAACACGCACACAAACAACCAAGCAAACAAACAAGCACACAAGCCAAAACAAGCACACAACCAAGCAAACAATACAAACACACAATTTCTAGGGCAGCTACACACACAAACGTGAGCCTACGCTTTGCCACCCCCCCCCTTCGTCCGCTTCCCACACGCTTTTTGCCGGGCTGGGCGCCAGAAAGACCCGGAACTTGCACTCGAAGGTGGCCTTGACCAGATCCACGTTGCGGATGAGCCAGATGCGGAAGGCGATGGAGATGACCTGCCCGGCATCCAAAATCTGCGGTGGCCGTCCCATGCAGAATCCGGGAATCCGGTTAGAGACAGGAAGACGGGCAGAGATGGTCGGCATCCAATCTTTTTGGGTGGCCGTCCCATGCAGAATCCGTTTTCAGAGACAGATGTTGCGGATGCAGAGATGGTAGGCCATGTGTCCGGCCGCCGGCATTTCCTTTCTTCCCAGACGCCAACACTGCCTCAGGGGGGTTTGCTCCGGCGAAGGCCCTTCGCGGCCGATTCTTGTCTAGGTCCTCCAGTTAGCCGAGGTTCCAATGAAGGGTACCAACTTTTTTCAGTCTTGTCTATTTTAGAAGGGGGTTGCCCCTCCCAACCAAAACAGAAACGGGTGAGAGGTCGGGCACCAATCGCTGGGGGGCCTAGTTCTTGTCGTTTCCAAGGCGCCTGGCCGTGATTCCTCTGGCCCGCAAGGTTGCGACCCGCAAAAGGCTTGGCATCGATCGATTCGCCGAAAACGGCTCAAGACGCATGCTCCAATGTTGATGGGTGGAGCTCTGGCAGTGCTGTTGAGCGAAACTCACCTCTTCGCGTTCAGAAATATCGTTTTGGAACCTTGAAACAGGGATGCGTTTAGACGCCACTCTCCTAGTCATGCTTCTACCATGGGCTATGGCAAAGGCTCTGTCCTTCTGCACGAATCTCGTTTCTTAACGCTTGGTTGAACCAGTCCACCTGCTGCTTTTCACTAGGTTTGACTTAGACAAAGGCTCTCAGTCTCACTTCCTGAGTGGATTGGCCCAAAAAAGTAACCCAACTTGTTATTTGGGTCCGAACCCTAAAAGTGACTCAAGTTCGAAACGGAATTCAGGAAGTGAGCTGTGCTTCACCCAATTTGCGTCTTCAGCCCGTTCTCCGGTCTCCGCCTGCGTCTCGTGGTTCACGTCGTCCGTGAAGGCTTCGAGCGCTGTGCCCCCAGTTTCTGAAGCCACGCCGAGAAAACCAGGGGACGTGGCTGTGGGTGCCCAATGGGTTAGCATGGAACCCTGGTAAATGTTAGCATGGACTAAAACCGGCCCCCTGGCGGTTCCCCGAACTGCAAGCCCTCCAGGGCTTGAAAGGGATAGGGTCAACCAGTTGTGGGGAAGACAGCGACTTGAGGAAACACACAGGCAAGCCAACGCACCTATGTTGTTGTTCCCGCGCATGGAAAAGCGAACACAAATACAACCCTTGCAACCTACAGCGCAAACTCAACAGTAACACGATTCAACAAACACACTTAGCTTACATAACGCCCAGGTTGCTGGATGACTTATGCTTGGATGTTCAACATATTTAGTCAGCGTGTTTCCTTGAAAAACAGCTACATACTTGAGGTAACAGGGGTTACTTCCGCTACAATATGTCCCCTTTTGTCGAGCCCCAACATTTTCAGGGGATGAGCCAAGAGGTGAAATGGAGATCCGCAAAAGCCTTGGGTTGGGTCGAGAAAAAAGAAGAAAAACAACTGCCCCCTTCCTCGTAGCAGCTTTTCGCTGGAGGCTCTTTGAGCCCACTGGCTCAACGCCAAGGAATTTCTCCTTTCAGCGGACCTTTGCGAGTTGCTTGATGCATAGAACACGCAAAGACCTCCGTCCGAAGAAAAAAGCTTGGAACTAGACAAATGTTCATATCTAGCAGTCCCTTTGCAAACGAAAGGCCATCGGAGGTTGAGATTCCCTTGTGATTTGGGCACCTTTTGGACCAGCTGAACTACACATGGAAGCTCCCAGAATCTGCCAACGGAACCAAGTCTTCCAAAGGGGTCCGTTCGGGAGGTTTTCCATGGAATCGTCTGGGGGTATGATTTTTGTTGATCCCGGGCAAGCCTCAAGTCAGCCAAATCGACCCTCCTGGATCGAACTCTTGACAACCCACATGTCCCACAAAATCCAACCACCCCGTTGACCCGGCGTGCAAACAAAAAGTTGCACTAGCCACTAGATGTCTGGAAGTTGGGTGAGTTGGGACACTTGCTCTGGGCCAGGTCAGTCAAGTCTGCAACTTGGTTCACTTGTTTCCCTTGGGATTGGTTGCGAGCACTGGTTGCGGCCGAAATGACCCCAGAGACCGTGGCACCTGTTACCAAACACCTGATTGAACTCGCCATGGAACATTGGTCCTGACTCAGGCCATGTCCAAACAAAGACCAATCCCAACTTCAGGCATATCCGTACCCCCAATATGTTTGGCTACAAAACACATATTCGTAATTACCCGCTGGCGGTCCTTTTCGAAACCCAAACGGGCGTCCCTTACTACGCACCCCCTCCCCCCCCCCCCCCGGCGGTCAAAAAGAAAGATGCACCAGATGCGCCTCGGCGGGAGAACTGCGGGGACAAGGGGTCTTCCATTTCCTGGCGATCTTCGGCCAAGGGACCACCGTTCCTTCGGTTTGTGTTTCAGCTGGTTCCATGGATGGGGAATGAAGGAACCTGCCGTTTTCCTTTAAAGATACCAGGCCATTCCCAAACACCGAAATTCCCTGCAGAGAACCAGCGAGTTGACCAAAAGCCGAAACTTGTGATTTCCCACAAGGGGTCTTCCCAAAAAGCACAAGGTCCAGGAATTCGGTGAGTATTCAAGGGACACCTCCCATGATGTTGCTGTTGGGCTTCTTTTCTTGGGGGGGTGCACATTTCTGGGTGAATTATGATATTGCACCATGGTTAGGGGGCTATTCCCCACATAAACCACCATGTGGGGTGAGCTGGTGTGAGGTCGTTATAATTCACCCAGACATTTGGTCGTCCTCAACAGTGGCCCAGGCCTCGTCCTCTCCCACGGTGGCCCCCGTCTGCTTGTGCCTCACTAGGCTCGTCTGCGGCGCCATGGTTTGCGGCGTGCCTGAGCTCCGAGCGACTGCCGGTGACCGCCGAGGTCCCAGCGTCTGCAAAGCAAAAAAAAGAGCCCACTTGAGTCACAATCAAAACCTGGTATTAAAAATATTTATGGCTGGGATTGTCCCTTACTAACCTTCATCTACCCGAATCGGTTTTGATTGCGGCTCACTGGACACAAAGGGGGAACCACACATACTCGCGGCTCATGCAGGTTCATTTCCTGAGATTAGTGCGCTCCAGTGCAGAAGGGGAACCAAGCAAAACAAACTTGACAAAGGAAAACTCACCAAGCAAGCCAGCAAGCACAAAGCCACATAACAAAGAAAGCGAGCGGGCGATGCACCGACCCACCCAAAACGCAGCTAATCTGCCAACCCAAAAAGAGCACAACCAACGTCAACCAACCAACCTCGCCACTAACCAGCCTAATCACCAACAATCCAACCCGAATCCACACCGAGGCGCAAATACCTAACCCAAGCAAGACATGGCAAGTGCACCCAAACGCACAACATTTATTCGTTCATTTTGTATTCTAAACCAAAAATGCTGTGCTCCTCCTGTAGGCGCGCCAGAAGCAAGCAGCATGTGTGCCATCAACCCCCCAAAGACTTGCCGCTGCACACGTAATATGGCTAGACCTCAAACCGTGACGTGGTTGTCAATATGACCGCTCCATATGTCGTAAAGTTAACATGTAGGGTTCATGTTGTAGCCCACCACAGAAAGCACCGCCTCACTGCATGCATGCATGTGTATTCATATTACATATGTGTATAATGACATTATATACATGTATATATATTATACAGCCTATTTATGTATGATATGTACTTACTATGCCGAATAAGGGCTTCTCATGTTTTGCGCTATTCCTAGATTTGACAAGTTGTCAGACCGCTTGAGTTCCTGAAGCAGTCCGAAGCTGGATGCTTCAGATTTGTTGGAAGGACATGTGTTTGGACCCAGCGTCATATGCAAAGAGAAACCCAGATCGGCATAAACACCAAAGTTGTTGCCACTCACAATGAACTTGAGAGAATGCTTATGGGCCACATTTTTGAATTGGAAGGTTGCTTGAAACATGAAGACAAGCTGTGGAGGGCACAATCGTTGCGACTGTTAGTGGACAGTCAAATACGAGCAAGTAGAGTTCTGGGCATTCATTCCGCTCGTGATGTCTTTCAGGAATAAAGCCATGAGGGTTTAGCAAAACGAATTGTAACCATGTGCGGGGTTCAGACCAAAAATAGGGCCCCTCCAAGCTGGGTGGCTTCTGTGGTTTCGCTTTAGCCAACCAAACCCTTGGGCTCAATTTTGAGAAACCTCCACGTGAGCATCTCGCGAGCGAACCGTCGGGGTGCTGTAGCGGCTCATGAGCCCCGAGGAGAAGCGGGAGGGCAGCATCAGCGCGCCGTTCATGAAGAGACGGGCCAGATACAGCTCGCGCCTCGATTTGTGAAACGTTTGTCGGCAGATGGAGAAAATCCACGCCACAAACCAGCTGAGATGGTTGGTTCATGCATGCGGAAAATAACCTGTTCTGTGATAACGGCCATCCCCGTATCTAGCTTCTCATCATTTTTAGAGGGGGATTTCCTTGGTATCACACAAAGTAGCACTAATACCAGTCTTCCACAATGATGCCTCGGTCTGACCAACACGCTTGCTACTACTCTGGATTGATAACATCTACGCCAGGCACCAACCAGTAGGCGGTTCTTCGACCGTTTATAACAGGGCTTCATCCATCCCAACTGCGAAGTGGATTGGTCCATCCACAATACAGTAGGGATCGGGCTTATCTTATTGCCACGAGGAATCCGCTACTTCTTGGGATGTAGTTTATTAACCCTGCAAAGGGAATGCGTGAATGATGACCTTTAAACCCATTCGGATGCGACCGGTTGATGGAGTCGTCCCTTTCTTGCCTGAGAATAAGCAAGCACACCCGAACACCCACCCCATTTAAAACCCAGGATGGACGGGGAGGAAAGCTGAGAACAAGGAGGCAAAAAGGAAGACATGGACAAGTCATGGGAAAAAACTCAAACTCCCACCAAAGACTTGGGTGCCTGAGGGAATAGAAGCACAAGATGCAGCCCTGACCCAGGTCTGCGACGCAAAAATTAACCATGGTGGGCCAGGCCAAGCATCTTTTGGGGACTGGACGTGAGAAAATGTGGTGGTTCGTGCCCACCACGGCTTTCCATTTGCAAACTACCAAATGGACAAGCCGGTGACTGGGAGGGCAACGCCATGCCCAAGCCAACTTGTCAAAACCGCCTCTGATTTTCAGTCGCTAGAATCCCCAACAGCCATGGGCCATGACTATTTCATGACTCACAATGAGCCACCCTGAGAATCCCCAACATCATGAGCCAAGACCCTAAGCCTGAAAAAAAATACTCAAACCTCTGTCTGCCATCCCTCATGTCCTCCAAAGGGCTTTTGGGAGAAACGGTCCAATACAACAACCACAGACCGCCTTGCCAACCCAAAACATCGGAGTTCTTGTACAGGTGATTCTAGGGGTGCCTTTTCCCATTCTTTCCAGGGATCCTTCTTTCTAGAAAACCCTCTGGAAACCCGCGCAAAACGGCTGGTGTTTGAAAAGAACGATGGCTGAACAGAATGGGGAATCAACCCCTAGAGTGATGTTGGGCATAGCCAGAAAGAACACCCATCTATGGTGAACACTGCTCAAACCAAAAACCAGTTGGTATGTGGGCTTTCCTGTCAACGGGAACAGTTGCTCGAACATATTTTGAGCCCTCCAAACGCGAATCCTAGCCTCTTCCAATCCACTCATGCACAGAAATATCCTGCCATCGTTGCCATCACTTCTACTCTGCACGTCGGACGTTAAACAACAGGCAATCAGCTTGTCCTTGACACGGCTTTGGCTATCAGGCACGGAATTGGAGCGGCAAAGCGACTGGACAAGTGGTCGAAGTCTTGCGGATGTTTTTTCCTTTTGTTTTTTCATTGTTTTTTTCCGGGAAGCGATCTCATCCTAAGTTCCAATTGTTACCCAGCTCCCAGAACCCCTTTGAAAGACTTGGTTCCATTTACAGAGGCCTGCTGGGAGCTTCCACGTTAGTCTGAGGGAGTATATCTACTGGAGCTCTCCCACCCAGCACGAACCCAAATATGGAACTCCCAGCGTCACCACTCTCTCCGCCAGGCGGCCGTTTTCTGTGCATGGCGTAGATGGTGTAGCCCACATTCCACAAGACCTCAGAGAAAGCAACGTGAATACTGCCTTGCCAGGGAATCCCAACTGCATTAAATATCGTCAATAAATGACAAAAGAAAACAGCACATGTGGCAAACGCAGCATTTGTGGATACCAATGACATCGCGATGAGGGCTACAAGAAGCTGGAACACCATGTCAGCTATACGCTACGCTTCTTGCAATTGACATGCAATCGAGGGCTTCATTTGCTCGGTTGAGGATGTTCGAGCATCTTCCATCTGCTTTAGCCCCCTGGAAAAATATGTCCAGTAGTTACAAATTCCCTTTAAATCAAAAGGCTAAAGGGGAAAATAGAAAACATGCTTAAGCAAATGGAAGTGTACGCAAGGTTGAGATGGCTTGGCAGCAAAAAGCTGGAATCCATCTGGGTGCACCTCTTCATTTGTTTGTTGTTCGGTGCTACCCTCTGTGTTCTCAGAAGGGCCCACTGGCCAAAGTGGCACAACCTGAGTGAGCCTTTGTTGCTCAATGGGGATCACAAACTTGTTCTTTGACATCTGTAGACAAACCGACTAGCTGTCGGGGTCTCTGGCTCCGCCTTGCTGATTGCCTTCCCCCGCTGCCAAGATGAAAGGTGACCGGGTTGCAAACCAACAAGAACAAACCAAGCCGCATTCTTCTGCAAAATGATGAAACGTCAGAGAAGGGGCACTGCCGGCAAGGCGACGTAGTTTGCATTTTTGAATTGAGCGTGTCAGCTTTCGGGTTGTTCTTTGTGTTGCAAGTCAAGTCATTGCGCGCTACCAGCTTGCCCCGGCACATGGTTCAGCATTCGAACCTGGCGCCCGTACTAAAGCAGGAACCGGGTGGTTGACTAGCGTGCCATGCGCGCTTTCAGTATGGCTGCCGGGGGTGGTTGGACAGCCTGAAGCGAACTTTGAATATTTGGCGACACAGGGCGCTTTGTGCTCCTTCAAAGCAGCTGAGGGGGAGTTTTTTTACTACCCTCATGGGGGCTGGGGGGGGGGGGGGGGGGGGGGGGAGCCCAAATAAGCCCGAAATAAGGCCTTATTACGGGCTTAATAAGGGCTTATTTGGGCTCCCTCCCCCCCCTCCTCCCTCCCCCCCAGCCCCCCTGATACCCCCCAACCACCCCAACGGTGGCACAAATTCAGTTCGAAGCACGAGGAATCGCTCGGAGCACGTTGGATCTTTGGGATTGCACCAGTCAGTGCATCTCTAGACAGCGCTCAGCTTGGCAATCGCGTCAATCAGCCACTGAGCCTTATCATCTTTGCTTCACTTGTAATTGCCTTAATGTTGACCCAGGATTAATAAACCTGTCCCAATATTGCGGGGGTGTTCCCTCCAAAAGTGATGAACCCCAACTAAAAGGGGACACCCCACTTGGGCAGCGGCACTCTGTCAGTTCGGAGAAGCGCTCTTGAAAGCAAACCAGCAGTCCGCTTAGCGCCCAACCCAAACAGAGGCCAAGCCGACCAAGAAGGCACGCTCGATCTCCTGAACAGGCGTCACCTTCAGTTTCCTTCACTGAGGTGGCATGACTTGGTCGCCATGCAACCTAGGGTTTACATCTTTTCTATACTCTAAGATGCTACCAAGCATCTCAAATGAGCCGTGAGTACCAACTCCTATAGTCAGTCCGAAACTGCAAGTAGGTCCTCCTTTTCTGTAGTCTATTTTGATAGGGGAACCCTCCCCCCAAAAAGTTAAAAGGCACTACTGAGGGACCTAGTCAAACATTTGAGACAATCACGGCACTCCAGTTCCTGAGCAGGCCTTAGGTTCTTTTTCCGGCCTGCCTGCGTCAAGCAGGCTTGCTCTTCGTTTTTGGACAGGAAGAAGCAAATCAGGAACGCAGCCACCTCGGAAGCCGAAGCCACTTGCCAGGTCTCTAGTGGAAACTCGACTTGGCGACATGCGACTAGCTCTTGCGAGCTTCTGTTTTCAACCCCTCGGAATCCAGGGTTCTCGTTCCCGACAGATTTCCATGCCCATGGTGCCCTATCTTCAGTCGGATTTCGTGCAACATGTTCTAGGCAGAGACAGCGCTCTTCAGCACTCTCTTGCTCTCGAGTACGGCCAGCGTCAGATGGGGAAGGGGCGCAGAGCTGAATGACACGGGCAATCATGTTCAAAACTGAATGCATGACTGCAGCTCACAAAGTGTTGAGCAGAGTTGAGTCTCCTGACAATGCTGTCAAGTGCTCTATAGGAACATCATACACAACTTACGATCCTGAGGCCAAGGTGCGATGAGGCAGCAAAGAATCTGACACGAAATGAGGTAGGCATCAAACGGCGTCCAGTGTTGCACCTGCGGCACACAACAAAAAAAGAAACAAATGCATGCAACGCATACGCTTCAAATTCGGGACTCTCCAGTTTGGCTTCATTTCAGTTTCCCGTGCAGACCATGCCAAAAAGCGACCCCTAGCTTGAGAACAGCACCCTGGCCACAAGGTTTCGGTTGTGATCCGCACAGAAAGTGCCGTCCACGCGGGTTCCCGAAAAAGGGAATTGGGAAGCCCCTCTTCACTTGAAAACGGAGGTGGAGTTCCACAGAATCTTCCCGGGCCTTTTTGCGTGGCCTCCAATTGCATCCCTCAACGAAAAACAACGATGGCTCCCAGCTGTGCGGCGGCAATGCAGGCCTTGGGCAAACGGTGCTCCACGGAGAAGCGGAAGGTCGTCTGCGTCAGCACGATCTTCAGGATGTCCACCAGCCTCAAAAAACGGACTTGCGGCGCCGGCCCAGCCCAGGACTTCGGGACCCCCCGTCTGAAAGCCCCAGAAAGGAAAAAAAATCAGCTCCGCGGATCCGCAAAAACAGAGGTCCAAACTGCCAGCTGAACTGATCTTCGCAACACGCAAGCAGAAGGGAGTTCAAGGGATATGTGTCCAGACCAGAAACTTGTTTGGGTGTTTCAACATACGCCAGATATGAAACCAACCATTTGAGGGGGCCCTGGTTTCAATACATACCCGCATTTTGTGTTCTCTCATCTTTTGTAGGCAACCCGCCACAGGCCGGCCGTCGGAAATAACATAAGAGTGATGAATTACTGTGCTTTCTACCTGTCGAGACAGCTTTCCAGCTACCGCCAAAACAGCGTTGCAGGTTTCCGCGCTTACTGGCCTCATGTGGATTCGGCTGATTCCGTGCCGATTCGAATCGGCCTCTCCGAGCCCTCCGTGCCTCTTCGTAAAGTCGCCGGACCTAAGTGCGGAAAGGGAAAGGCAAAGGCTGGGTTACCCAAACAAACTGACTTGGTTGACGTTGAAAGGGGAGCAAATTTTAAATTTTAGCAGTTGAGTGGGGATTTCCCACTAAGCCACAATAAGCAAAAAATTAAAATGTTTCTCAACTACAACCATGAACAGTGAGTCGCAGATCGAATGACAGAGGTGCCAGGTTGCCTGTAGTTTTTCGCTTGCATCCAAGGCTTCAGGGATTCCAGAGATGTCCCTTAGATATCTGTTTGCAGCGGATGTCACAACGGCCTCGGGTGGCTTCAGAATTTCCGCGGGTAAGGGGATCACACAACCTTTCGTTGCAACAGAAAGACATTCGGACGACATGAGCCAAGGGAAAAACAGAAAGCTGCTGCAGTGGTGGTGAGCTTGGCTTGGTGTGCATCCAGTTGCTCCGCGTATTGGTACATTTCGCAAGGTGCGCTATGCCGGCAAACGACGTTTGGAAGATTGCACTCGGAAAAAAATCCTGTGCAACTCCAGGCTGCCTGATGAAAGACCAAGTGGCACCATCGTGCCAGACGCGACTCCCATGCTTTGCTGGGAACCGACATCCTCTAATTCGTCCGCCGGGCTTGGCTCTAACAGTCGAGGCCACCTGTATTGCCCGCAGTGCGCTTGCGCACGCGATGTTCCCTGTTTTGTTTTGTTTTTTTGCATATACAAAATAATGTTCATGTACCAGGCATCTACTTCCCTTGACCTCCTATTGAGGACCGTCACAAATGCAAGGAGCTACTGGTCCCGGTCTCCACAAGGTGGAAATCCCAGGAACGGTCGAACAAGTCGACAGTCTTTCTGTTCAGCGAAGAACGTACCCCTCCCTCAATGGACAGTCTGTGTGTGTGTGTGTTTGTCCGGGGTATCATGTTGCCAGCTGAACTCCGACTTCCACTTGTGCCAACATACACTTCTGGTCATACGACTGTTTGCCTTCCTTGCACAGTCCACAAGGTGGAAGCTGCTTCGCTTTTAGTCAGATATAGACAACTCTATCCCAAATCCACCCCCCGATCTAGATCGTCTTTGTGGACAAAGCAACGCCATGCATTCCTCCCCGCCATCTCCCAACGCCTTGAGTTTCTGTGGCTTGCAGCTGCGTGACGTGCGTGGCATTCCGTGAAATTTTGGTTTGGCCACCCGATCTCATTCGGGGAATTGCGACGTACACCGGGGTAGCTTCATAGCGTGCGACCCAGCGGCGACAGCACGAAGAAGGAGAACATCAGCGTGGTCAGGAACCAGTAAATACTCAGGACCTCGCATCCGAGGTGCCAAGCCGTAGAAAGACACAAAAAACATAGGCGTTTTGTGTGGTGATTTCCAGGTTGGCGTCCTTCTGATTTTCCCTTCATCCAAAAATGGGTCCTCTACTGGACATGCCCAGCGTGTCCTAAAAGTCGGGGGGCCGTGAACTGCTGACGTCACCAACGCCACTTGGCCCGAAAGCGATACACAAGTCGCAGGGCATGTCTCCTCACTCATGCGGTGCAGGTCGCTACGCAAATGAGAACCTTGAAAAACCACATGGTTCAAGACTTTCAATTGCATGGTTTTCTTGACTGCCAACCGGACAAGCCAGATAGCATCTGCATCTGCTTCCCCATACCTTGGCGCAAGAAGCATGCCTGGTTTAATCTTTCCAGGCCTAACAAAAAGTGAACATCATCCAACAAGTCAAAAGAACCCATGTGCCAAGAATCTTTTCTGGGAAGTCATGCTTGCTTGAGCCGTGTGAGAAGCGAGCGCAAGCAATGAAGCCAGTGCCCTACCTGAGGATCTGGGCATCAACACGGAGTATCCCGGCCAGTCACAAAGCAATTGCAGTAGCTCGAAATCAAAGATCGTCCTTTCCATTCAGTTTGCCCATCCTCGCCGAAACCGCGGTTTACCATTTGACGCCTTTCTTGGGAAATGCTGAGCCCCAAAAGTGTAGAACGCCGCGTTAAGGAATCCTCTCATTTCACTTCCTGGAAGAGAGAGAGTGGAACGACTGGGCAAAACAGACTCGCGGTTGTGTGTGTCCTCTTCCTAAATCCAAACGTTTCAAACAGTTTCAGGAACTCCGAAGCGGGTTAATTGAGCTCCCTAGATGTGGCTTTTTGTGAGGGTACTGTTTTTGGCTGCTTTAAAAGACAGCCAACAGGAAGTCAACAATTGCGGAGGTCCCCTATTTTGAGACGTCCTGTCAGGGCTAAGATGAACTCACCCGCAACCAACCACCATGCCTGCTTCACGTAGAAACCCCACTGCCGCTCCACGAGGAGGAGCACCTTAGCCATGGAAATGGTGGATGCAAGCAACGCCCATGCCTCTCCACGTTCCGAGGGCAAGTGGAAGAAAGACATATTTTTTTTTCCCAAGGAAGCCCTAACAAGAAAACAAACAAGTATGTGCGAACCATGAATTAACCCAGCAACCCCCCACAAGAAAGAGAGACACCACTGGACTCGGATGCAGGGCCGTTGAGAAGGCAGCTCTTCACATCTAGTCGGAGAAAAAAAACATGCCACTGGTCAACTAGGCTGCAACCAGGAGACCAAGGCAAAGCAACAAATCGCTCAGGCTGTAGATTGGGTCTTGCCACGAGCATTTGACATGCACAGCCATATACAAGGGGCCGTCATGCGTTGAGCTGAACAATCATCATCTTGCTTTCTTCCATATGTCTTGCCCTTGCTTTCTTGTTTTGTTGGTGGCTTCAGGTAAATTCGACCCATTTTTTTTGGTTACCAAAATTACTAAAAAGGGTTTTCTTGTTTTGTTGGTGGCTTCAGTGTTTGCTTTTCCCATTTAAACACCAAACAAACATCCCCGCGTCTCATGCGGGTTGGTTTCTTCCATTTGGTTCAAACTCCTGGAAAAAACACAATCATATGTCCAGTAGTGATAAATTCCCTTAAAAACCAACCAGGCAAAAAAAACATCTTTTCGGCAAATAGAAGGGGGTTTTCCTCCTCCCGGGCAAGTCCCGCGTCCCGTTCCAGTCGTCCCGTCCGTGGGTTCGAGAAATCCGTGGCGCGGTGATCAGGTGCTTGGCGCGGATGTCCTCGACGCCGCTCTGGGCGAGGCAGGAGCCCCGCAGGTTCCAGCCGTCCATCTTCTTGGTCTGGTCCTTGCGTGTCTTTTCGCGGTGTCCAGGGAGAAAAAATGGCGAGAACATGGTCTTTAGTACTCGTGATGGAGTCCCCTTTGAAACCAAGAAGGGGAAATAAAACATATTCATTTCAGCAAATGGAAGGTTGGAAGGCCTTTTGGGGCAGATTGGGGGCTGGTTGGGCTGCTTTTTGTGTTTTTGGACCCTTTGAGTGGTGAGGAATGAAAAAATCCGGGAAAAAAAGTATTTGACTGCAGGGACCTTGGGGGCTGGGTGCTTGGAAACTTGGCTTTGCCTCTGTTTCAGGGACATGCGAGACACTGTGGCGGAAGTAGAATTGTCTTGCCTCTGTTTTGCTTCGTGGGTGTAGGCTTGACGTCGGAGGAACCATGAGCGTGTTACCAAACCCGAGCTTTGTGGTCTTGACGTCAATTGAGGTGCGTAGACTTGATGATGCTTCTTGTCAGCCAAAATCAGGGCTTCCCTTTTTGATCCCCCGTGAATACGGCGCGCAGGCCTCCATGACCTGTCTCACATCGTCATTGCAAGTGGGTGCTGGGGAAAAAGCCAACATCATTGCAAAATTACAACATCATGGTAATTCGGTGCGCTACATTCAGGGTCAAAAGCCCGGTCAAGGCTTTTGGAGTAAAAAGAACTAGGCTGAAATGCAGGATGGCATGGTTCATGTAAGGGTTCTCGAGGACTGCAACTGCCAAGTGTGCGGCAGTTTGGGCAACTATGATGCCGTTCTTGCCTATGAATGAATCTTGGACCGGAGCATGTTTGCAACACTGCTGCATGCGCAGGATCATTGATGTCGATGTCAGCCAAGTAAATGAATATGCATCAAGGCAAACCAAAGAGAGATAAAATGTCTAGGTCCTCCAGTTGAGAGGCTAGAACAAGGGTACCCTTTCGTCTGTAGTCGATTTTAGTAGGGGAACCCTCCCAACCAACAAAGGGTAAAAGGGCACCACTGGGGGGCCTAGAATATGATCCACAAAACACCAAAAATGGCTCACCGCTGGGACCTGCCTACTGACAAAGGCGCATAAGAATATATAAGAATGGTATACGCGTTGCAAAGGTTCACTACCGGAAGAAACTGCCCAAGGTTCACTACTGGAAGAAACTGCCAAGTTACTGCCTGCAAGCCAAACAAACACAACTGTACCTCAAGTGCCCGGTCAACAACGCAATACAATGTTGCGCTCAAGGCAACTCCTGGAGCGCAACATGTTGGTCTTATCCTCTCCTCCTGAGTGGATTGGCCACAAAAGGTCCAAACTTCTCGCTTGCCACTAAAATGGTCCAAACGCAAAAGGTGACTAAAGTCCTTCCACCCAACTCAGGAAGCGATCTCTTGGTTTCCCGTTCCTCCAGAGGTCTGCTCGAAAATCGCCCCACATGATTAGACTAAGGCCCAGTTATAGCATGTATATCTCTTGTTTGCTTCCCTTTGAGTCACTGGTAAAAGGGTAAAATGTATCCTAAGTGTACCCCAGCCCAGTGGATCACCGCCATCCAACGGCCCCGCGCTGTCCCCTGGGTCGCAGAAGCTGGGCACCAGCACGAAGCCTGGCGAGTCGCGAGACCCGCATCCCGCGAGACCCGACTGCAGAGAAAAAACCACCTGGGTACTAGCCTGGGTCCTCCAGTGGAGAGGTCAGAATAAGGGCACCAACTTTTTTCAGAAGAAAACCAGCTCGAGGAAGATGCGCCCACTTGGCTACTAGCCTTGGACCGCTTCCATGACTGCGCTTTCTCCTCCTGGAAAAACAAATTGAAAAACACACACACACCAAAAAAAAACAAGTCCAGCAGTGCTAGATTCTCTTTAAACACCAACAAGGGAAAGTACAACATATTCTTAAGTACATCTTAGTCCTCCAGTAGAGAGGTTCCAATGAAGAGTACCCGATCAAATTTCTGTAGCCTATTTTAGTAGGGGAACCGAATCTCCCAACCAAAAAAGTTGGTGAGAAAGGGCACTGCTGGGGGACCTAGTAGCCTTCCCCCCCAAACAAAACCCCACCCCCAGAGCGAGAAGCATGGGACTCCTGCATGGGCGAGTTCGGATAAAATGACAGGTGTTTCAAGGGCGGTGCGCACTTCACTGCTTGTTGTTGGGATGGCAATTGCTGTTCTCAGATGCTCAGTGGATTTCCATGAGGAAAAATGGGCATCGGTTTTTTTTTTGCTGGTTGAGTTGAAAGGAATCGGAACCCTTCCCCCCAAAAACGGAAGGGGGGAATCCACTGGTCAATTGGGAGGACCTTTGCACCGTTTTAATGCGTGTACACGCCCCGAGGGCGTATCCCTGTCTCACAACAACGCACACACACACACACACACAAGCGGCAGAGCGATCTGTTTCTTGAGGAGGCCGGCTAATCTAGCGGATCAGATTACTATCTGCAAAGAACTCTCTAAGAATTCCTGCAAAGCGTATCATAATATTGCGACCAAAACGGCAATCGGCATTGGCTTCGGTCAACATTCATGGCACCACTGACTAGCACTGCAATGATTAATTGAGGTGGGTCAGCCCCATTCAAGCTAGTGTTGTGGTGATTGCATCGGTCATATTGAGCCTTGCGGCCAAGCCAGCATTGAGCACATCAGAATGAAGTCAAGTCAACGATGAGCTCCCAAGCGAAAACCTCAAATAGTTCTGCGTGCTTTCTCTCAGGTTTACCAAGGAGATCGAGAAAACAGCTGAGAGAGGCCCTCCATTTCTTGGTTGCTGTAACCAACCATCTGCAACAAGTCAATGACCTTTTGGTGGGTCCAATGGAAAATCCACTTGTTTCGACCAAACAAATAAAGTCCAAAAATCCAACCAAATGGACATAAAGCTTTGCAAGCCTTTGGCTTCTTAACTCTGGAAAAGAAGGCCTTTGGCGCCGATCTTGAATGCTGAAACCCATTGCCATCTGCCCTCTTTGGGACTTTTCCGAAAAGTCTCAAGAGGGGGACAGCTGTCTTCGTATGGGGCCCAAAGGGACACGGCCAGGGTCAAAATCCCGGTTATCCTCCAGTGAACATCCCAATCCCCACCAAAATAGAGTAAAACGGGTGGTGCACCTACCCCAAAATGGTATCCCATTGGAGGGGCTCGGAGCTGCGTGCGCAGAGCACGGCCGGCAGCACCAAGGCGGGGTTCATTGGTTTTGACAACCACAGCCACATTGCAAGAGGGCTTTGGGGAGAGACGGCAGCCCCGGTCCTTCGCAGTTCACCAGCTGCACTTCCACCGCCAGCCGCTGACCTGAAAACAGACATGTCCGGTGTCGAACAGGGAGCTTGCCCCACTTCCGTGACCGCGCGTTCGCCGCCGGGACAAAACTTGTTTCTTTGTTATCCAGCAGTGGTAGATTCCCTTTAACACCAACAAGGGAAACTAGGTCCTCCCGCCTGGAAACACTTTAAAACAATTCCAGAAGTGGTAGATTCCCGTTTAAACCAACCAAGGGAAACTAGGTCCTCCAGTAGAGAGGATAGAATAAGGGTACCCTTTTTTTCTGTAGTCTATCTTAGTAGGGGAACCCTCCCCCAAAAAAAGGGCACAAGGGCACTACTGGGGGAACTAGGAAAGTACAACATATTCAAAAGCCCAAGTGGCGAATTTCATATTCCCTCTCGAAAAGCCCGGAAAAGGGTCGGCTTTGTTAGATCTGGTTTCACATGTGAACCGCAAGGTCCGGGCAAAGTTGGCGATCCGGCCAGAAGTTGCTAAAGCAGTCGAAAGCTTGCCGAACACAGCAGGCACCTTCCAACACCGGAGCGATGGAAACGGCATAGCAGACAATGCCATTGGACAATACAAGGCCAAGATTCGGACTCATTGACAAATGGTACGGCACACCCAACGACAAGACACACAAGCACAAGGAATTGAAGCAACCAAGCGAAAGAGGAAGCGTATGCAATCAGAACAAGCAAGTTACGTACAAATGCTCCTAACGGCACAATGCTCAACAGCCGCCCAGGCCGCCCAAGAATCAAATCTGGGCCAAGGGCCAAGCAGTGCTCGGGCAAGGGAGATACAAGACAGATCCGATCCGAACCATTTTCATACCTTTGGGCTTGGTCAACCATGTGAGGGATCCGGAAGTTGTATAATAGCTCAGTCATCTTTAACTTTGCTCAACATCTTCACCACAGCTTGCGCTATAATACGTAAATCAAGGTTGAAACGAATCATCTTGGAATTCACTCTTTCTCTTACTTGCAACACCAGAAAGTTATCTTTGGCGGAAGATGCAACATGACAACGCCAACAAAATCCGTGGAATCCCCCTGAGCTTCAAGCGGACATCTCTGACCCTGTAAGAACTTGTGTCGGCGAGGGATATCGATCACCCCATCCAGGAGCTGATTTCAAGGCAGAGTCGTTTTTCGGGTGTCTTAGGAAACATCCGGCAAACGCCAAAACGCTCACTTCACCTGTAGCACCCTGGACTCGACATTTGGATAACATCCGATTTCTGTTGGGCGGGTGACTCCAAGGTCTCTTTTCGCCGAGCTGCAGTCAAAGGGGAAGCTGTCGAGACAGAAGTCCTGGATGCGGCATGATGCGGCATGCTCGACGCTGCATTAGATTCTCCTGATTGCTTCCTAACATCGTCCGGTTCCCAAAGTTGAGAATCAATTGAACAAAGGGCCAAAGACTCGTTGGAATTCTGAAAACCATACAGCCCCTGGCCCCAGCGTCTTGCATCTTGGGGCCGCACGGTGAAGACACTGGCATTGAAGTGCACCCGCACGGTGACTCGGCCCATTTCAGAATCCAAGACCTGGCAGGCCAGTACCCCAAATTCGACCGAAGCACCGGTGCTTCAGAGTCTCTCGTGGGGATGTGGGTCATTCAACAGCATAGCTTGCAAAGCACTCGCCATGTGAGTCATAATGAAAACCGTGGTTTACCCAGAACTACATGTAAAGAAATTAAAAAGGCGGCTGCACCCATTTAGGGTTGGGACTATCGCTCGCTAAGTTTCAATTGTTCGGATTTTGATTGTGGCTTTTGCGTATGGCTTGACTTGTCAAAAAAGCACGCAGCGCGCAACTCGAAAACAGCTGAGCAGCTGAGCTGCAGCAAAATTTCAGGGGAATCGGGCAAGGCGTCACCAGCTTACCGAGAGCTTTACCAGCTTGAGACACATAGCAAGGGTCAAGCCTGCTTACCTTGCAGGCAGAATCAAGGCTTTGAGGGCTCGTAATCGGTTTTGTGGTTTTCGCAATTAAAGAAACGAGTTCAAGATTCGGAGACTTACAAATATCATTGTAGAAGCTGCTGCTGCAAGCAACTTCCATATACTTTCGGGCAAAGGTGTTGGGCTGCCATCTGTAGAAGCATTGACAACAACACACTCGAAGATCTCCTCGTTGCGCCCATTCCAAGTGCCGAAGGTCGCCAAACGACAACGCAACATGTGTTTCTGGCCGAGGGCCGATAAAAACGGCGACCCTGTTTGGTACTTTCTGCAAAAGGGCGCCAAGACATGACACCAACATCCAAAACGCGGCTCCTGTTTTTGACAGCCCGAGGTGAGTAATTCAGAAGCCAAGTCGTCCCAAAGGCGCACGCGTTTGCAGGGCAAGAAAATGATCTGTGCTACTGTGAAGAGCTGATTCTACTCTGGGCTCCCCTCAGATCCCCTGCTAAAAGCTTTTAACTGTTGGTGCTAAATGGAAACTCCCTCTCAACACCAAACACCTAAAGAACCGGATGGCCGGAAACCACCAGGCATTGCAAGGTGGGGAAGATTTTGAGCTGCAATCCCCCGGAAACAAATAAAATGAAATAGTTTTTGTATGATTGAAAAAAAAAGAAACGCCGCTGTTTGGAGGTTCAGTTCGAGGGACGATGACATCGGAGTACTCCTCCAAGGACACGGTGATGGCATTCTTCAGGCCGATTTTGGGTACGGCCTCTGCTCGCTTCGCTTCGGTCCAGCGGCCGCTTGAGCGAGATGAACCACAGAGATCCACCCCATTGGCAGTGGTTGGGGTCAAGTTGCACCACTTCCCTTGGTTGCTGTTGATCCCCCTGCAAAAAGTTGACAGTTTAGTGGAAAACCCAACTTGATTTCCCAAAAAGTTAAAGTCTAAAGATCCAACCCAATAGCAGTCAAGTTTCTATATGCGATTCTCTTGCGTGGTACCGTGAATTTCAGGTGTAGGTGGTATTTCTCAACTATATCTAGGTCTTCCAGTAGAGAGGATAGAATAAGGCTACCCTTTCTTCTGTCGTCTATTTTAGTAAGGGAACCTCCCAAAAGAAAAGGGTAAATGGGCACTACTGGGGGACCTAGATATAATGCAGGGATTGTCAAACTTCCGCCTCCTTGTGTGGGTCATGGTCATCAGCCAAACTGAATAAGAAGTCCATACGAAACCAAGCCCCTGGCAATAGAAAGTCAAGCTGCACATGAGCACGATCCTTCAGCCGCAATAGAACTTCTAGCACTTCCGGGTTGAAGACGACTTCCAGAACCCATTGTAAGGCTGTCACTCCTGTGGAAGGAACAAACCACACATGTCCCAAAATCTAAGCTTGCAGACTTGCTTGTTGAGAAACGCCCAAACCGCCTCTTTCTCTTGTCCCTCCACCACGCGACTAAATGAGAACCAAAGACAACATGCCGGTCCATCGTAGTTCCAACCCAAAGCTGTCTTTGGCAACCAACACCAAAACCAACCCCTGCAAAACGGCGCGAAGTGGTTCGCTGCCAGTTGCTTGCAACGGTCTTGGACGTCGAATGGCAAAGAAGTGGTGCGCACAGCATCGCACAGCGAACCATGGCGTAATACGCAACCCAACAAGGCAATACTTGCAGCAACTCTTGACTTTCGGCTACTGACCTGACTCAAAAATGTATACGCGTTGACCATGCAGGATCTCCTAAACACCAAGAAGTGCCCCTTCGTCTCTGACACCATGCTTTTTGACATCAGTCACAAAGCTGGTCAGTAGTACCTAAGTAGGTCTGCAAATCAAATTCCCTAGATGTGGTCATCCTTCCTCCCTTGGCCTCATCATTGCAAGATCAAATATCCCTTGGCCTGAAGGCTCAAGCCGTTGGGCCTCTGCATGCCTGGGGTTGCCCACGTTTGCCACTTTGACCGGACATCACTCTTTGGTTGCAAAAGCCCTCCTTCTCAGGTGGGTTGACAAGATGGCCACAACCCTTGGGGATCCCGCAAAGGTAGCAGAAACCGAATTTGATTTCCCCCAACTCTTGACAATCCGTCTGAGTTGTTGACTCTCTGACACGCACCCAATACCTCACCCCTGCGGCTGGGCCCACGCACCCCTTGCGCCCCCCCCCCCTCGCGCCGCGGTTGGGTCCCTGGCAATGGCGCCAGGATTGCTCTCCTTCAGAAGCTCCGTGTAGGAGATGCGGGTGTTCCGCGGCAGCCCCACCGCAGCCTGCGCTTCTGCCGAAGAGACTGGCGGCCAAGACTTGGGGTGTTTGTGTGTGTGATCTAGGCCCAGTAGAGAGGTTAGAATATGGGTACCAACCTTTTTCTGCAATCTATTTTAGTAGGGGAACCCTCCCCCAACAAAAGGGGTGAGAAAGGGCACTACTGGGGGACCTAGTGAGTGTGTGTGTGTGTGTGTGTGTTTTTGTGGCGCCCGTTCGAGGACTGGCCATCAGAAAGGAGGACACTGACTGTGATCGGTCCATAACTCAAGACAACAGTACACAAGAGCAACTCACGTGCACAGCACATGACTGAACAGCGACCAACACTGTGCGAACAGGAAGGTCCTTTCAGGTCAAGTCACTTTGGCTCAGATATGCGAACTCAGGCTGCCGATACATGTGCCAGCCTTAAAAGTTGGTATCGCCTTTCATGCGACAGTGGCGTCAGGCTTTTACTCTATGTTCCTTGGCAATACCATATACTTGCAGCCCAACTGTGCGGTCACAATTTGGCAAACGCTCAACAATAAATTGCCATGGCCAGTGTCTTGGTTAAAGCTGCACAGAATAAAGAATCACCGCTTGCCCAGCGTCGAGGAACATGTTGGCAGCAAAAAGGCACAAGAACTGCATTCGCTTAGCATGCCGGCACCAAACAAACCCAACACTGCGTTGTCGGGCCACAGTTTGCATGTCGCAAAACTGTCGGCGCTTGATGCAGGATGAGATGCGCAGGGGATGCTTGGGCAGTCCTTCCATGTTCGGCAGTGTTGACAATACGGGCCTGCTTGTGACGGTTGTGGATTGCTTGAAGTTGCCACTTGAAGACAAAGTGATGGGCCCCCGCTTAAAAGCGGGGCGCTTTGAGAGGGGATCCTTCACTTTTGAAGGATTCTCGTGGCCCACAAACTCCGACTCATCAACCCTGCGCACAATGCTCCTTTTAGGGGCTGAATGCTTCCTAAGGACCCCTAAGAATCACAAAGGTTCTACCCTTCCGGCAACTAACATAGCACCTGACGAGTCCCTTGAGAAAATTCATCTTCCAGCTACCCTCCCTCAATGCTATCTGGGAAGGAATACGGACCCTTCCTGGAAAAGGAGCCTCAGACCCAGGTGTCCCCCAAACCCCACGGCCGCGGTTCCGCGGCGGGGAAAGCATCGAAGCATCGCCTCGTCCAATTCGGTGGCCTCTTGGAACAATCGATGGGTTTCCCTGGTCCATGGGTAATAAACCCCATAACCAGTGGAACCCATTGATTCTTAATCAAGCTCACCGATCAAAAGGACTGGCTCTGGCCTCTTCTTGCCCTGGGGCCTGAGATCCTCAAGTGCTCCCAAGGACCTGCTCCTAAGAAGAAGACAGGCGCCCGAGATCCCACCCTCCTTTTCTCACCAAGCAACCCGCCACCGGCCGCGGCTTTACAAAAAAAAACGGCTTCAAAAAAGGGGGGGGAGAAAAAAAGCGCCCCGGGGAAAAAGGGCGGCCTCGTCGCTCCACTCCAAGATCACGTGGAACTTGGCCAAGAAGGTGGCAGAGGCCACGTCGATGTCCGAGACCAGCCAAAACTTCACCTGACTCAACGACCCTTTGGACCTTTGGGATTCAAAATCAGGTCGAAAAAATCCCAGAACCAGGGCGAAGCAAGATAATTTTCAGACGCCGGACTTCCGCCACTCTTTCTGGGCGGGTCGGGCTATGACTCGCCGAGCGGCCGAAAGCTCGCGGCTCGCGAAAGCTCGCGGGCCGACGGAGCTGGGATCTGAAGCTCCCCGGGTGCCACGTGGATGGCCCAAAAAGGAACTGGGTGGCTTTCCACCAACATGAAAACGCAAAATGGGCTTGGAAAGTACCAAAAGTACCCAACATGGGGACGCGGAATGGGCTTAAAGGTAGAAACAAAAGGACCAAAAAGCACCAAAATGGGTCCAAACCCGAAAAAAGTGGAAAGTAAAGGAACTCGGGAAGTGAGCAATGGGCTTCCAATTGGTCGGAATCACAGCCCAGCCGTGGTTGGGGGGTATCCCTAACGAACCTTCCTCTACGTACCCGGGTTTTGATTGTGGCTCTTTTGGGGCTCAATGTTCAGAGGAACATTTACCGCAGAACTCAAAACCAATATCTCACACACACACACACCAGGAGGAAATCATGCGAGTGCGCTTGGCACGAAATGCCAGGCCGATTACCCTCCCTTTCACTAACATAGCCCCTGACAGGGGGTTCCCTGAAGAGGACGTTATTTTTCTTCCAGGCACCTTCCCGCAGGTGCTACGTCTGATCAGGGGAAGGGTATATAGCTAGTGTCAAGGAAAACAGCGATTTGTCGACTGGCAAAGGCTCTGCTGGAACGAGGGTCACCAGAGCGAAGCTGTTAAAACTTTCTCGGCTCGGCGAGTCGACGAAAACAACCTGATAGATATGTGTATACATATATAGATATAGATATACATGTATAGATATAGATATACATATATATATATATATATATGTATATTATATATACACACTATATATATATATATGAGCCACGGACAATGTGCTTGTGCCAACAGGACATGGGAAGAAATTACTGTTTCGGCCCATTGGCTCTTTCAGCCGGAACTGTGCGCCTTAAACAAACAATCAACTACCAATAATTTGATCAGTTGCTCAATGTGTGGGCCTGTCGCGACGTGAATGCCCGCCACCTTCCTTCAAGCCAATGCAAGCTCAACTGGTTCAGTACAAAACCCTTGTCAGGTCACAGCACATTGTTGCTCGGGAAAGTCTCGAATTGGATACATTGCAAATGGAGACTCCACTAGGTTGGACTTGTGCAGAAATATGTAGGCTACACATGCCACAGTTTGACGACCTCCAAAGATACTAGGCAATGCATTCCAGTGCTGACTGCATTCACCGCAAGAGGTTCACAAGCGCTGAACACCTACCGGCTCTGTCAAAACGACTTTAAAAGGGAAGCAACATGTCACCAAACTGGAGGGCTGTCGAGTTCGTTTTCATACATCACCAACTTATGCTGTGGCCGCCCCTCCACCAACATGGCTCTCTTGGAAGCGGAAACACCTGTGCCCAAACCCTGAAAACTTTCGTCTTTCATGGCCGTGAGGGGCCCCCAAGGATGCTCTCCCCGCAAAAAGTGTTCAAGTCGTCAGGAGATACTGAGGTCTATAAATCGGCACAAGGCCACCTATCTGCTGAACAGGGACACCTTGAAGTACTTGGTTTCATTGTGGTTTGCCATGGGAAGTACCCAACAAATGACGCTCGCTTCGACGCATCCAAGTTGTGGCTCTAGGGAGGCGTTTCTCAAAACAAATAGCAGCCTCCGGAATCCTCAAGTTCTCCTCTGCACCTCCGGATTGCCATTGGCGACCCACTCATGACTCGATCAGTGTAAGCCGCTGGGACCGGGTTTGACAACCCCATGAAAGGTAGAACAAAGCAACTAGGTGCTCCAGTAGAGAGGCTAGAATAAGACTACCCACTTTTTCTGCAGTCTATTGAACCGAATCTCCCAACCCAAAAAGTTGGGTGAGAGAAACGGCACCAATTGCTGGGGGAAACCTCGGCCACAGGCGCGGCTGAGCGGCCCCAAGGTGCACCGGCACATCACAGAGAGCGTCTGAGGACCTGCGAGCTCTGCTTCGGGTCCCGACTTGTCTCCACTGGGGGGGGGAGGGGGGGCAGGCGAGTCTTTTCATAAAAAAAACCCAGGGGAAACAGATCCGGTTTTATCAAACACCCAGGGGAAACAGATCCGGTTTTGAAAAGAACGAGGGTTGAAAAGAATGGACAAGGAATCAACCCTTATGAAGACACAAAGTACAAGCTTGATTGCCGCGAGCGGGGGGGAGTGTGGTTCTCAAAATGCTGAAGCCCGTGTAGTTGGTGGTTAAAGAGCAGCGAAAAACTTTGTTGGTGCTCAGTAGGGAATGAGTTGGAATGACCCCTGTAAAAAAATCCAAGTGGTGGTTTCCTTTAAGTTGGAATCCCCAGGTGCATTCCACTTATCATTCCCTACTGAGCAGCAGCAAGAAAAAACAACGAAGAGAAAAAGGCATCTGAGACATCAAGGGTCGTTCCAGGTTCGAACGCGCTGGAATTTCTCAACCGAGTACTACGACTACGATGGAAAAGCAACCCCGAAAAAGGGTTGAAGCAAGTGGGCATGAAGGGCATCTTGGACTGCCATTCTTCAGCCTGTCAGTTCCGCCTTTGGAGCTTAAGTTTGCTTGCCCACAAGAGCTCAAGTTCAAAGGGTCACCTTGCAGGAACCACGATCAAACGTGGACCAAGTGGGGAAACCAAGTGGCCAAACTAGGTAAATTAACTTTGAAAGCCAGGGTTTCAACAGGACACCAAATGAAACCTACCACAAGAAAAAGGGTCCCTGGTTCTAACACATCCAGTCAGCGCGAATCGTGAACGCTTCCAACTGCTAACAAAGAATCGCCAACCACCTGTAGCGTGTCTCACTTGAGTGGATGACCCAGAAAAAGTACAAACGCTTGTGCCGCTGAAATGGTCCAAACCCAAAACGTGAAGTCAGCAAGTGACGAAGTGAGGCGTTCCAACCTCAACCCGTTCCGATCCGTTCCGCCTGCTCCGGGTTTTGCGCACCGGCGGCTCGAGCCGGGTGAGCAGCCCCTCCATGGTCCTGCGGAACACAAAAATCCAGCGACTGGTCTTTGCGTCTTCGCCGCGAGAAATTCGGCGAGAACCAAGAAACCAAGCAACCAAAAAAACACGGGGCAAAGAACAAAGCTATGGCAGGCTCTTGGTCCATGGGCAGTGCCCTTCTGGCAACTGCAAGGCGGTGCTTTCTGGGCTTGCAAAACCTTTGCCTGAAATTGCCGTATGACAGTCTCAGGAATGCGCTTGAGCGACTTTGGGTATAGAACCGAAGTCCGCTGTTGGTCGAGCCGACGGCTCAGGCTGTCAGAAGTGCAGCTGCTTGCGAGCAGAAAGCGCTGTGGGTCAAGACGGTGGTGCTATGCTGCTGCTGACAACAGTGGAGAGGCTCAGAGCATCTCGGAGCGTCTTTCAGTGAACTCGATGTTGAGAGGACACCCAGAGTGCAACCCCCCCATGCCGCGCGAATGTTGTCACACCACGAGAGCCGTCGATGACAGGATTTCGGCTGCCGACTGAAAAAAAGAGAAACAACAAAAAACAGTCAAAGTGTGGCTTAGTGATTTAGGGGACAGCCTACGGTACACGCGTTCTTCAATCACTTCTCCCAAAGCTTGGCTCCAAACAGGTGGCAACGATACCATTTTCCGTGGCAGGCCCACGCTCAGATCTGTTGAAAGACCCCAACGCACAGCCAACTCGACTGATTGGCTGCATCTGAAACATCACTTTGGTGGCTCGCGCAATGCTCCATCGGCCGTATGGCCATGGGTCAAAACCTCGTACCCCCAGTGAACATCCCAATCCCCACTAAAATAGGCTCTAGAATGGGTGGTGAATTCACCTACCCCAAAATGGGATCTGAATTGAATTTTGACCCACATCCATATTTGTCCGATCTCAGCCGTTTTCCAGCTGCAGTCCTGGATCCCCAAGCAATTGGCCCGGTGTCAGTGTTTATGGACAAAATCTCGGTCGGGATACCTGTTTGTTACCACCTAGCAACTGGTGTGTGTTTGTTTGTTTGTGTGTGTTTGTGTGTTTGTGTGTTTCTGTGTTTGTGTGTTTGTGTGTTTGTGTGTGTGTGTTTGTGTGTGTGTGTGTTTGTGTGTGTTTGTGTGTGTGTGTGTGTTTGTGTGTGTGTTCGTGTGTGTGTGTGTGTTTGTGTGTGTGTTTGTTTGTGTGTTTGTGTGTTTTTGTGTGTTTTTGTGTGTTTTTGTGTGTTTTTGTGTGTTTTTGTGTGTTGTTGTGTGTGTGTGTTTTTTGTGTGTTTGTTGTGTGTTTGTTGTGTGTTTGTTGTGTGTTTGTTGTGTGTTTGTTGTGTGTTTGCTGTGTTTGTTGTGTGTTTGTGTGTGTTTGTGTGTGTTTGTGTGTTTTTGTGTGTTTGCTGTGTGTTTGTTGTGTGTTTGTTGTGTGTTTGTTGTGTGTTTGTTGTGTGTTTGTTGTGTGTTTGTTGTGTGTTTTTGTGTGTTTTTGTGTGTTTTTGTGGGTGTTTGTGTGTGTTTGTGTGTTTTTTTTTTTGTGTGTTTTTGTGTGTTTTTTTGTGTGGTTGTTGTGTGTTTGTTGAGTGTTTGTTGTGTGTTTGTTGTGTGTTTTTGTGTGTTTTTGTGTTTTTGCGGGTGTTTGTGTGTTTTGTGTTTTTGTGTGTTGTTGTGTGTTTTGGTGTGTTGTTGGTGTGTTTTTTGTGTGGTTTTGTGTGTTTTGTGTGTTTTTGTGTGTTTTTGTGTTTGTGTGGGTTTGTGTGTGTGTGTTTGTTTGTGGGTTTGTTTGTGTGTTTGTGTGTGTTTGCGTGTTGTTGTGTGTTTTTGTGTGTTTTTGTGTGTTTTTGTGTGTTTTGTGTGTGTGTGTTTTTTGTGTGGTTGTTGTGTGTTTGTTGTGTGTTTGTTGAGTGTTTGTTGTGTGTTTGTTGTGTGTTTGTTGTGTGTTTGTGTGTTTTGTGGGTTTTTGTGTGTGTGTTTTTGTGTTTTTGTGTTTTTGTGTGTTTGTGTGTGTTTGTGTGTGTTTGTGTGTGTTTGTTTGTTTGTTTGTTTGTGTGTGTGTGTGTGTGTGTTTGTGTGTGTGTTTGTGTCTGTGTTTGTGTTTGTGTGTGTGTGTGTTTGTGTTTGTGTTTGTGTGTGTGTTTGTTTGTTTGTTGGTGTTTGTGTGTGTGTGTCTGTGTCTGTGCTTTGAGGGGACCCTTTCCGGGGGCACTTGAAAGAATCCTTTGGGTGTAATCCGAGGTCTATTCACGGTTGCTTTCTGCTCCCCTGCAAAAAGTTTAACTTTTAGTGGTTTAATACGGAAAACCCGTTAGTTGGCAAAAAGTTAAAGTCATAACATCCCTTGGCAAAATGCAACAAAAGTATTCTGAGACAAACCCGGTGCAACCCCTTGTTGGAGCCTTCCAAGGATCTTCAGCTCGTCTTCGACTTCTGAGGGCTGCTGGGAGTCTGGTGGGACGAGTCCTGCGCTGCAAAAAAACTCTTCTTCTTTTTTTTGGATGACTCAAATGACTCACAATCAAAACCTGGGGCAAAAATGATGAACCCAAAACCACGTAAGGAATTGAAAAGGCGGCCGCAACCATTTCTGGCTGGGATTGCCCCTTACTAACCTTCAATTACCCGGGTCTTCACGGTGACTTAAATGGAAACCCAGGCTCAGACTCGCTTCTTGAATGGACTGGTCAGCAAAAGTCCAACCTGCGTGTTTACCACTCAACTGGTCTACCCAAAAAGTTTAAAGTCCAGGGACCCAGGGACTCAGGAAGATGCCCGGTAAATTTCCAGATACAAACAAGGCATCCCTTTTTGGTTGAGTTTAAACTTACCCCTTAAAACTCCAAGCCCTGGGAAAGTTAATCTTTTACAGACATATAGCCCATGTTACCCAAAAAGTTGAAAAGTTGTGTTTTTAAGAGGTAAGTAAAGGTGAACCCTTCCCGAGCAAAAGGAAACCAGGGCGCCACTCAGCAACTGGTAAAAGCTACGGTGCATGGGCGGAACTAAAACGGGTATGGGTCAAACTTCAACCCAGACCGCAGGTTTTGAAATTCTCGGTGCCATTTACCGCAGTCCCTTTTGGGGTACATGTCTTTGACCCACAGCCAAATGGATTCACAGAAAAGTGAAGTACCTTCACGGAACCTGCAAAGGAGAGGGGGCGTTGGTCTCCGATATGTCTCCGCTTCCTTTTGTTCAAGGAGAGCGTAGCGGGATGCCAGACACGCAATTCCAAGGGACACCCTCCTGAAATTCGATACTTGCCTGGGGCATTGCCTTTGCCCTCGGTGGCTCAAAAAATATTTTTTGGAACAAAGGAGTCCCTCTGAATGCTGGAAATGCAACTTGTGCTTTGCATATTTCATGTTGGAAGCGCATGGCTTGTTGCTTGAATGGCAGGTTTCAACTGCTCAAACTGCAGGTTGCCAATGTGCTGCCTGCTGGAGCGGCGCTTTCTTCAACTCGGTGCTTGAAAAATGAAATGTGATTTGGGCCATATGTTTGCAAGGGAAAGCAAGGCGTCTCAATAAATCACCACCATTGATTACACGACTTCCAAAGACATATATATATATATATATATATGTTTGCATATGTTACATTGATATTGATATTAATAATTCCAAAAGAGGAGGGAAACAACATCAACAGCTCACAAGCCACAAAGAGGTTACATATTTAGAGCAAGCATCTGTCACTTTTGGGATCAGCTGGAACAATTACAGGTGCCATCAAACATGCTCACAAACAGGACTTCTCATGTCCAAGTAAAACATCACCCCACCTCAATGAATGTTGCCCCTCAAAGCAATGTTCTATCTACCCAACTAGGTCCTCCAGTAGAGAGGATAGAACAAAGGGTACCTTTTTTTCTGTACCCTATTTTAGTAGGGGAACCCTCCAACCAAAAAGGGGTGAGAAAGGGCACTACTGGGGGACCTAGCCAAGGTACGGCAAGGACTGGCAAACAGTCTCCGAGCGGGAAGAAACCACGTGCCTTGCACGCTCCGCGGCAGCTTGCCCTGCTTCACTGCCTGCGCCTCCGACGAGTTTCGCCGCACGTCGACCATGACCTGCGGAAGCGTCGCGTGGTTTCTGGGCAAGAAGAGAGCGCGGCCAGCTTTCCCAATGCCCATGGCGTTTCGGATAACCCTTAATTGGGTCAAGCTTCCGAGGGGCAGGAAGGGCAAAGGGCTGTTTCGGGGAAATCAGGTCTCAATCTCTGTGGAAAGCTCTCTTGTTTTCAGACGCGGCCTTTGCCAAAAAACTCAGTGTCAGGCTCTGCGGAAGACACTGGACTGCTCCGACATGATTTGTTTTTCTAAGGAAGGTTGGCCTGGTGTTAACAAGACTTGGACCCATTGTGAAGAGTATCGCCTTTTTCTGGTCAAGAGCAACATGATGATGGAATATCAAAAGGGCAAACGGGATAGATTAGTAAAAACAAAAAGCTTGACAAATGAGGGTTAGCTTGAACTGATCGGGCTGGGCCTTATCTAGTTTGGCCGCCTCAGAGTGAGATGTTAAGACTTCAAGCCATTCAGACTTTAACACGCTAAGCCACCAAGATTCTAAGATCTTTTCAGCCATTGAGCAATGTCATACATGAAGATGTTTTTTGGGGGTTCAAGGGCCTCAAGGCTTCAGGGAATGTTTCAGGGGCACCTTTGGGCACCTCTGGGGCTTCTCAGCGGCTCCAAGACATGCCACTGCGGACGGTGAGCCCTGTCGGACTGAGCCGGTGGCTGAAAATCTAGTGGCAACGCCCGGGGCCCAGGGCTCCGGGCCCAAATGTTGGCGAAGATCCAGACCAGAAAGACGAAGCAGCCCCAGCAGTGGTCAATGATGCTGAGCACCTACGAAATGCGCACGACAGGGTTCACAGGCTTCAGGCCCCCCAGCTTTCAGGGAAAAGAGTGGGTTGCCCGACTTGGACATGTGCCCCATCAAGCGCAGACTTCTACGCGTCGTCACATGCTCCCTTGGGAATGCTCTATGGCATTCCGCTCTATGGCATGGACTTCCCGCGAGCTCATCCGAACAACCCGCGTGCTTTCCTCGGACCCCGCATGCCATATGCCACGTCTGCCATGGCAGATGGTCAAAATGAGCTCCCCAGCTTCCGCCGAGGCTCAACCCCTCCAAAAAAAAACACGCGATTCATATGGCCCAGCCATGAACTGGTCCTTCCGTGGTCACAAACCTCAAAAACACAAACGTGGCATGCAACCTAATTAAATAACCCGGGTCCTCCCAATTCCCGAGCATGACCGCTACGACACTCTGAGCCTTGCCAAAGTTCCAGAGTTTCTTTGGGGAGGCGAATCAGTTAGCTCCCCAAACATCCAGTTGTGCTCTTCTTGGATACACTCCCTCAGACTCACATAGAAGCTCTCAGAAGGCCACCGGAAATGGAACTTCGAGTCTTGCAACAGTTCGGGTTCCGTTCGGGTTCCGCTTCCATGGGAAATCGCCTGGAGGGGAAGTTTCACGACGCCAGGAACCAACCCTGTGGGCCGCGGCCGCCTCGTAAGTGAGGCCCGGCAGCTCCAATTGGCCCAAAGCGTCGAAGAAGGAGCCTTGCAACGGGTGGCTCTGCCAAAAAATGTTTAGAACCTCTTTCCATGGCGGTAATGCTTGAGTTCTTGCATTGCTTTGTGGAAAACAGAAAACAGATGCTTGAGTTGTTGGCACTGGTGGAAAAACCGATATCTTTCACGCCAATCATCATCTGTGTTGGGTAATGTCAAAGGAACACATCCACACAATGATGATCTATTGAGGTTAGGAACGCCTGCTAAAAGTTTAAGTTGTTGGGTTATATTCGGAAACCCAACCACTGAACCAACTCAAAAGCCAAAAACCTCTAAAACCAAATGGCTGGTTGCAGCGTTGGAAAAGCGTCGACCGAGCCAAGGCGCAGAAGATGCCGATGCTGAAGAGCAGTGCCAGGCCTCCGCGCGCATGGAGAGGTGGAAGTTGGAAGGGGTGCACTTGCGCTTGGCGCGGGGAAGGTTTGGTTTGGGATGGAACGGTGGTCACATATGGAAGGAGGAAGGAAGGGACGGAACGATGCGGTGCAGTGAAGGAAGGGGCGCTTTCGCTTGGTGCACATGTGTGTTCAGTGGCTGGGAAGGTTCCGGCATGTTTGGATGCTTGTGCGAACTGCCCGTGAGGTTTTTGCCCCCGGAAGGCCTTTTGAATGGCGAATTCGTTCTCCATAAGGAAAGGCCGCCTGGTATCAGAGAGGGTGGCAACAGTGCCAACTCTTCATTGCTGAAATGATGTGCCGCTTGTGAGACTTCGGGGAACCTTTTTCTTCACCCTCCAAACTTTGTGTCAAGCCTTCCCTGTTTTTCAACCCTTCACCCTTTCTATTTAACCCTCCCTCCGTCATTTTTTTAACCCTACCCCCCTTCTTTTTTAACCCTCCCCCCCTTTCTTTCTGACCCTCCACCTTGTTCATCTCTTCTTTGCCAGCCGGCCGAGGGTTGGATTAGGTTGATTTAGAGCAGGTTTAGGGTTGATGTACGCTGGGGTTCGGGTCGTTTATGTTTGGTTTAGGTGGTCTAGAGTAGGTGTGTGGTGGCTGTAGGATTGGCTTAGGGTTGGTGTAGGTTTAGGGCGGCTTTGCGGTTTGTCTGGGGTGGCGTCGGGGTTGCGCTAGGGGTGGCTGGGGGGTCGCTTCGGTTAGGGGGGATAGAAGACGATCAAATACCGTCTTCGATCCCAACCATAAACTATGCCAACTAGGGATTGGAGGTCGTTAATTGCACGACTCCTTCAGCACCTTACGAGAAATCAAAGTCTTTGGGTTCCGGGGGGAGTATGGTCGCAAGGCTGAAACTTAAAGGAATTGACGGAAGGGCTGGGCGACTTAGAGTTGATTTGGGGTGGCTTGATTTCAGGTGGGCTTAGGATTTGTTAAGGGTATGTTGTTCGTTTGTTTTGGGTTGGATGTGGGTTGCTTTAGGGTTGATCTGGGATGGTTTAGGTGGGGTTTGGGGAAGCCTTGGATGTGGATTGGTTTTACGGTTGGGTTCATGCTTGGTACAGGGTGGGCTTATGGTTGGTCTAAGGTTGGTTTGGAGTGGCGTAGGGCTGGCCTAGGGTTGGTTTGGGTTGATTTTTGGTCGGCTTGAGCTTAAGCTTGGTTTTCGGGGTGGGTTAATGCTGGGTTTAGAGTGGGAGGGTTTAGGATTTGGTTAGGGTTGGCTTAGGGTCGGTCTAGGGTTGAGGGTTGGTTTGGGTTGGTGGGTTTGTTCAGGGCCGGTTTTGTGTTGGTTTAGGATGGGTTTAAGGTTGGATTAAGCCTAGATTAGGGTGGGATTGGGGTTTAGGTGGGTTTAGGGTGGGTTTATTGTTGGCTTAGGCTCGGCTTAAGGTGTGGGGTGGGATTAGGGTTGGATCAAGGCTAAGGTGAGTTTAGAGTTAGTGTAGGGTGGGTTTGGGCGGGGTTTAGGGTTGGCTTGGTGTTGGTTTGGTTTGTTTGATTTAGGGACAGTTTAGGATTGGTGACGGGTTGGTTATGTAAGGTTTAGGGTGGTTTCGAGTAGGTCTGTGGTGGGGGTAGGTGGGTTGGGGTGGGTTGGGGTGGGTTTAGGGTTGGATAAGAGATGTTTATGGTGTGCTTAGATTAGGGCTCGTTTAGCGTGATTTAGGGTTGGTTTGTGGTTGGCTTAGGATGGTGTAGGGTGGGTGTGGGGTGGGTGTAGTGTGGGATTGTTTTTTTGGTTTTTGCGTGTTTGGCTGGTTTAAGATTAATTTAGAGATATTGAGGGTTGGCAACATTTGGCTCAGGGCGGGCCTAGGGTTGGTTGCGTTGGTGAAAAAAAGGGAGCCCTGAGACTTCTTTCTGTATGGCTGGGTTGGTGATTTCTTGCGGAAGCCCTTGTTGGAACCCTGTCATTGTACGCAGCCTCTGAGGAGATCCCTAGACAGGAAATGCGTTGAGAAAGATGCAGGAAACAACTTGGTTGGACAAATCCCCAACTGGTCTTGAGACATGCCAAGTTTCAGTCTAGGAGGCGAAGGGCAAAAGACAACTCCTCTTGGCCCCGAAAGGAAATGTGGTCCTGACTTGCATTTGCTTTTTCGCCTTTTGGAAAACAAGGTTTCGAGTGGCGAAATTGGATCTGAATAAAACCAACCGGGGAAAAAAAAGAGTTTGTTTCAGCCAATGAAAGCTGATGAATGCAACCCCTGGCAAAGCGTGAGGCGACCTCTAGCCTTGAGTACCTCTTCGCCTGTTTCAGTGAGTCGCTTTTTTGCATGGCCGTCATGCATGCACATAGGCGTCCTTTTTGGGAAAATAGATGGTCCTGGTAGTTGATTGAACCACCAGTTAAACCAGGGCCCTCTATTTTTTAACCAAATCAACCAAAAAGGACACCTATGGTCATGCAGATTTCTTCTGAAAACCGAGGACTCCGCAGCCTTGCAAGCATGACACGCGATGATCCGGCTTTAAGACGGGAGACGGTTGACAGCTAAAAGCTTAACTTTTAGTGGGTTAAATGGAAACTACCACTAAACACTAAAAAGCTAAGGCTAAGGGGATGGCTGGGAGCCACCAAGCTAAGGATCTGGTCAGGGATCAGCCTTGACTTCCCCTAATTGTCTCCCAAACGTACTACTTCCAGGGGATAGCATTGATAGCATCGCCGGAGAATTAGACCTCCCTTCACATGGGCAACCAAAAAGCGATGTTGGGAATCGACAAAGTACATCTGGGGAGTACATGCCACAATTGCAAACAACGCTAGTCGCAGGCTACAACGACCCTTCTGGACAAATATGAGTGCCACCATTCAATCTAGCCCGATCCAGCATGAACAGGTGGCCCAGCTCCCATTTTCCCATGGTAACTTGTTGAGCCACCTGTTGGAAGTTGGTTGCAAAGGGCAACCCGTAACAGGAAACAAGGGCACCACTGATCTCGGTGTCTATTGTCAGGTGCCCCTGAATTGATGGTTTGGATTGGTGGTTTGGGGATTTGAAGCTGTGGGTCCTTGACCACCAAGCCACCAATCCAAACCACCAATCCAAACCACCAATCAAACGGAGGCTGATATTGCGGACCGAGGCTGTTATTGCGGATCACCAATCAAAGGGAGGCTGTTATTGCGGATCCCACGTTTCGCGCATCCTGAGCACTCGGCTGTTGAGCGCCACGTTGTCATAGGCCGTGATCCGCACTACGCGAGGCATCTTACTGGAGACAGCCACCTAGCGCGGCTTCGTATCCGCCCGAGCTGCCGCGAGCGAATCAAGCGGAAAAACAAAAAAACATGGCCCCCCAATCAAAACAAACGCCATGAGATGTCCATGCTTGCGGAGAAGCAACCATTTAGGGTGTGAGGGTTTTGAGGGTTTGAGGGTCTGAGGTTGCAGCTTCAAGAAACATAGAACTAGAACTCCTTGGCAGTGTCAAAAGTTGACCAAACATGACACCAACCATTTACAGGCGCCTTTCTGCTTGACCCTAACCCAGTTGACACACCGCGGATAGTAGCGGACGGAATTTGGTACCTTGAATTGGAGTCACCGCCAGTTAGCTGGGGCTTTGCTCTGCATGGAACACAGCAAAACCAAAAGTCACTGCCAAATGTCTCCCACACGGGACGCAACATAGATTTGCATAAAACATGTCTGGCAACATGTCCTCAAACTTAGAACCCCAACGGAACTCAAGTCGCAGCCATGTGGGAACCTGTTCCAAAGCATCTTTCCCTGTCTGAATCTCTTAAGGTCCCTTTCTAGCTGCGGCCGGCGTTCATGCGTTCACGCCGGCCAATGGGCCTTGGCCACGTTCTGCACCAGCAACACGCCAACCATGATCTTTCCGCGCTCACGGAAGTCATTCCTGAGCTATAAGAGACTTCACAGGAGTGCCACAAAACCACACACAAATAACGCAACCGGGGGGCACATCTGTTTGGTAGGACTGTTCCCTACATGTGGCTCGGGTCCCTATCCCCTTCTTGCCCGCAGCAGTACCTCCCCTCCCACTGACACGGCACCTAGGGCCAGGTATCCTCCTAATGCCATGTTCGCGGGAGGGAGGGCAACCAACAGGCTTCCATAGCCAGACAAAGGCCACAAGGCCAACCTCGAACACCGGTGGCTCACGGCCTCTGGGGGAATCCATGGCCCTTTGACGCCGAGAAAACCAAACCAATCGAGCGGCACAGCCAAGGCGTAGACGAGCAGGATGAAGGTGGACCAAAGCATCAGCGAACAGAGGCTGGTGACGTAGTAGCGCGAATGCCTCGGACTCTCGGGAGTGTTAAAAATTCCGGCGTTCCTGGCTCAAGTCGTTTACTTCCTTGACGTTCCTGAGACAAAGCCACGACAGAAAACAACAGTTTACATTTGCTCCTCCTCCTTTTGCGGCGATTTGAAAAAATGCAAATCTCTTTGCTCGTGCTCAAAACTCACGCAGCAAAACTAGTTCATGCAACTTGTATCCGTTCATCTGCACCTCCCAGCTCCAGGAACCAGAGTCTCTTGGCACTGGGAGGCATCTGCTGTCTTCTAAATCCTCCAGTAGCTGAGGTTAGAATAAGGGTACCGTTTCTTTTTCCTGTAGTCCATTTTAGTAGGGGAACCCTCCCCCAAAAAAGGGGGACCCTCCCCCAAAAAAGGGGCAGAGAAGGGCACTAGTGGGGGACCTAGTCTTGGTGCCAATAGTGGAAAAGGACATGTGCTAAAATAGACAGGCCCGCTTTGCCCTCAGCTGCCACTGCATGTGCTCTTCGTTTTTGATTGAGAATCGAACTGGGGAATCAGAAATGCCGCAACTTACAAGCAGCCGATTTTGATTTAGAAAGGCATGGCCAATCAGATGATTCGATATGTTTGAGAAACGGGTTCTTTGAAGATCTTGAACAGGGATCCTTACATGAAAAACACCTGAACATTGCAACTTGTAAATGGTGGTTTCCCTTTATGTTGGTAAAGAAAGCCATGTTTCAAATGGCTGCAAAATGGAGATCTTTTTTAAGGAGCCCTGTTGAAGCGGCGCACGTTGAAGCGGCGCATGCTCAGAGGTTTGGAGAAGACGGACGTCAAGCTTGGGCTTGTTCAATGCTTATACAGCGATAGAGCAAGGAACCATGATTGGACCATGATTGGACCATGATTGACATGGTGTCAACCAACAAGAATGCGGCCATTACCAAAGTCCGGAACAACTCTGCTTGTGACCAGGTGTCAACCAAAAAGAATGCGGCCATTGCCAAATTCCGGAAAACAACTCCGTAGATGTGGGTCGCAGCAACAAATCAAGCGTCTTGTTGGAGGTTGCTTTAGCGCGTCTTGTTGGAGGTTGCTTTAGCTTGGAGGTTGCTTGGACACTACTCGCCAGGATAACAATCATCTAAACAGTTCACAAGGGCAGAGACGTTCTGTTGTCTGGGCCGTCCTCACATCCCCCGCTAAACGTTTCACTTTTGGTGGGATTAGATGGAAACCCCTCTAAACCCGAAGACCCTACAAAGGGCATGGCTGGGAACCACCAAGTTGTCCCATTTCTGTTTGTATGTGTGACTTTGTCAACAAGGCTCCGCCACAAGCTCGTCTCTTGCTAAGTGTCATCCAGACTGGGTCTCCAAACTTGAAAAACTCCCACTTGATAAAAGGACCATGCCCTTCTGGTTGTGCACCTCCGAAAAGCTGGTAAGCTTCATCCCCCACTTGAACGTTGCCATCTCGGCTCTATCCCTTCTTCAAGTATCCTTCACAGGGAATCAATAATCACCCACCAGCCGATGTAAAGGCATACAGCAGGAACCACCCCAGTGCCAACGCAGCAACATGATCCGTTTGGATGCGGCCAAAGCTCACATCACGTTGCACAGCAGTGAAACACAACTCACCCATCGAAACTTGCGGAAATTTGCTTCAATGCCCGCAAGAGTGAAAAACAAATCACCCAATCTCCACTTGCGGGATTTTCTTTCGAGTGGATTTGACCTTCCGATTGGTTTCGCGTCGAATCTGCCACCCGGGCGCCGCTTGATCTGCAGGCCGAAAACCGCCTTGGAGGAACCTCAGCTCCGGAGCAGCTCCGGAGGCGTTCGGTGCAAGGACTCTCCCGGACCCCCAGGATGTTCACCAAATAGGGTCCAGCTGACTGGCTCCACTCTTCAGGGGAGGGGGGGGGGGTCCGTGTAAAGAGGGTCCAACATTAAGGGTCAACCAAGGCACACCATTTTTTGCAGCCAGTTGGTCGGTGCCTTGCGAAACACGACCAATACTTTGCCACCCTCCTTTGTTTTTAAGATTCCGACCAAGTGTGGATCTTTCGTTTGGTTTCCCTTGAAAACAGACCAAGAAGGGGTGCCGTCAAGAAAAGACCCACCCCATGTGGTGGTCCTGTCGTTTGTGCATGGCCAGTTGGTCGACGCATGACCAACCCAAAAGGGACGGAGACCAACAGGCGCTGCGTCAATGTTTGGCTAGTCCAGTAGAGAGCTTAGAATAAGTGTACCGACTCTTTTTTCGTGTTGGTCTATTTTAGCAGGGGAACCCTCCCAACCAAAAAAGGAAACGGTGAGAGGTCGGGCACCGATAGCTGGGGGGCCGAGTTGGGGCTGTTCGCCAGCGATCCGCCTGGCGCTGAGCATCTGAAGCAAACCCTGCCTGCCAGCGCATAGGACCGCCCGAAGCTCGCCAACTCCTCCCACTCGCCGGCCTGAAGGGCCAAAGGCCGGAGAGGCTTGGCCAAGGGGGGGAACTGGAACTCGGGTCCCGAACTCGGGTGGGTCATGATCAAAACCCGGCATCAAAATGGTCGACCCAGAACCGTGCTTTAAGAATTAAGAAGGCGGCCGCAGCTTGGCTGGGATTGTCCATTCCTAACATTCACTTACCCGGGTTTAGGTGGCTGTGGCTCAAACATAGGCGAACCCCAAAATGGGTTGCCCTGGCAAATGGAAACATGGACAACAAAAAGACAGCGGTTCTCTGGCGGTTTCATTTTGACCCACAGCCAGGTGGGTCTACAGCTTTGGCCTCAAAGATCAGCAAGGAAACTTGGACCCGTGACGGGGGGGGAGGGGGGGGGAACTGGGGAACTCCCGAACTCATGTCTACAGCCAAATGGGTTTCGCACTGGCACGGTGGTGGCGGCCACTTGGCTCCTTTCTGAAGTTTTCTCAGACATCTGTGATGGCTGTTGGAACCGGAAAACTGCATTGACCCACTGCTCATGGCGTGCACACCTTGTCACTAAGGTTGATACTGTGGATGGACGAAATCCTGCACCACCTAAAGAAACCTAAAAATCATTCTTACCCTGTAAATACCAACAAACAATGGTTTGTCATGGTTTCTTAGGTGGGGCAGGATTTTGTCCATCCACAGTATCACATCATTTCGAGAGTGTATCGCTAGAGTTGAAGCTCAAAAGCTGCTGGGAATATGGCTTGGAGCCCCGTGTACACCCTCGTGGCAAGAGCCCCCTTGGTCACACAGTTCAGCAGGGATCCTTACATACACCTGAACATTGCCTTGCAAATGCTGGTTTCCCTTTATTATGGTGTTGAAAAAGCCATGTTCAAATGGTTGCAAAATGTATCTTTTAAGGAGCCCTGTTCAGAAACCGCTCTTTTCGATTGCAAAAAAACAACAACTAGTCCCTCATTCCATTTCGGAATGCTCCACAAGGCACGGGATCCCCTCTCAGTGGTTGCCTGGTTGCTCCTCGCATTGTCCTATCGAGATTCCAGGGCTTGGCAAAATCGGCAATAGCAAACACATACGGGACACTCGTGGAAATCCCAATTCTGGTGCGTATAGTCTGTGTTAAAACCAGTCAAACAGTTCAGCGTATGTCAGCTTGCTTTTCTATGGCAGTCACATCTGCAAGCGTTGCTATTGAATTGGTTTGCCCAAATCGTTGTTTTTGGTGCGCCGACTTCTTGGGGCACACCATGGACCTTCACCTGCAGCTGTTTAAGGGTGGGATGATGGATACTAGGTGCCCCAGATTCTCCTAAGCTATGCGCCTATGTGCACGAAAGCAGCCAATTGCTAATGGGTTCAACACACGCCCTAATTTGCGCTGAGCTCGAATGAAGGCGGGACCTTTATCATGGCTTTCGCTCGTTATACCCTCAGACCCATTTGGCCATGGGTCAAAATCCACATCGCACCCCCAGTGAACATCCCAATCCCCACTAAAATAGGTTCTAAAATGCTCGATGGGTGGTGAATTCACCTACCCCAAAATGGGATCCCAAAACGGTTTTGACCCTCAGACCCATTTGGCTTCTTCAGCGAAGGGCCTTCACGGCGTCGCGGGAGGTGCAGCCAGTGAGCACGAAATGTCGGTGCGCGTCCTCGCGGGAGGCCAGCATGAGCACCTGCAGCTGGGCGGTCTTTCGTGGCCATGGGTGTTTGTCCGCTTTCTTGGATGCCCGGTGGATTTTCATCATGATTAGAGTCAGGACCAGTTATACAATGTATGTTTTATTGTTTGCTTCACATGGAGTCGTGGATTCACTGGAGCCAACGTGAACCAAACAAATCTCATTGCCCTCTGCCAACTGGAATCCTTTGGGGAGAGCTTTGGAGCTTTTGGGAAGCCCTCAAAATGGTCGGTATCAGCGTCCTTGAAACATCAGCGCGGCGGGTTTCGTTTCGCCGACAAGGAAACCTCTCACCCTGTACCTGCAGCCACTTTAGATTCACTATGGTTCACAGAGAAGCAAAGGGCTAGCCGTGTTGCTCCGCTTGAAGGGTTGATGTCCTCATGGAAAGGCTTTTGAAGGGACACCAGAAGCAAAACTGGCATATCGTCTGTGGCAGCCATAATTCAATTTGTGATTTCTCCTGCGCTCTTATTTCACACAAACCCAAAGAACCTTCTTTGTTGCACAGCCAGGATCAACCGAATGCTGGCTGACTGCTTCCCAGAACTCAACTGCTGCATTCCCTGCGTTGACCCTGATGCTTGCTGTCAGTGCCTGGTATCCTGATAGCGCTGGAATGGCCTTCAGTAGGGTTCAGGATGCTTCAGTCCAAGCCTTGAGGATGCAATCACACCGACTCTTTGTTGCTTGCTCCGCAGTCCCTTGAAGGAGTGCATGCCAACAGCGTACTTCCCTAAACACTTTGCCAGGCGAGCCATGTGCAGTCACGTGGGTTGCCCTCCCTCCAAAAGGAACCGTGCCACGTGAAGGTTCGGCCTGCTGGGTCAGGCACGATTGATCTCCGGCCCGGAATTCTAGGGGCAACCATTCCTTTCAACCATCGTTCTTGTCAAAAACCGGATCCGTTTCCCCTGGGTGTTTGACTAGGTCCACCAGTAGAGAGGATAGAATAAGACTACCAACTTTTTTCTGTAATCTAATTTATAGTAGGGGAACCAAATCTCCCAACCAAAAAAGTTGGGTGAGGGAACCCTCCCAACCAAAAAGGAAACGGTGAGAGAAAGGGCACCAATTGCTGGGGGACCTCGATTCATCTCCGGAATTCCAAGCTCCGAGGCACCATGAAGAGGGACTGCTCATCCCAGGGGAAGTACCTGAGCGCTGAACATAGGCGGAGGTGGGTTGTCAGTTCCTTTCGTTTCATTTGGTTTGGTTCTCGCCCTTAAGGCCTTAGGGCTTATTTGGGCTCCCTCCCCCTCCCCTCCCTCCATCTCCCTCCCCCCCAGCCCCCATGAAATTAGTTCACTTGGCTCTGGGTCAAAATGAAGCCACCAGGAATCGGACCGCGGGTTGAAATGTCCTGGGTTACATTTACCAAAACCCCATTTTGGGTAGATGTTTGACCCACTGCCACAGACATGTCCTAGACTAAAAGGAGAGGACCTCAAGCCTGAGGAGCTTCAGGCATCCTTTGGTTTCCTCTTGAAAACCCGCCCGAGAGTAACTCATTCTAGGAAATCCCCACAAGTTCCAAGCACTTCTGTTCCGACATGAGTCAACTCGTGTCAGCTTAGCTTTCGAAGAAACCCATAGAAACATCTTTTAGCAACTTGCAACCGCCAGACATGACCAAGGTGGTTCTGCCCTCTTAAGAAGTCTCCGTGGGATAAGCCACTGAATTCTGTCCGGCACATGGGATGAAACCACGCGGTCGATGGAACACCTGCTGCAGGGTTTTCCGGACCTGTTCACTTTTTGAGTGGATAAACAAACAACAGACACGCAAACATCGCAATGGCCATGTTAACCCTCAGCTACAACTCCACAGACACCCGCCCGTGTACTCAGGGGGCATTTCCAGGTTCCCTGGGGTTCCTGCAGGTTCCCTTTCTTTCGCATGGGGTCAAAGCTGGACGCCCACTTCACAGCACCCAAGAAACCCCATGCTTCGCTTCCCCCGCAAATACCCATGGAAACAAAGCACGGTGTCAAAAAGGATTTCCTCCGTTCACAGGGTTCGCCTGCTTGTCGAGGTGACCTTCATTTCCCCGGAGCAAAGGTCCCAAACGGACCATACCCTGACCCGGGTCTGCTGGCTTGCACGCACCAGGGCAGCTACCCAAGTGCCGAACACAAGTTGCTACCTGCGCCCCGAACACTAAAGAGGGTCCAGCTGACTTGTTCCACTGGGGGGGGGTCCGTGTACAGAGGGTCCAACATTAGGTGCTTTCAGAACCACTGCCTCGACCCAAAGCCTTCCGAGAATCTGAAAGGGGCGGAGCTTCTGAGGGGATTGGGCTTCGTCTCTCATGCCCGGAAGTTTCAGTGCGCTCACTCCTTTGGTTTTTGCCGTGGCGGCTTGGGACTGAGAAGACGTCTTGTCCGGAAAAAAAAGAGGTACTCCCCATCCACCAGCATGGCACCTCTGGGAGGGTACCTGGAAGATTGGCTTCCTCTTCAGAGGGGGGTAATTTCTTTACAAACAAACAAACAAACAAACAACAACACGGGTCATTTCTTTTGCTCCATGTGGGATGGCAGTGAATTGCCTGGCTCTGGGCTCCACACCTCAAGTCGAACATCATCAGCACCTGAGCCTTGATCTTCAGCTTGCAGGCCACATGACCTTAGCAACCGGGCAGAAACACATAGGTGTCCTTTTAGGGGAAATAGATGGCCCTGGTAGATGAGAAAAAACCACCAGGTAAACCAGGAATCGCCATCTACTTTGCGACCAAAACCACCAAGAAGAACACCTATGGGCAAAAACCTAGTGGCAAGGGTACTCCCATCACAACGAAGTGCTGCAAGGCCTCAGAACTCATACGGCCTAGCTGCCTCGGGTGCCGTTTGCGCCATCCTTAGGGGTGGAGTGGCATCTCGCATTTCCTGCGGGGAGGGAAGGGAGGGTAACCTGTTCAAAGCCACGAGCGTTTATGTTTTGAAATGACAAGGGCTGCTGCGCTTTGCTTTCTTTTTGGGAGTCGTTGATCCAGAAAACAGTTCCTGCCTCTGGGAACAATGGGACTTACATGCAGCATACTCATTCGGGTTCACGAGGCACTTGGGATGGTGCTATCGTTAGTATCTTTCTGATAGACTTGAGTGTTGTGAGGCATGGTCAGGCGAAGTTGTTGGCAAGCAAGGCTTCTGGGATAGACTTTGTGGTAGAAGCTCCGTGTACCACGTAAGTGTGTGGCTGCATCGGCTCGTCACCTCCAATTCCCCAGAGACAAATCGCTCAATGTCGACCTTCAGAGCTGGGCGGCCTCATTTCTACTCGTCCTCCCGTCCTCCCAGTCCAGCATCCCCAGAATCCCGTATCAACTCAGTTGCCCAAAGGACCTGAAAATTAAAGGACATGACTATGGACATGACTATGGACCAACAAGAGACCAAACGCTCAGATCCGGTCGACTTGCTTTGGCCAAGTGAGGGCATCGGCCCCCGACTCGCGCCGTCCACACATCGTCGGCCCTCCGGCCCTCTGTCCCTTTGCCAGGCGGCCAGTGCTGGAGTCCACCACCAGCCCAGAGAGATACTTGATGTTGCAGCCTCGAACGCGGCCCGGGGCGATCCCAGAGAGAGCGGCAGCGAAACCTGGTAGGAACACCACCGGGACATCAAGAACACCACCGGTGTTCCCGCTGGAAAGACGCTGGAGCACCACCGGGACACAAGCGCGACACCACCGGAACGCCACGGGAGGACGCCGTAGGCGGGAGCCGGGGAACAAGTCTGTGAATTCAGCAATGGACGACAGAAAGGTCTGTGAGAATCTTCAACACCTCCCTCCTCTGACAACACCAAGTCAAATGAAAGCATGTCAAAAGTAGGGACTCTGGTTTAATGGTGCTTTCCTTTTGCAGTTGGGGTGAAAGTAGATGATTCCCTATGCTTTGGGCATTTGTCTATACTTTCCCACTTTTGGTGTAACATGAGCCCCAACTCACTTGCCCAACGGACCTGGAAACAAAAGCTGAGCATTTTTGGATAGAAAAATGCACCAAGATGGGGGAAAACACCTAGATAGCCCTAGATAGCCCTTTTTTCAGTCACTCTTGCTGGCTTTTTGTTTGGGTAAGGTCCGCCTAAACCAGCCACAAACAAACCCAGGCAGACGGTGCTGTCGAGCGGCCCTGGGCATTCTGGACCGCCAACTTGGGAAGCCCCAGCTCCGCGCACCTTGGCCAATCCCCCGGTTTGAAACCGTGGGAAACCATGGGTTGTTGGCATTTTTTACAGGTATTTTCGTTGGTATGTGGTTGGTACTGTGTTGGTATTTTGTTGGTATTTTGGTTGGTATTTGGTTGGTATTTTACAGGGGCATCATCATTTCAGGTGCTTTTCTGGGTGCGAAATGGATTTCGGAAGCTTCTCATGTGGATGGTTGGGATCGCATCATTCCATGGGGTTTCTGAACGGTGGTGCGAAATGGATGTCGTCCATCCACAGTATCACCGTGGTGTAGATCACAAGTGGCATAGGGCATAGGGCCAAGTTTCTGACTTTGTCTGATCCGTCGAAATGAGGTCAGGTCTTGAGAGGTTCGAGGTCCTATACCTACCCTGAGGCCCTTTGAGGTGGCAGCTTGAAAGAGATCCAACTTCGAACGGGTCTCAAGGAATAAGTTACCGGCTCAATCCAGTGGCCAAGCTGCGCTGGCTCAAGTTGCCGCTTTGGGTTGCCAAGTACTCACTTCAAACGCAGTGACTCGGCAGGGATTCTTAACACAACATTGTACGTGAGAACACCTTCAAACCAGCTAAGCTTCGGTCATCTACCAATTGGCAAACATGCAACAGGGCACTGTTGACCCCCCTTGAACACAAACCCCGAAACAGGCGCAAACCCCAAAGCACTCAGACACCAGCAACACAAGTCACAGCAGTTTCGTGAACGCCATCCTTCCGAAACAAATCCGAAGAAAGCGGCCCCATCGGCCCGAGAAAACCATCACACGATCGGCCCGGTCGGTCTATCAGGTCCCGACAAAAGGGGTCCTTTGAGGGGAAATAGATGGGTTCCCCTGGTAGCTGAGAAAAAACCACCAGGTAAACCAGGAACCGCCATCTGCTTTTCGACCAAAACGACCGAAAAGGAGACCTATGGGTCCCCTACTTCCCCCCCGACCCCGCCTCTTCTCGTCCAGCTTTTCGCCAGTCTCCAAGGTCTTGGCTCTGGGGTCCAGCCACGCAAGGGTCACCTGAGGCGAATCGGCTTCAGTGTGATGAAGCCGTTTGCGCGGCGCGCGCAAGGCACGGCTTCGCAGAAACTCCAAAACGCTTCAAGAGGGAAACTCCGAAGAACCGGCTGTTGACAAAAAATAACCAAACTAAGTTCTTCCATTTGCTTAAGGCGCCTGGAACAAGCATACCAACATATGTCCAGCAGTGACAGAATCCCTTAAACCCCCCTAAAACGCAGTCTTACGCACATGGAAGACAAGCTTCAGAGCAATTCATGGCACAAGTCTAGGTGGGACTTACTTCTCCATCTCCGTTTCACCAAAAAAACGCGCTCCGACTCTTCCGCCTCAAACTCGCAGGTGAAGTTGGCAGCTGCCGGGTTGATCGCGAAGGCGTGCTTGATGCAAACCTCCATGAGGATCGCCTGAGTTTGGGTTTTTGCCAATGGGCCACTTGGAATCAACGTGACACCCAAGCTTGACACTTAGAGAGGTTAGAACAAGTTGGCACCCACTTTTTTGCCGATAGTCTATTTTAGTAGGGGAACCCGTTTGCTGAAATCGCCCACTGGTCCTCCAGTAGAGAGGTTAGAATAAGACGACCAACTTCTTCTTTTTTTTTCCGGTCGTCTATTTTAGTAGGGGAACCCGATACCCAACCAAAAAAGGAAACGGTGAGAGGTAGGGCACCAATTGCTGGGGGACCTAGTTGCCACTTGGTGGAGACTCGGGGTTGTTACCTGGGTGTAAATCTTTCAGGTGGAGAAGGGGGTTAGCTGGGTTGGGTCAACAATCTGTGCAGTGCTAATAGCATCGCGGCTCCGCTGGTCTTGAACGCCCGGTGTTAAGGCATGTTGGGAATGAGGCATGGATAGAGCTGCAGAATAGCGCCCCTTGACTCCAAACATTTTTTGCATGCCACTTAACATATGGCTGTGGGTCAAAACCAATGGTACCATTTTGGGGTAGGTGCACCACCAATGTTGGTCTATTTTAGTGGGGATTGGGATGTTCACTGGGGGTACGATTTGGCTTTTGACCCATGGCCATATCTTAAAATGGTCTTACCGAGTGGCTCAAGTCCATGATCTCAGCAACAGCCACGATCCCCCTCCCCAACAAGAACACAACAAAAAACATTGGAATCGGCCCTGAAAGCGTGGCATTTGGTTGGCCCTGAGCATTCCGCAAAGTGCATTCAAGTTGCAGCTGTGTGTTCATTGATTCATGGGGGAATTCGGCATCATAGTGTTGTCGTCGGGCTCAACTTGCCCAAATAGCTCATAGAGTCATATCCCAAAAGTAGCTGTGAAGAGCTCCAGGCCCTAAGCGCGCCTACCGCATGACATACATCAGCAGGATTTTTCGGACCCGTGACGCAAGCTTGCCTCTATAATTCCAGCACCCCAGCTTTCGACTGTCGAACTCGGCCCAGTGGCAGCGGACAATGAGCAGACGTGCTGACTGTGCATTGCTGCTTGCCACAATTCTAAAACATGGGACAAGAAGGGGCTGGCCACCACAAAACACACTCGCCTCTTGCGCCATTTATGCGAACACTACTCAAGTCGCTGATTGGTCTGTGCATCATTGTTGGTGGTCAGGCATCCCTTTTTAGCTGTGGCAAAATAGTTTGCAGCCCCTCCAACTCATTTGGTCGTAATGTTCACGAAAACGAAACTGGAACAAAGGAATGGAGGAAGTGACACCGTGACAAATCTGCACTGGCTGGGGCTCACTGCAGAGCATTGTTTGCAGCCAGTGCTTTTGTTTGATAACCAAATGTGTAAACAGGAATCATGTCGGACAAGACCTGCGCTCTGTGGTTGGGTCGACTTCGAACCTGAAATTGTGTGTTTGTAGGGGCTGGCAAATTCGCAAATTTGCATCTGCGTCACACTTGCTTTCTGCGTCGTCTCGGGCAGCAACGGCGTTGCCAAAATCTTCTGCGCCAATTCGTCGAATCCTTCGGCGCAGAATCAATTCGGCCCCGGTTACGAAGTAGGCCAATCACCACTGAGCCTTGCCGGACATGAGTGAATCTTACAAATGCTCAGGCCCGAAGATGCACAACCTTGAACAGCCTCTGGGCAATGAGGGTACGCTCATAACACGCAAACCTATGGCTTCTCTCGATCTCTGTAGTGGCAATCAAAAGTCGTTCAATTTTCTGGTGGTTTCCATTGAAATAGCCCCTTTTGGAGATTTCAAACAGGGGACATGGCTCGGAAACCCTGCCATCAATCCATTCACACCGACAACTCGCCAACTTTGAGATGCTGTGGCTACAGAGCTACGGACCCTGAGAAGATCCTTATGGTTCTTCCAGAAGTGGAACGGTCTGTGTCGGTTCCATTGCTCTTTGGGACTTGTCGAATCGGCTCATTGGCCTTGCAAGAGTCACTCGCAAGTCGTAGGTGCAAAGGAAACTTGCTTGCTGTAACCACCCCTTCTGCAAAAAGTGAGTTTCACTTTTTGTGGGTCCAATACGAAACTCCGACCAAAGAGTCAACCAAGAAATGAGGAGACCGAAAATCGGGGAAAAAATGCGCGCAGCGGAAAAGACGCGCTCCTGGCACATGCACTGAGCTCCGAGGCCCAATGTCGTCCTCATCCACTTTCTTGCGGCGCACCTCGACGGCGGGAGTCGACATTTTTTGTGGCGGATGGAACTCAATAAGTCTATCCCCAGTCAATACGTCCCCAGTCAATAAGGCCCCAGTCAACCATGGTTATGATTTTCATATCCCCAGTCAAGTCCCCTGGGTAGGGTCCCCACTCAACTGTGGATGTCCAAGTGGATGGCCCCCGCTGGGGGTCTCAACATGCAGTGAAACTCATCTCAGATTTCCACTTTCTGGTGATTCATGCTGATTCCATTCGCTTGGAACACCCATCAGCCAAGTAAATCAGTTGGCGGTGAGTTGAGAGCAAGGGCAAAGGGTAGCTTGCTGTCCGACCACCTCGTCGGGCCCAACCACAAATTGTGCGTTCAAAGGCTCAATTTAACACGGAAATGCCTCAGCCTTCAGCCTCAGTCCATTCTAAACTGGGACGCAGACTTCCATGATAGAATCTACCCTTCCTCCAACTAACATGGCACCTGTGGGGAGGTACCTGGAAGATTCATTTCCTTTTGAAGGGAGCCCCTGTCAGTTGCCATGTTAGTTGGAGGGAGGGCAACTCATGCCCATCAGGGGTCCCTTAGTTGGTTTGGATGGTTTGGGGATTTGATTCCCTCCTTGCAGAGTCAGAGATCGGGTTTCCCACCCCGATTCGGCGCCAAACCATCAGAAAAAACACCGGGAAGTTGACGGGCTTCGGACAATCCACATTCACAAGAAACGCACAACCCAGCCAGAACCCAGAACCATGGACTTCGGAAAATCCAGCTTTCAAACACGCCAATACCCAGAACCTTGGGCCTCGAAAAGTCCACCTTTGAACATCCACAAAACTCAGGCAATAATTACAGGGTTCTCCAGTAGAGAGGTTATAATAAGGGCACCAACTTTTTTCTGGAGTCTAGTTTACTCGGGAACCCGTTACCCAACCAAAAAAGGGGTTGGGCTGGTCAAAGGGCTCATAAGGGCACCTAGCTGGGGGAACTAGGAAATTAGGAAGTGGTTTGGGCCAAAGCCCAAAAGATCCCACCCTTTGGACCTTTAGACAGCTCCGATCGGCCGCCTTCTCAGCAGACACCCAGGCAATAATCTGGGTGAATTATTTCACCAACCTGAAACTTGCGGTGGTTCGGGGGCGATTCCCACATGAACCACCATTTGGGGTGAATTCGGTGTGAGGTCGTTATAATTCACCCAGAATAAATACCCCCGGTTCCGGAACCCATCGGACCCACATTGGCCTCTGCCACCATGATGAGGTTGAAGACCACCCAGGCGAGCAGCAGCACCAGGCAGAAGCCCAGCCGCAGCAAGCCCGAGAACTCGTCCCCGCCTCGGTGACGGGGGCGAGCTCGCGAAGGGGCGAAAGCGAGTAGCTGCTGTGGAATCCCATTGCATATCACATCAACAAAACACGGAGAAAAGAGAAAAAGAGAGAAACAGAGAGAGAGAGAGAGAGAAACAGAAAAGAGAGAGAGAGAGAGAGAGAGAGAGAGAGAGAAACAGAGAGAAAGAGAGAGACAGAGAGAGTGAGAGACAAAGGCCACAGCCAAGGTCACACCCACTGAAACAAACCACATGCGTGCACGAGCTCACACGCACATACGCTTGGGACAAAACGTGTTCCCTACTTGCAGCAAATAAAGGACTCCACCGTAGCCCATGCCAATACCACTTTTAAAGGACCCAAGGGCTCCGAAGGCTGACAACCCACATGCTGACCCTTCGGGCCCCTGACCGAACCTGGGTTCTCACTGGAAACCCGGAAAGCCGAAAGCGCAGCTCATCCAATTAAAGAAAACCATCAATCGCAAAACGAGCCAACTCTAAGGATCAAGCACATCTAGATGGTGTCACTGTGCAGCATGTGCGAAAGGATGCCTCTTCAAGGGTCTCTGTCTTCGACGACGCCTTTCTTTTCTTTTGGCGCGCGCACGGGGGAGCTCACCTGAGCTCAGGGTCTCAGGGTTGCACCTGCCCTCCGTCTCTAACATGGCACCTGTTCACAAACCGATGATCCCGATATCATAAATGCCATGTTGGGAGGAACCGTTGGGAGGACGGGTTGCCACCAAATGCTAGCCCCGGATTCATTCACATCCGGTTGATAAATAGGGGAATGTCCCCTGTTAGTGGGAATCTGGCTCTCAGATGCCCAGTGGCCATGGGAAAAAGGGGTCATCCTTTTTGGGTAGCGGAACCCTTTCCCAAAAAACGAAGCAACAACGGGGTGTCTCTGTGTTCAACCGGGGGATGTCACTTTTGTGGGTGAGGTTCCTGCCTGGATGTAGAATTCAATTTGAGTTTGAATATGATCTAAATGGGCATCAATAAATAAGTACCTGATGAGATTCCTGCTGGAAGATACATCTTGAATTTGAAATGTAGATAGAGTTTCTTTCTCAATAGAACTTTACAACTCAGGTAGAGCTTGAACAGGTTCTGTTTCTATGCCTTCCCGTTCTTCCCGTACGCGCCCGCTCCAAAGCTGCCAGAGGCGCCGGGGCTGGCGATGATGGCGCGCATCGTGGAGCAGGAGAAGACCGTGACGAAGAAGCACGCCTCCGAGGCGAGCACCTCAGTGGAACCAAAGCCTAGGTGTCCCTTTGAGGGTTTGGCAAATCGATGGGTTCCCCTGGTAGATGCTTGAACCACCAGGTAAGCCAGGGCCTTCTATATATATATATATATATTTAAGAAACCAACCCAAAAGGACACCTATGAAGCAAAGTCTATACTCTGTGCTTTTTTTGTTTGGGGGGGTTGGGTCCCCCCCGAAAGTGGTCCTTCTCCTGTTGGCTTCTCTCTAAAATCAAAAAGGAATTTCTTGCAACCTTTTTGGCTTCTTACATTTGCTGAGAAGCCCACTGGAAAAAATGAGAACATATTTCCGGTAGTGATGGATTCCCTTTAAAACCAACAAGGGAAAATCAAACATATTCTTGAGCAAATGGGGGTAGCGTGTCCTGTTTTTAGGACATTTTTGGTTTCAATCAGAAGCCAAAGGGAAACCATTATTTGTTTTTTGTTTTCTCCAGTCCCAAAAACAGAGAGACACATACAAACAAATGGCTGGTTTGGTGTCCGTCGAACAAACAAAAAAATGCCGAAGGGATCCTCCCTTCCCGGAAACATGGGTCTTTCCCGAACAAACATGACCCCCTTTGAAGATGTCAAAAGGATAGTTGTCGCTGCACAAGCTCCATGGAGAGCCCCTCTGTCAAGCTACACATCTGCTTGCGGAGAGATGAATCCGGTGGGGCTCTGTGGCTGCAATTGCCCCTTAAAGCTTGGTTGCTGTAACGACCCCTCGGCAAAATGTGAATAACCTTTTCATTTTGCGGGTTCAATTCGGAAATCCCATGTTTTCAACCAAACAGCAAAAGTCTAAAGATCCAACCCTATAGCATTCAAGCAAAAATAGACTCCTTCGTGAACTCTTTCAGTGCATGAAACCCATACCAAGACCCGTGGTTGAGACTGAACGTTTTCCATTGCCAAAGTCCCGGCTCGCGACTTCAAGCGAAGGTGAGCCACCGTCAGCGGTGTCTCTGACATAGGAATTCGCGTGAGTCCAATGAAATCTCCCAGTGCTGCAAATAACGTGAACTTCTGTTCATGTTGCACAGATTGGAGCTGAATGCGAGAAACGTGAGCTTGAGAATGGCTTGATCGAAAGAGAGATATGAATCCTACCTACCCAAGACCGCCAAAAGCCGAGGAGATACCATCTACAACCTCAACTAACTGCCAAGACTGGTGAACAGTTGCTCCAAAAACACAACAGGGCACGTGTGTCTTGTTGGGGAACCTTTTGGTTGGTTTTACAGGGAAAACGAAAGGACACGTTGCATTTTGTGGGTCTCCTATGTTGAGACAAACTCAGGGGTTTGCGCGAGAAGGATATCCCAGGCGGTTCGAACCAATGACTGCTTCTGAAGCTTTCACCCCCACGAGGTTCAAAACCCACAGGCAGCGAGAACCAGAAGGCCCTCCCATGGTAAGTGGCTAGGTGTCAGAGGGCGAAATTTTCTCCGTGGTCCTTTGGCTTCCTTTTCCCTCACCCATGCGACAATGGTAAAACCAATCACTAAAAAATAAAAAAAAAAAAACGCCCAGGAAAGGGTACCTGGGACCCTCAACATTCCCTTAGACATGTGTTATTGCCCCTAAACTTATGGGGCGCATCCTTCTGTAGTCTACCACGTCCCTAACCAGAACTCCCTTTGTCCGGCCCCCGTTGTCCGGCTCCCTCTCAAGAGAAAAAATGGATACCAGCTGACCAGGTCTGAAAATGGTCCAAGCCCAGACCCACGCTTCAGGAATTCAAAAAGGCAGATATCCTTTCACCCATGTCTGGCAAGGGGACGTCTGGGATTCTCCTTCAACCTTCATCTCTCCAAAACGTATGGTTGGGACGTCCGTGTTTTTTTTTTGGGGGCTATCCCTGGATAAGCCCAGGACAAGCCATGGAGAAGCCATTCATAAGGCCTTATTAAGGAGTTCATAAGGGATGAATGGATACCATAGCCCTCCCCATAGCCCCCTTGCAGGTCCATGAAATATCACCGGGCGAGCACGTGGCTCCGCTCCCTTCCGGCGTGATCCGATCCGATCCCTGCGCTTCCCTGCGCTTCCCTGCGCTTCGCGCTTCGAGCGGCGTAGCGGTCGAAGATGGTGGCCTTCGCGACCTTCGGGATCTTGCCTCCGCTTCGCTTCGGTCTGCGCTTCTGGATCCATCCCCCGCTTCGCGGTAAAAGAGGTGGGGGATCCGCTGATCCCCCCCGTGCTTCTTCTTTGGGAAAAGGGGGCGCGGAAAAGGGGGCCCAAAAAGGGGTCCCATAGAACACGCGGCCGCAGCCGCAGTTCTTGAAGCATCTGTTTGTTTGTTCCAAAGGGTTCAACAGGGAAAGCCTGTTGAGGGGGATATATCAATCAGAGGTCAACATCAGCTCGCACCCAAAGGCTTGCCCTCACCCACCCAAACTTGCCTGGTTGATAAACAGTTGCTGCCAACGTTGGAAAAATGGCAATGCACAACTGAGCCTCTTGAATATAAAACCTTCAAGCACGTAAACAGCAACGGAGTGATGGATTCATGAGCTCAAGCAAACTCGTGTTGGACTTGTGCTTAAGAGGGAGCCAACATGTGGACCCCCCGAACCCTGAACGTGAAAATGTATGAACTGGCTACAGCCTGTACTCGTGCGCTTGCTCCTTCGTAAGGGGGGCGTACAGTAGGCAGCAGTTGCCCTGTTGGTTTCTTTCGGCACCTGATGGGTGCCCAAAGACTCCAAGTTGCCGTGAGGGACGTGGCGAACAACTGCCCTAGAGGTCGCAGGAGTCCACCTGGCCTTGAGACAAAATGAACACGAGTCGTACCTCTGGCTGAACCAAAACCCACGCCCTGGCAAGCTCCACCGAATGTCGGCTGGCAAGCCGAAAAGGAGCTGTGAAGCCCGGGGTGTCATACGACTTGGAGGGGGAAAAGGGGAAGGGGGGAGGGAACCCAAATAAGCTCCTATGCAGCATTAAGCCCTGTACAAGGCCTTATTCAACCCCAAACAAGGGTTTGTTCTTCGGAATGTAAAAGCAACCTTCGCGTGAGGCTTGCCATACTTTGCCCAAGTAATTCTAGCCAAGTACAAAGGACCCAGCATGCTTGGGCCTTCGCTGGAACAGCCCGATGCCGATTTGGAATGGACATCCCTCCACCTGCCCCCCGGCAGGCAAGACGAAGCCCCCGAACCAGGGCTGCGCTTGTTTGAACCAACACAAGGGTTCAAGACCAAAGTTCTTCAAAGATCCGCAAACATCCACATGCCCAAAATGGCGGTATCCTGCAAACATCCATTTGGGTCTCTCTTTTTTAGGAGAGCCCCCGAAATGAAGTTTTTTCCTGTTGGCTTGCCGGCCGCTGACAAGGCCTGAGGCCGTTAGGAGCTTGAAGGCGAGCAAGGTCATGAGCAGGGGAATCAGGATCTTGCCTGCAGAAAATATCTTGGTCGAACACCAAAGCTCACGGCTGGTCGGCGAAGATTGCCTGCAACCTCAAACCCTTTCAAAAAACAAGAGCCCTCTCAATGAGCTGATTAAAGAAGAAATCGAACATGTATGAACAGCTGCCGCAAAAAAAAAACAGAGAAGAAGGGAGAACCGCCGGTTCTCTCATTTTTGGAATGGAACCAGACGCTTCTTTGAAGGGGTTTGGGAGTCAAAGGCAAACCCTAATTCCAGTGCGAGATCTCTTTGAACGAGCAAGCCCTGGGCAAAGTCTGTCAACTCCGCAGCTCCACCGAGCCGACAGCCAGGACTGAGCAAGCTGCTCGCGTTTTGCCTTCCTTCACAGGACAGTTCTTGAAGCTGCTGCAGGCCGGTGGAAGGGTTACTTGGGATGTCTGTAGGGGTTGATTCCAACGTCTGGGATATGTCTCTAGGGTTACTTGGGATATGTCTCTAGATTCCTTGTCCATTCTTTTCAACCATTGTTCTTTTCAAAAACCAGCTGTTTCCCCCGCGGTTCTAATGGTTTTCTGGAAAGAAGGATCCCTGGAAAGAATGGGGAAGTGTCTAGAATTTCATGTGGCTTCGATCTGTTGGAAAGCCGTCACAAACAATGCCCTAGTTTTGACACATGTCACCTACGACCCCCAAGAATTCGCCAACAAAAAAAATGGCCAACATAAACAGCATTTGCATTGAAATGTGGTAGAGGCGACGTGAACATATCCAACGGGACCACCAGCACGAACGTAAACACAGACAACATTAGCTTTTGCCAGGGCCGTTCAGCAGCTCGCTTGTTTGAGCTCATGCAATCTATGGCTGCTACCACAAGTTTTAAGTACTGTCAAGCCTCTATTGAGTGAACAGCCTCATTTAAGTGAATTGAACAAGAACAAATCATGCAATTCTGAGGTTGGTAACCCAAATTGAGTCATATTGATAGCAGTACACTAGCCAGCTATTTTCTGTGGCCTGCGGTGTCCCATATTGTGAACCCCCCGAACTGGTGATGTTCCAGATTTCCCTTCGAGCCAAAAAATCAACGCAAACAACGCTTGCAGCTAGACGCCTTGGTCGTCGAAGCCCTTTCCCACGGAGTTCACCTCGATGGAAAAGACCTCACGCGATGCGAGAAGCGGCCCCGTGTTCAGTGGCGAGGAGTGTTTGGACGTTGAACCTTAAGGGAAACCCATGGAAATTGTCTGGATAGACATGTTGTCTGGAATGTGTCATAATTCCTCGCCCGCGAATCGTGGAATGTGGGGTGTTCTTTGGAGGGTGCCCTTGTTGGGGTCGGGATTTAAGGGAAGCCAAAGGGAAACCAATTTTCGGGGTGCCCCTATCTTGACGCACGTACCCCAAGCGCGTCGTTTTGTTCCACTGGGAGCGAAGAAGGGCGTGCCTTTCGGCCATTCAACAAACTGACCTGGGTGTGTCTTGTGTTGAGGGCACCTTTTCTTGTGGTCTTAAGGGGAAACCAAAAGGACACCACCATGCAAAATTTCACGGTGAAGCTCGCGGTGTTAAAAGAGACGACCGTAGCTCACTTCACTGGGACCCCAGGCTGTGAACACGAGGCTGGAAATGCCCAGCATCACCATGAGCACGGAGACCACGTAGTACTTGGAGTTGCGTCTGACCTGACGACCGTGCTTCCCTTAAATTGGCACCTCTTCGGGGAAACATTTCCAAGGACTTCGGATGGAGTGCGGCGGCATGCGCTTCATTCAAGCCGCGCAGGGCAACGGATCACACATCTTGGCGTTCAACTCCTGACAAAAAGGAGACCCACAAGTGTCACACACCCAATTGCTGGGTGTTCGCTCAGCTTGAAATTCATGACATTTGTTTCTATGGCCGCGTCGCGAGATTCAAGAAAAAATGTGATTCTTGTGAAGGGCGCAGGGTCAAACACGACACGCGAGATCTCACAGCGATCACAACTAATTTGAATGCATTTCAAGCTCTGTCTGGCATGCCACCGCACCCGAAAACATTTCAAGCGTATAGAAGATCAGGTCTGAACGCAATGATGTGATCTTTGTTAACCCTGAAGCTGGCCTCCGGTTTGGCACCAGGGTACCATATACTCCGCTCAACCATCAACTAATCCCTTCTTCTGAAAAATACGTAAAGGTCCCAAGAGAAACAAAGAAGCAGACTCCATAATACGCAAAGATCCAGGTCCAGGAACACAAAATTTAGAATACGCCAATTCTAAACCAATACTAAATACTAAACTAGCGAATTTCCCTCGTGACCCCAACTCGAATCGGGGTCCCCCCATTCCTTTCCTTTCAGAAGCCTAAATCAACAGAACCCGAACCTAGCTAGTTTTACTTCATCCAAACGTTGCTAACTCCGCCGGTGGAACCAAAAAGAGGAGTCTGAACCAGTTCATCCCTTATTGACCCAGGGAAGGAAAATGTACTTCGTGCTACAACTCAACTTCTCCCTGCCGCGAAAGACTGCCCAAACACTACGCTTTTCCAGGGAAACATGTGTTTTCATGAAGAAAAGGGGCTCCGTGTAATACTTGGGGGTTCCGTTTTTCCCCCCCCCTTTTTTTTTCCGGGGGAAGGGATGAACCTTCAAGGGAACTCAAGTAACTGTTGGTTGCCAAAGGTCATCTTACCAGAACATTCAGAGAGCGCCGGTGCTTCTCGAGCTCCTCGGTCCAGTTCCCCCCGTGGCACAGCTGATCCTCCGGCTTATCTCAAGCGGAACCGGCTTCTCGGATTTCGAATCCGAGAGTAGCGGAAAAGCTAAGGGCGCAAGAAGAAAAACCAGAGGAGCTTCCCCTTTCTAACTTGCAGCTTCCGTTCACCAGAGAGTGAAGCCAGAGTTTCCCATCCTTGCCCAAGCATCACCTCTCGGGCAACTCACTGCCAAGATGTTTGCTGGCCATGGTTAGCCAAAGGGCAACATGCTCAAGACAAACCCTGAAACGGAGGTCGGTTTTCCTGTTGACCCCCCCAAAAAATCGTACACCCTGAAAGGGAGCCACACCACCCAAAGTCGAAAACTTGAAAGCCTCCCAAGGACACCCTCGCCTGGACCCCCCTGGAAGCGAAAAAAAAAGGCGCCTTGACACTCATGGAGGCCTGGCTCATGCCCTCGTGGAAGCTGCAGGAGTGAGCCGTGCCCTGAAATGAAGGCAGAAATTTGTCATGGCGGAACATAGGTGAATAGTAAGCTGCATGAACCATGGATATCCGTGCATGTCTATATATATATATGTTATATATATATATATATGTTATATGTATATATGCATGTATGTATGTATGTCTGTCTGTCTGTCTGTCTGTCTGTCTGTCTGTCTGTCTGTCTGTCTGTCTGTCTGTCTGTCTGTCTGTCTGTCTGTCTGTCTGTCTGTCTGTCTGTATGTATGTATGTATGTATGTATGTAGCATCATGAGGCCCCCTCATTTTGAGAAAGGAATGAGTCCCCTCCATGAATGACGAAGCTAACTTTGGAGACACAAGTCGCTCTTCCCAAAGCAAAAGGTCCTCAAACCTTTTGTAGGTTGAATGGATCACCAAGTGTCCAAAATGTCGGGGCCAAGGTCGCAAAGATGAGCCATGAACGGTGAATGATGAAGATAGAATGCATAAGAGAGGAACATGACGATGAATATAGTTGATCATGATCAGACAAGATTGGGTAACATTGTAAGGTTCACTTTGATAAACACCAGAAATACATGAGGATTTACGTCCGGCTTGCATATTGGAGGCTCCCCAACTCAAACATTGCCAAACGAAGAGCTTATGCCAGGGAGTGTCACTTGCCAAATGCCCGAAAGGATGACCTTCACGGCGTAGGGCAGTAGTGTTCCTAACTGCTTCTTTTGACACAGTAGCAGCTTGCCTTTGATTGGTTGGAGCACGGTGCTTGGGTGGTGTTTTGGGGTGGCTTCCCATTAACCCTCTACAAAAGCCAGAGGTTCAAATCCCAAAACCACTCCAAACCAATTAAAGGTAAACCGAAAGCAGGTGCCTCTCTTTGTTGCAGCTGTGAGTATTACTCACTTCCTGAGTGGAAGGGCTGGCAAAAGTCGATATTTTTTTGTATGCCACTAAAATGGACTTCCCATGTAACCTGGCGAGTATGATTCCCAGAAAGGAACCATCACTGCATCCGGATGCAAGGCGGGGAGGAAGGAAAATTGGAGAGCCCAAAGGGAAGGCTCTCGGGGAAAGAAGATCCCCGCCCTTGGCCAAAACACCAATAAACAACTAGTTTCAAGTGGATACCCTCCACAATCAAAGCTCAAGTTTCAAGCTCATACCCTCCCTCAATCGAAGCTGATCGAGGGCTTTTGGAAGACTACCTAGGTCCTCCAGAAGCGAGTTTAGAATTAGGGTGCCCTTTTTTCTGTAATCTATTTTAGTAGGGGAACCCGTTACCCAACCAAAGAAGTTGGTGAGAGGTCGGGCACCAATTGCTGGGGGACCTAGCTACTGTCCTTGGAGGGTCCGGCGTCCTGCAAGACCTCAGCTCCTCCAACACCCAACGATTGGCAGGAGTCCCAGGTATGCAGTCCGATTGGATTGACATCTTCTTGTGGGTCTCAAGGGCCCTAGGCGCCACATTTCGTGCCTTCACGAAAAACACCAGTGACCATTTCGGGTAGTATCCGACATAGTTTGCAACCAGCAGATCCATGATTACCCATGAACCCTGAACAGCTCACGCGTGTTGATTTGCTAATGGTACCTTGTTTGGGGCTGGCTAAGGAGATCAAAGGGAAACCATCTTTGTTTGCAGGAGCTTCCTGTTTTTTGGGACAAACCAACAGAGCAGAGCTGCATTTTTCATGCCTCGCCCTTTCGGCATCCTCTGCGTCTCATGTGACGAACCCCGTCTCGCCTGCACCGTCCACTCGTCGAGCTGGTGGCACAAGGGCATCAGCTCGCACTGCCGGAAGACGAAGGCACGAGCCACGTCCTGGCGCACGCTTGGTTCGGCCGCCAAAAGGGCACCCAAACCAGAGGCCTGGCAAGGTCGCAAACTGCATCCCTTGCCCACCTGCCAAAGTTTCAACACTGTTAGACTTTCAACTGCCAAGGAAGACTGCCAAACTGCAGACCTGGCAAAGCTCTAAAATTGTAAATCTGCCAAGAAGCCTTGGCCGATAAGCCAAAGGGAGCTGCGGCTTGCTGATTCAAACGAAAATAATCGAAGCTGTCTGGAGATGTTGCTGGTTTCTGGAATTGCTGCAAACGCTCATAATGATTTATGTGAGCCATGGTCAAACTACTTGTTCCGCCAAGAGGACATGGGGAAATGAGTCCGTTTACTGGATTGTGCTGGACATTTTATGAGTCCCCAGATGTCTTAACCGAACTTCGTGTACCGCAACACAGATTGACCCACAAAGAGTGGAGCTTTCAGAAATCAACCGTGGCATACGCAAGGCCTGTTAGGTCAGGAGAAATAATGCTTTGGCTCGTTGCTATGAGTGAATGTGAAGGAGCTATCAGCAAATCTAGCACAAGAGGGGGGTTTAGGGTAATGAGCATCCCAAAAAGCTCTGGAGATACTGAATTCACCAACTGCATATCAACCATGCCCAGGAACGTATCTCCCCGCTCGCTAGAGTCGACCCCAAGGGAAACGAGCGAAGCGCGAAGTCGGGCCAAGAGACTCTGAGCTAAGCTCTTTCGGGGCCGAAACCGACAAAGGCAAGCAAACATTGCTTGAGCTGGTTTGCAATAGGAACTGACCAGGGGTCAACTCAAAACATCTGAAAACACCCTCTTGGAACATTTATGGATGATTGAACCACCAGGTAAACCAAGGCCCTCGATTTTTCAACCAAACCCATTCAATGACATTCACTACTGAAAGCACTGCACCAAGATCCACAGATCGAGTGGCCTGGTAGCAGAAAGGATTACCCTTGCAGAGCCACCTCTCTCGAACATGTTACCGCCCAAAGATATCTGCAAAGGTGATTGACCTAGTGGATCTCTTGGCCCCACTGGGGCTCCCACTGCTTCCAACTTTCGGGCGTAAGGGGCCCCCCAAAATGGTGCGAATCCGAGCCCAAACCTCACTTCATGAGTGGTGAGTCAGACAAAGTCTACACTTTTTGTTTACCACTAAAATGGTCTTCGCCCCAAAAGAATAAGTCCAGCAACTCAGGGAGTGGCGAAAAAAGTACGTGTCAAACACAGACACACCCATTTACCTCGTTTCAACATCACCCAGCCGAAGGCTTTCCTCCCCGGTTCGAAGCGATGGGAACCCATTTCCGCCTTCTCGGACGGCATGGTGATGTCAATTGGAAGGCTCTGCTCGTCGAAAGGAAAGTTCCTGTGTCGAAGAACATTTGCTTAAGCCCCATGGAACAAACAAAAAATCCAGTAGTAAGAAATTCCCTTGAAAACCAACAAGGGGAAATAAAACATATTCTTAAGCAAATGGAAGTCGAAGAACATGCCGTCAAGCAAAATGTGGGTATGTTTTTTGTAGAGGGTACCCTTTTGTCTGTGGCTTTAAAGGGACACCCAAAGGAAAACCGCAATTCTGGAGGGTCTCCTGAAAAAGGACACACCCATTTTGGTTGCATTCGGTTTCCTTTTCAGTGCCGGCAAGGGAGTTCCTGAACAAGAAAGCCGAAAAGGGTGATGAAGTCGGCTTTTAAGTCCTTCATTCCAAGGTCGGAATACACGTATTTCTCCAACATGATTGCTTGAATATTGCAAGGAAGGAAATTCGGAAAGTCTGCCATGGCACAATTCGGGAAATTATGTAATTGACAATGGTATGTGGTTGGTTTACTTGTAATATTGAGGAGTGATGCCGCGCCGCTAGGTGAATGATGCGATTTCGGGCCCACTAGCCCTTTGCTTCCGAGATATCTTGATCAATCTGGATGCTTCATGTTGTCTTGACAAGCGTTCTACGGGAAGGGAGGCTTTAATTCTGTACCGGGACCCAAGGAGCTGGGTTTCGAAACCCATGTGCTTCATCTAGACGTAAAAGGCCAGTTGGGTTCAGGTTGACGCAAAGGAGTGTCACGGTCAAAAAGTCGTGGAACCCCAGCACAGGTGCAAGACTGCAAGAACCCGATGTTGTGGCGGGAGTGCTCGAATGCCGATCCAAAGCGGGCATCGCAGGAGGAGGTAGGAAAAGGGCTCCTGGTTCAAAAGGAGTCAAAGCCATGGGACGGACTAGACTTGGGCATTGTTATGGCAAACGTCATTTCTTAGTTGTCTAATTAATTGCATGAGTAATTTGTGCTCGTCGTGACTTCTATCCTTTTGAGATCCTCCTGTTTTACATGTGTGAATGAGAATGCATCAAAGCTAAGAACCTCTCTAGATGGTTGGTTTCGTGTTGTCGTGAACAAGAAAACGGGGCCGAACTGACTCTGGGTGTGTCTTTGTTTAGGGGACCCCCCCAAATTGTGGGGTTGCCTCTTGGCTTCCCTTGCAAACCACCCAAAAAGGGTTCCCTCACAAAAGACACACTCAGATACCTAACATGTTTCAGATTTCATGGGCTCTGAACGCCTAGGCCGCATATGCCGCATCGGCGGTTTGGTCCAGACAACAAGTTAGGATTGCTTGCGCACTGAGCAAACACATGGAACCTCTTACTTAAAGAGTCCATGTGTAACCTTGCTGGCCCGGCTTTGAGGGGATCCACAATAGTTTGCGCAGCCATATTCCTGTTTAGGCCTCACCAGTACCCGCGCCAAGCAAGACCACTGAACACGCAAGGATTAAGCATGCTGGTGCGATAGGTAGGGAATGGGGATGACCCAGGGTGTTGGGAGCGAACCGGAAGGGGACTCCCTTAAAGGAAAGCATACTCTGGGTGGACAAATTCCTGCACCACCTCAGAAACCCTGAAATGATGATTCCACCGGCAAATACCAACAAACAATGGTTTCAACTTTCAACCATGGTTTCCAAGTGGTGCGCTCGGGATTTCGTCCATCCACAGTAGGGCATGGAGTCGTTTCCAAGGGCCCCTGCCCATCGAACCCAGCAAGTGAGGAGTGCTACTGTGGATGGACAAAATCCATTTCGCACCACCTAGAGAAACCAAAAGATGATTCTTCCCCCGTAAATACCAACAAACAATGGTTTGTCATGGCTTCTTCGGTTGTGCGAAGTGGATTTTGTCCATCCAGCAACTCTCTGCTGCTGGGCTGCCGAAGTTTCAGCCGCAGCTGGAGCTTGGCGTGGTAGCGCATGGTGAGCATGATCCTCGGAGCAACCCGTCGCGCCGTTGCCAGCAAAGGCGTCGACTCAGCATCTGCCGATCAAAGGGTTCAGTCAAAAACATGCGCACTGCTATTGCTGAGTGCTGGCGAAACTCCCAGTCATTCACACTGGCAAAAACCCTATGCGGCTTCCTTATGAGTCCGCTTTAACCATCACCCCACCCAGAGGAAACACACTTCCAAAGGTCCTAAGCAATGATCATACGGACCTCTGGTAATCAACATACTGCTGCATTGCTGTGGTCGTCCACGTCATCCTCATCCTGCTGCTCATGCTCAGCAAAATTGTCTTCATCCTCAGCTTTTATTGACTACTCCTCACTACCCCTCCCGCTCCGCCTCATCAGCGTCATGACACGTCGTCAGCACCAGAGCGGCAGCATGAATCATCATCATCATCAACAACATCATGAGCAGCATCAGCAGCAGCAGCAGCAGCAGCAGCAGCAGCAGTAGCAGCCGCAGCACCAGCAGCATTATGATCATCTTTATGACTGGTCATCGTCAACACAATCAGCATCATCAGCATGATCAAGTTGGCCCATGACCTTCCTCGTGTGAGAAAGCAGCACTCCGGTAGAAAAGGATTGAGCGTGCATTGTGGCTTATCTCAACCTAGGAGACCTCGTGCAGGTAGTGAGATGACACTACATGAGCCATGCCTTGAACGTGTGATGTTTTGCTATGTGGCATCATGCTGCCTACGCCCTCGCTTGCGCGTGTCTTCACAATGCATGCTTTGGCTTACGCAACTCATGTGGAGGTTTTGCTTACGCCACCTGCTTACGCCACCTGATGTGTGTGGAGGCTTTACATCCCTACAGGTTGATATGACACAACTCTTGCTAAGGTGGTACACAAAGGGTTTGGACGTTGCTCAAATACATCCGATGACTATTCAAACAGTCAGATTTTTGGGGGAGGGGCTTTACTCACTCTGGCAGTTGATCAGTTTCCAACTTGCCAACGGCACCCTTCCATTTGCTGAGAAGCCCCATGGAACAAATGAGAACATCCTTCCAGTATAGTGATAAATTCCTTTTAAATCCAACAAGGGAAAATTGAAAAACATATTCATTTGGGTATGGGTCAAAATTAAACCACCAGGATATGGACCGCAGGTTTTGGTCCATGTTTCCATTTACCAGGGCAACCCATTTTGGGGTTAGACTATTTTTGACCCACAGCCATTTCAGCCAATGGAAGCGGATCCTCGTCAGAGATCCAAGTTCCCGGCCGGCCCGTGGAGGAGTCCGTGACGCAGGCGGAAGGCCCCTGCTCCAGCGCCAGCTCGACCTGGCGATCTCCGGATCCGCTCCAAGCTCCGTGCACGGAGCAGGGTCTTCCATTGGCGCTTTCGCCCCCTGGGGAAAAACAAAAAAACATATTTCCAGTAGTGATCGATTCGTTTAAAAACCATCAGGGGATTAAAAAAAAAAGAAAAAACACCAAACAAATGGAAGGGGTTTGGAAAAAACAATGCCAAAACGGGCCGACCTTGGATCCAGAAAGTCGGACCCAACTAGAAATGGACCTAGAAATATGAGCTGCACATATCCCCATGGACCTATGAGCTGAATATATGGCTTCCCCATGTCAACCCCAAGATTGCGGATAATAAGTGGGTCCAAAACTTGCCGAACCAATAGGAGCAGGGAATGAGAAATGGCTCATGACCCCGAAGAAAACCGAATCCCAACTGGTGGTGTCCTTGAAGGGGACGCTTTGCCTGGGTCCATTCAACCACATTCCCTGCTGAGAAACAGCAGAATCATGACGTCAATGACCAGAGATTCCAACTGGATTTGCCAGGATGGGTATGATTCTTGGGCGAAACTGGCATATCAAGCACCTAATACTTGATGGTCATGACGCAGGAATCTTACTGATCTTGAACAGCAATCCGGCAAAGCGATTGACTGCCGTCTTGAGCGGTCTTCAATCAGCTGGTGCCTGCACCAGCTTATGCGAATGAATTCGCCAAGACACCTCATCACGGTAATTATCATGATCCACATGACCCGCAACGGCATCTTAAAAGGGGAAGGAAATCCGATATTATTGCATTCACAAATCAGACCGAAATCAAGCTACGAACAACTGCACCCAAAATCAATGCATACTCCCAAGGAACCTGAATTCATCGTGCATCCCGTCTCAGTCGATGGCCACTGTCATAGCGGGTTGTTTGTTGTCATGCTCGGTCTCTCCCTCTCTCTCTGCCTCTGTCTGTCTCTCTCTCTCCAACTTGGTATCTATCTGTCTCCGCTTCTCTCTCTCTCTCTCTGTGTCTGTCCATCTTTGTCTGTCTCTGTCTCTATCTCTGTTGCTGTCTCTGTCTCTGTCTCTGTCTCTGTCTCTGTCTCTGTCTCTGTCTATGTGTGTCCGTCTGTCTCCCTCTCTCTCTCTCTCTCTCTCTCTCTCCGTCTGTCTGGTGCTCTTTTTCCTCCCTCTCCGTGTGTCTCTGCCTCTCTCTGTCTGTCTCTGTCATTCTCTGGCTCTGTCTCGGTCCCTCTGCCTTTCTTTGGTGTCTAGGTAGCCTGGCATGCAACCACGCCCACACAGAATTGCACGACTTCAAGTCACCAACCACAAATCCCCACTTACGCACACTTTGTCGAACATTTGGGTTTTTCACTGCACAAGTTACAGAGCCCAAGCCCAGCGGGTCTTTCGGATTCTTTGTCCCGCCTTGTTGTGCACGTCCACCTCAGGAGCCCTCAGGCCTCGGATTTTCCGATGCCGCGACTCCGCGGAATCCGCGGCTCGGCCAACAATGTGCAAGTAATTCCGGTTGGCTTGTGGGCTTTGCATTCGTTTGATGACACCTGCCAGGCAATTTGCAGGACAACTTCCTGAAGTTGGTGGCACTGACTGGCCTGCCAACTTCTGGAAATGCGTGAGTCAAGCTGGATGACCCTTCTCATTTTCTTGGTCGATTTCAAGGCACCCTACCCAAAAACCCGCCCCAGCGCCCCGCCCGCCCCCTCCCCAACCACTGCTTTTCGGACACTTGGGGGGTGCTGGCCACTGGTCTGGGCTGTTCAAAATGAAGGGTTGGCCAATCCGATTTTCCATACTCCCTGTATGGAAGCCACAAAAGTTTTTTTGTGTTATTTTTTTTTGCGTAATCGCAGGGAAGGATTAAGGATTGCCTTTGAACAGCGCTGGCCCAACTAAAAACCCCTAAAAACCTAGGGGGGATCAGCGGGTTCAGTGGACATCCCACCACAAAAACCAACTAAAAAACCGCAGCAGCTTCTTTCCAACGCCCCGGCTTCACGCCCGGCCCAACGCTTCAGGTACCTTTGGGCGCCCCACGGACCAGCTCGGACTTACACAGCTCGATGCCCTCGGGCAACCCGACCTCACCGGAAGGGATCTCGCGGCTTTTGACCCCGCCCATTTCAGGGATCTTTACATGAAAACACCGATCGAACCTTGCAACTTGTAAATGGTAAACGGTTTCCAACTTTGTTTTGGCGGAATGAAAAAAAAGGCCACAGGTTTCAAATGGCGGCAAAATGGAGATCTTTTAAGGACCCCTGCCATTTCAGGCAGGTTGAAGGGGGTAGACCACTACTGCACCCCCCAAGCCGGACAAAAATGGAATGAACAAAATTCTAAAACCTACCTCACGCCCCCACCTCATATTCCATTTTCGAGGGGTGGGAGTGGGGAAAGGAAAGAACCCCAGACTTTGCAAGGAAAGAACCCCAGGCCATGGGTCAAAATTCCGCACCCAAGGTGAACATCCCAATCCCCACTTAAATAGGTTCTAAAATGGGTGGTGAATTCACCTACCGACCAAAATGGTACCAAAACGGTTTTGACCCACAGCCACCTCAACGGAATCCCGAACGAACTTTCCGCAACCCAAGGCCTGATGCCCCGTATGGATTTTGGACACTCGCCCTGAAGGCAAGGCCAAGGCAGCGGCAGCATCTTCGCAGATCCACTCAATGTAAAGGCTGAACCTGGGCAAGGCGTAGCTTCCTCGGTCCTGCCCAAAAAATGGCAGTGGCTCACAAAAATGTACCAAAATGGCACCTTTACCAAATGGAAGCTAGGTCCTCAAAGGGCGCTACTGGTAGACCTAGTCTACATGCCCTGCCAAAAAAATAGGTGGACGCTATTCAGGAGCAGCGAAAACCATGCCGCAGCAGTCGATCGTGTTATGAAACATCCTTACACCACGTGCTCATCAATGTGGACATGAAGTGCTGTAAGCCTCTTCAGCTTGTGTTTTACGCATATCCCCAAGACCAGTGGTGCTCCAGTGCTTGAACACCAACGTATCCCAGTGGCATCGATGGAACATCTGCTTCCCGCCAAATCCACGTCGATCACTTGCTTCGGGTTCATGTGCAATCAGTGCTTGGCATTTCTTAAAAAGGTCGATGGAGTTGTGTTGGCACGGGAGAAACATGCGGCTTTGATTGTCCGAGAGAAAAGGGTGCGCCTGGAGCAAACGCGGAAACCAGTGGCGGTTTCTTGTGCTCACATGGGTATGATTTTTACTGGAGGGACCCTTGGGGGGACATCACAGAGGTAGGGATTCATGTCTACCAACCACTTTTTCCGGTGGAATCCTAAGAAAATCAATGGCCCCGTAGCCAATACAAACCACGGCTGGGTTTGGCCCGTGAAGCCGCACAAAGTGCAACTTGAAAGCTCTGCACGCTTAGAGTCCGGCTTGCACTCGTACTGTGCCTGAATCGGGTCAATGTCGTGGATGAACCAAAGGACGGTGGACACTGCCTCGGCTTCTTGCGAACAGAGTCGCTGCTCAAGCTAATTTCACGCCAAAAGGAAGTGCTCTTTACTTACGGAGCATAAACCGCCCCAAGTTGCTCTCTCAACGTCCTTCACATCAGCCCTGCCAACCCTGTTCACAAATGTTCACAACATCAACGACACCCTATGCCAAAACAACGGTACCATAAAAAACAAGAGAAAAGATGCTGTACTTTGCTGTCAGGTCTCCCAAGCTCTCTCTGTTTACCGATCTTCTAACTGCACATGCAGTGACACGAGCATTTATTTGTGCGGGGGGCGGACAAGCTCCGTCCAGCAAGTAGCAAGCAGTCAACCATAAAATCCACAGCAGCTATCAGCAAGCCCCGGGTCGTTTGTGAGTCTTGAAACCACTCAAATTTCAACCTGGGACCCGCTAGCAACCTTCAGGTTACCACTACCAACACACCGAAGACTGTTTCAAGTCGCAGCCTCATATTTTTGGCAACCAAAGTGACAGAGAAATGGTTTCGCACTCCGCCAACGGTCTGTTGCCTCGATTCGTCTCAGGACTCGGGGGCGGCTTTCGACTTGTTGGGTGAATGGTTCCTTCAACCACGAGTCCACCAGTCTCGGGCTCCCAGTGTGAAACACATACCCACTCAGCCGAAGAATGCATCGATGCTTGTGGATCCCAATGCAGATACAAGACTGTTGCACGTTGCATGGAATTCACGTGGTGTCAAAGAGATGTGGATGTTGTCATGGGTCCCTTCACATATATATATGTATATAATATCAAAATGGGTTGTGGATTGGGTGCATTGCGGACAGGGATGCCATACATATTGTGATGCACAAGACGCCGCTGTTGCACGTGCCGAAACAGCGGTTCAGTGGACTGGGCAGAGCTGGCCACCTCTCACTGCCCAACACAGTGAGGGGAAAAGGATCATTAGATCCTAAATCCAAATAACATACTGAGCGAACAACGAAATAAGTGTTCCCCTATAAGACTGACTGGAAAAGGATGTTTACTTCAAGTAACAGAATGAGCAAACAACAAAATAAGTGTTCAAAGGATTTTGAATCCAAGAAACATCATGAGCGAACAAGTGATACGCTTTCCCCTTCTAATCATGACTAAAGTTGGTTTTAAGGGCACCTTAACCGCAGCTCCGTTCAAATCTGGGCCCTTTCTTCTAGTTCCCTCGCACCAAGGCGCCACGGCGTCTGTGGAGATGTTGTTGATGGTGGGCGACAGCCGCCGCGCTGAGGTGTACCGGAGACGTCCCCGCAACTTGCCCTGGGAGCGGTGCTCGGTCAAAAGAGCGCCAAGGAGCCAGAGACGGAATTTAGGGAAGAATACGTCAGGGCAATCCAACAATATTGGAACCTCTTGACAATATTTGGACACGCCCAGGCTGGAAAAGAGGACCATTCCAAGACCAAAGGTAGCTGGAGTTCTTTTCATGTTAAGGCAGGGAACCTGTGATCTGTTGGTCTTGTTTGAGCTAACGACACTATGCCTTAGACCCATGAAAAAAGGAACGCACATCCCTGTTCTAAGAGGCAAGCACAGCTTGATTCTGCTCGGAATGAAGCGATAATCTGATTCACGTCTACCATCATGTCGTAAGTAAAAACTGGAACATCCGCTGAACTTGGAAAACAAGGAAGATGCAGAACGACAAGATTCATGGCGCTTTGAAGGAGCACAGCCTCTTCCAGTGACATTCCTTTGGGCGCTTGGTCAATCCGCTGCAGACCAAAACAGTCGTGTTCAATGCAACGAGAGGGGACGAGCTTCAAACTGAAACTTGGGCTAAGCGAGACTGCTGAGGCCTTCGACCAAAGGGCGCAGGGATCAAAGTCTATGGGCCTGACATGACTGACCGCACAACAGGTCTTACATATTTTGGGGACCTTTTTGCTGGATGGTTCTTAATTCAAGAAAAAATACAAAAGCGTCACCCCTTTTACTGAAAGGAACCTTCTTCGTTGAGGACGATGGGTCCTGTGAGATCGCTGTAAGCAAGCTGGTCGTTGCATCACCGGTGCAATGCTTAAAACCCCGATCTGAATTGTTGGGCTGGCTCAAAGGTCAATAAACGGGACCTGAGACACTTTCATTGGCGTTCTGTTGGGGCTGTTTCTGACAACATGGATGGTGCAAACACATCTCTCAAAGAGGCAACTTTATAAAACACCAAAGCTCAAACGGTTCAAAAGGCATGTCTTCTCAAGGGCATGGCAGTGGCAAACGCAGGTGTCCTGACGCATTGGACGGTGTCTGAAAGCGGCGAAGAGGAGAAACCCATGGTCTTAGCAGTACCTTCTTCCATTTGCTTAAGCCCCCTGGATAAAATAAAACAAAATAACAATATTTCCAGTAGTGATAGATTCGCTCTAAAAACCAACAAGGGAAAACCACAACTATTCTGCAGCAAATGGATGCCTTCCTTGACTCGAATTTGCACTCGCTTTGGGCGCGCTTTGGGCTTTGTGCTTGCACTTCTTGCACGCTTTGGGCGCGCGGCAATCTGCTCAATGGCTTCCGGCGAGAAGTCGGGCAGCTCGTTCTCCTCCTGACGATTGAACTCGCCGATGGGCGGCCCGGAGGCCCGCAGGCCCGGAGCGAGCGCGAGCGCGAAGGAGACACAAGCCATGGGCTGAGAAACACCCAGGTCCTCCAGATTTGAAAGCTCAGAATGGGGTGGAACGAGACTCCAGGTACCTCCTTTTTTTGGACTAGGTCCTCCAGATTTCAGAGGTTGGAATAAGTTGGTACCGTTTCTTTTTGCAGTTTTGTCTATTTTAGTCGGGCAAGCCTCCTCCAAAAAAGTGTAAAAGGGCACTACTGGGGGACCTAGAATCCCTTTAAGTTTGATTGGACGTGTGGGCCCCTTCCGCAAAACCGTCCCCGCACAGCTTCTGCGATCTGAAGGGTGCCTTCCGCGATCATGTTTCTATGTAAGTGCTTCCGCGGCCCTTCCGCGGGCAAGTTATTTCTGGAAGTTGAGGAAAGCAGCTTCTGCGAGGGAATTTGTGCAGCATCTGCTAGCAATCCTAGTCAGAGCAAATGTAATTTGGGAAAGCAAATCAAGCCCGTCCCTTCCGCTAAAAAAAACGCGCAGGACAAGCTTTGGGAAACGTCCGCGGCTGCAGTGTGGTGCTACCTTTTTTGTTGATATGTCAACCTATGTATGGTCAGGGGCTCCTCCTGTCGGTGGAGTTGACACCAGCTGCTGAAACGCAGCATGTGGGCCGAAAAGCAAAGCTTTTCTACACATGAGCCTGAACCAGTACGAAACCAACCCAAGATCCAAGCTGAGGTTGAAGACGGCCACCCAAGCTAAGAATCTGCCAACCATCCATCCATCCATCCATCCATCCATCCATCCATCCATCCATCCATCCATCCATTCATCCATACAACTACACATCGAACTGGCTGACCGATCGTACCAAAGCTAATAGCGGCCCCTCGAGCATATGTCCATTCTAACCGTCCAACGAGGTGGGTCCCATAAATGGAATAATACCAATCTAAACCAGTGCAATCTATTTCTTTCTAACCAAACTGACCTAAAAAGGACACCTATGCCCTTCAGGTTCAAACCTGTCAACCGCTGCTGAATTGAAGGTCCTAAAAGGCTCGAAACAAGCGAGCTTCCACTGAACCAAACGATCCCTGCCAGCAACCCTCCTCAATACATGGGCTAGAGTGGATGGCGAAAGCGGGGGGGCCAGCGGCAGGAAAGAATGAGACTCAAGCCTAGCTCCATCGCAAGCCTAGCTCGCGCCAAAATTCAACAAGCTCTCGCGGGACATGCCGAAAGAGGCAAGCGCAAGCGCGCCTTGCCCTTGCCATCCTCCGTCTGCACGTTCAATCCCTGCGAAAGCTGGAGGCTGCAAAGGTGGGTGGTTCATGCCAATACTGTGGATGGACGAAATTTGTTTGCACCACCCATGGTTTCAACCCATATCAGGTGTTGGTACTTGTGTTGGGGAATCGAATCATTCCAGGGTTCTTGCGTGGTGCGGAATGGATTTGTTTCATCAGTAGCACTGGGGGCAACATGCTGCCCTGTTTCATTGGACAATTCAGTGGCCCCTGGACATCGGGTTTGTTTTGTTCGACAGTTTGTAAATATTGCATGCGAGTCGCCAAAGCTGGAATATCTCTGAATCCGTCTTGTGAAAGAGGCGCCTTGGTCTTTGAGGCTATGTTTTGAGAGCTCTTCGTTTCAACAAAAACAACAACATCGCTGTTGGAGTTTTACCCTATTCCACTCCAATAGATATCCCTTGAACGAACCCTTTTGGTGCTAGCTCATGTGCTTTGGACGCAACACAGCCTTAGGAGCAAATACGATTGTCGATCAATCTGAGAGCACTGATCACTCCTGCGAACATCGACCGAAAAGAGCATCCACCATGGCATGGGACTTCAGCACATGGAGGAATATGGGACTCCAAACGCCCCTATATCAGAGATATCTACAAATGCACCCAAAAATATAGGCCAGCCAGTCTACAAATACAGCTGGGAAAGCTTTTGCTATCCGGGCATGCAGCTGGCAGCTTCAGGAGGCTGCAAAGTCTGAAGCGATGTCCCGAGGTGTCTTTCCATAAACTGATTTGCTGCTATGATCACCCAAGCAAGTTCAAGCTCTTTCGCGAATTTTCAGAAAACGGCCGGTTCTCCTTAGTCAAAGGTCAAAGTTCGCGTCAGATAAGGAACCAACATCAGTCTTGCAATGCTTGGCGGCCTTAGGTTACTTCAGTTCGCTTGGCAATTGAGCGCCTCTTATCCTAGAAGCCAAGCCGACGCTTTCATTTGTTGTTTTTCCCCTCGGTTTCATGACAGCAAAGGCATCCTGTTTCAGCAAAGGGCAAGCTGTCAGCATCTGCAACTCCTTTGACTCATTAAAGCCAAGACAATACACTTGCTTTTCAATCTCACCGTTGTGAGTCAACACCACTGCGTCTTAAACAGGCTGCCTACCTAGTCCAGACCGGGAAGATCGAACGAGGGCTGGCCAAACGGCCTCCACAATCCATTGGTTTCAAGCGACTCAGACGACAATAGCCGTCCCAGCCGTATCTGTAGACTGGCTGGCCTATATTTTTGGGAGCATTTGTAGATATCTCTGATATAGGGGCGTGTGGAGTCCCATATTCCTCCATGTGTTGAAGTCCCCCGGATAACAAAATGGGAAAATATTGCGTGTAGCAATAGATTCCCTTTAAAACCAGCAGCGAAAAATAAAGCATATTCTTAAGCAAATGAAAGGTAACCCTCCTTCCAGAAATCATGGAAATGCACAGGAGGGTTTTAGAAGTCTACCATTCCCTCTCAAAGGCCTCCCTTCCACTCCCGTGAAAGCTGCTAAGAGACTCCACTACGTGGGTAACACGCTCCACGCAAACCAGCAAAGTGAGTCACAATCAAAACCCGGTACTACAATGGTCTACCCAGAACCATGTCAGGAATTAAGAAGGAGGCCACAGCTGAAGCTTCATCTACCCGGGACTTGATTGTGGCTCCACTAAAGCTCTACTCCGACGCGCGGAAAAGAACAACAAATTGCGCTGAGGTTTCGTCTATCCCTGCGCGGCCTGCAGCATCTTCTTGCGCTTCCTGCGGGAGCTGAGAGCAGGTTTTACCTTGCACACCCTAAGGTGAAATCAAGGGATACCTCACTTCGGATCGAGTGGATTGGCCAAACAAAGTCTGAACTTTTGTTTACCACTAACATGGTCTTCCCAAAAAGCTGGAAGTGAAGCAACTCAGGAAGTGAGATACTGACACCCTCTGTAATAACTCGCCTATCCTTAACGCGTTTTCAAGGAGAGGCTTGAACAGACGGGATCAACTCTTCTCAAGGCGCCGATACCCAGCAGGGAGTCATCCAGGATATCTACATAATGTTCAAGCTCCCATGCCAAGCGGACCTTTTGTTTTCCAGCAAACACGCCATGAATTTTAAGTGAGGTGCACTTGGGCGTTTTTTTTTGGAAACACGAATTGCTGGGTGAATAAGTGTCATGAAATTGACCCTGGCCAGAAATCATGCATGATTCAATGATCCCCACCCGGAAGCAAAACAAAACCCACCAAAGCCATGCTATGACAAAAATGTATCAGATCTCCCCATTCCAGGGATGAAACTCAGGGACCTGATCCCAAAACCTTTTCTCCCACTGAGCAGCGCACACGGCAACTTAGGGGCGCGCGCCCCGCCAGTCCAAAAGCTCTCTGCACCCTCCCAACGAGCTAGTACCAAGCGAAACCCGATCCGAGACTGTGTTCTGCATTAAGATCTCTGAGACAAGGCACGCCAGGACAAACAACTCGTGTCATAGCTCTAAACCACTGCTTCACTCTGTATTCGAAGGCAGGATGTCCTGGTATCACACCCCTAACTCTACAATTTGGTCCCCAAAATGGCAAGGGTTTCCGTTTGGTCCCATTTAAAATACCAACCAAAGGGGGTCCGTGGACATTGCCTAAGGCAGACTTGGACACCGGCCAGCCTGGCCACGTAGACGCTGAAGCCCACCAACGCCAGGATCCTCGATGGCTATTTGGACCTTCTATTTTTGTTGGCTTGGCTTAAAATTATGGGAAACCAAAAGAACACCGCGGACTTTGTTTGACACATACCCGACGGCCCAACGCAGATGGGGGGAAATGGACGCAGATGGGCCACAAAAACGGTTTATCTGGGAAATGAATCAAAGCCAGTTCCCCGAAGCGCAGGGCCCCTTTTTTCTGAGTGAACTCAAACTTGAGACATACCAAATCATAGCCGTCCTTGGGGAAATTGATGGGTTCCCCTGGTAGATGAGAAAAAAACCACCAGGTAAACCAGGCATCGCCATCTATTTTCTGCCAAAACAACCAAGAAGAACACCTATGTACCAAATACTTTGGCTGTACATAGTCTACGGTGACTTCCATTTGCTTAAGCCCTAAGAACAAATAAACAAATGTGATAAGTTCCCTTGAAAACCAACACAGGAAAATAACAAATATTCTTAAGCAACTGGATGAAAGTGAACACGGGCACATCGACAAGACCTGCCAAGGCGCCACAAGGGGAGCAAAGTGCTGATGAACACAAGGTCCACCTCAGAGGCAAAGCGCCTTCCGACGCGGGAATACGGAAAAGACAATGCTACTCTTGTTGGTCCGTGTTGAAGGTGGCCAAGATGAACGCAATGATTAGTGACCGTATATGTATATAGTATATGTGACCATAGTTCTTTCACACAGCCGTGCGGACAACAACATTTTGCGCGGCAGTGCTGCAAAATCGCATGCACTCCAAGCCTGTCCGTGAAGCAGTCAAAGCCTCATTCAGAGTCGGTCTGGTATGTCCAGTCTTTTTGAATCATCAACTTTGGGAGAAACATAGTGAGTCGCAGTCGTCGAAGTGAATAAGACCGAGAAGCAATGTAGACTTCAGGATCTGTGTGTTGCGGGAAAGAAACCCTGTTTCCTCGGAATAAATCGGACATCGACCAAACGGAACACGTGGTGCCTTTGCGGGGTGCGGCTCACGTGACTTGCCAAGGGGCGATCTGCGCAGTTTCCTCCCCTCCGAAGCCGAACCACCTCGCTGCGCGACGTTGACATGTGACGAGTCAGTGCAAAGAAACCGACCACCAACACAAACAAACAAAACAAACAAACAAACAATCAAACAAACAAACCAAACCAAACAAAACAACCAACCCAACCAACCAACCAAACAACCAACCAACACAAACAAACAAACAAACAAACAAACCAAACAAGCAAACAAACAAAACAAACAACCAACCAAACAAACATACCAAAAGACAAACAAACCAAAAACAAACAGAAAACCAACCTGGCCCCTAACATATCACAAAACAACACAACAAATACAAAATAGGACATACCATAACATGATATGACATAACATGACAAACAATATGACAGGGAAACATACACGCAAACACACAGCCCACACGCACACACAAGCACAAATGCAGAAATGGAAGAAAGCAAAGCTCAAAGTCAAGACATACACAGGAACGCGCACGCTCGGTCACACACACACACACTCTCTCACACACACACACGCACACTCTCACACTCTCACACACACACACACAGACTCGACCCCCCGCCCCTTCGGGGGGGCATTGTCAAAGCAAAGAGCTGCCACATTGAAAGTTCGGAACAGATCAAGGCAATATTGTTGAACAAACCTACGTTTCAAAAGAAACGGACAAAAAACCACAGAGACCCATCCTTCGAGAACGGACAGGAACCTCCCCTTACAAGAACTGTCCGAGGGGATTGCTAAGCCGGCTTCTCCCTTTGACCAAGGCCTAGCCAAAGCTTTCTGGACATTTGGGAATGTGTCAAAATGGGGGCGGGGGACCCTCACAGTCGTAGGTGGCACAACGGATGCTTTTGGTAAAACCATAGCCATCTGTTTCCAACCAAACTAACCCAAAAAGGACACCTATGCACACAGTGGTGAGTCTTCCTGTTGGATTCCCTTTAAACCGACCTGACAAGGGTACCCTCGCCACACACAGACCCTGTTCTCATTGCGGTGCGCCTATCTGCCAGCATGACCACAATCACATCGCCTGAGCTTTGATTCGCTGCTGTTGGATCAGTGCAGCTTCGGACTTTGGAGTCACCGCTAGCCAAGGAAGTGCCTCAACAATTTCTTGCTGGTTCTCAGCAGGGAATGGGAAATGGAATGACCCCCGGAAAAAAAGAAAAGAAAAAAAAAACAAGAAAAAAAAACTATGGTTTCCTTTAAGGGAACCCCTACTCTGGGTCATTCCCTACTGAGCACAAGTAAGAATGCCACTACGCTGTTTAATCATGGGGTCAAGCAGTCAACCACTCGCTACAGCTATCTGACACTGGAAAGGTCTTTTGCCAGGACCGCTGCACTACATGCCTCGCACTGGATGCATTTCAATACAGAAAATCTTCACGAGGGTCGCAACGCTGAAGATCATTGGCAATCTTAGGCATTTTTCTCGGAAAGGAAAAGAGACCTGTCAATTACTACGTCCTCCAGTAGAGAGGTTAGAATAAGGATACCCTTTTTTCTGTAGTCGATTCTAGTAGGGGAACCCTCCCAAAGCAACAGGGCACTGCTGGGACCACTGAAGGGCCTGGTTGGCAATCCTAGGCGCTTTCTCGTACCAGGAAAAGAGACCTGTCAGTTAATTACTACCTATTTCCTTGCGGGTTTCTGATCGGCAGCTTTTGAAGGCTCCCTCTTCAAACGGCTCCCTTCCAACCAGCTACTGGCCTTAATGCTCAATCAGCTGCCCGTGAACGGCAAAAAGGTTTGCAAGGCGTCTCTTGCTTCAAGCGATCTGGTGAGCATGACTGATAGGTGCATTTTTTTTGGAAGCCCCGTTTCAGGATGGCTCAATGCTCTCCACTGAACGTGCCCTATTCCTCTGACAATTGAGATGGACCCAACAAAGCTCTTCTGTAAAATTTAGTGCTTGTTGGGCTCCTGGGTAGTCTTCAGGAGCGTAACTACTGTGCCTTTACGTCGCTTGCGATGTGCTCATCACTCAGTCTCAGTGCATTTTTCCGAAGCTCAGAAAATAACCGGCCAAAACCTGCAGGGAAAAAAGAAGGGGGGCTCTTCAACTGACTGCATTGAGCAATGCACCTAGGTCCTCCAGTAGAGAGGTTAGAATAAGGATACCCGATTTTTTCTTTTTTGTCTATTTTAGTTGGGGAACCCTCCCAACCAAAAACGTTGGGTGAGAGGTCGGGCACCTAGCTGGGGGGCCTAGGCGCAATGCACAGCAGATCGAAAGGAAGGCGAGGTGCCGAGGATGATGGACAAGAGCAGCAGCTGGCAGCACATGGCGAAGTGATCGAAGGCCGTGGCATAAGCCACGATGGGCAGTTTGCTGTCGATGGACAGACCTGAGAAAATGTCGAGGAAACGTCCATGCCTTTCAAAGCGCTTGAGGACAAGTGACCTGCTGACGCATTCCTTGGCTACATGCTTGATGTTGGGAAAGCCTAGGTCCTCCAGTAGAGAGGTCAGAATAAGGGTACCAACTTTTTCTTCTGTAGTCTATTTCAGTCGGGGAACCCTCCCAACCAGAAAAGTCCATATGGGCGATGGGCATGTTCGTGTGTCTCTCCTTTGTTTGGGGCACCCCGCTTTTTTGTTTGTGGTTTAGAGAGGAACCAAAACGAAAACCGATGCCATTTTGGGGGGGGGTCCGCCAAAAAAGACAAACCCAGGCGGGTGTAGCCCTTTTTCGAAACCGGAAAAGATATGCTGCCTTCCCGTTGGTTTCTCTTTGAAAACCAAAAGGTCCATAAAGTCCATAAAGAGGAGCATGAGGTTACTTTTGGTTCCCCCGAAAAAAAAAAAAAAAAAAAAAAACATCCAAAAGGAGTAATTACCCTATTTAACTTTGAGACAGGTGCACGTGAATTGTTCAACAAATCGCTGACACAATCAGGGTTGTTCATCCTTCATCATGGGTGAGTTCGCAACCCTCCCTGGTGTGACCAAAAAAACAGCCAAGATGTAGCCCCGTCGTTCAGATTCAGCTGCTGCTGCCTCCGCGGAATCAATACGTTAATGCGTGCTTCGCAGGCACAACGCCCCTTTGTCTTGAGACACGTGAAGCTCATGTCACTGTCAAAGCGCTTCCTCACAAGTGACCCTGACGCATTCCTTGGCTACAGGCTTGATGTTGGGAAAGCCTATACAGAGATCAGATAAGGGTACCAACTTGTTTCTGTAGTCTATTTTAGTAGGGGAACCCTCCCAACCAAAAAAGAAACGGAAAATAAAAAAGGGCACCTAGCGGGGGACCTAGAAGCTGAGCCATGCTCACGTTCAGGTTTTCAAGCCGCCGAGTTGCGGAAGGTGGTCTGCGCGAAGAGGATGGAGATGCAGAAGCGCAGCCGGTCGAATGGAGGCTTCAACTGGCGGCCCCGAATCTTGCAAAGGGAAAGGCTCTTCAGCTTCCCCCGCTGTTTGGTGATTTAGCCTGCTTTGGTGGTGTTTCCCCATCTAGCCTCTACAAGTACCAGGGGTTCAATTCCCCCAAACCACCGATCCAAACTACCAAAGGGGTTGCCAGACTTGTGTTGATACTCCGGAAACTGCATTGTTTGACCGTTGCATTTTTGTGTGCCAGAATACAAGGACTCTTGACAATGGTATCGCCTGGCTTACGCTTTGATGTGCATAACGCAAATCGTTGCCACATTCTGGTCTTCAGATTCTCAAAGAATGGTGGGTCTTGGTTTCCTTGAAACCCATCCCAAAGCGGGGTACGCCCAAAAGACAGAAGAGCTCCTCATTGTAAGACCCGCGCATTCCAGCCGCTACGCCTCACGTCGAAGCATGCGAACACGTCAATACGAACCAAGAACAGCCGGAACTCATCCCCTTTTCGGGGCCCCCGATTTTGGGATTCCATGCCAAAAACTTGCAGGATGTGACCATGTCACCATGTGACTGCCAGCTTTGAGCATCAAGTGTTGGTGATAGGATCAACGTTTTCACCAAGGACCAGGGCCTCCTTCCATGGGCTTCAAAATGATTCTCTGCCGCCGTTGCTTGACGGCGGTAGCCCAGCCCCTGAGACGTCTCAAGTTGCTTTCTACCAAGGCCTCAAGTTCCCAAACCAATCCAAACCAGACTGCCTGATTTCGGGTACAGACTTACCTGTGTTTCTCGTTGTGACATTACCCCACCAAAAGGAAGTGAAGTTAAATTGGGCCAAAAGAAAGGCAACATACCCTAAGGGTCCTGATAGAGTTTGGGGCCTCAAACTGCCTCCTTGTGACACCCTTAAAACAACTCAGGGTGTGATACGGAGAACCCCGGGTTCTGCATACCAAGCCCCAGCACCCTTAGGGTTTCCGGAATTAGGTTTTGCAGTAGACAGGTTACACTAAGGGTAACTCTTTTCTGTAGTCTATTTTAGTAGGGGAACCCTCCCAACCAAAAGGGTGAGAAAGGGCACCTAGCTGGAGGACCTAGCTGTAATAAGCGGGGATCCCAAGTTGGCCTGCAGCAAGTAGCCCGCAAAGGATGATGAGGCAATGGCGCACCTGAGCCGTGTCGCTGATGCGGCTCACCCTTCTCGGCGGCCGCTCCGCTCTTTGGTTTGTTTCGTATTCCCTGTGAAGACCCCAAAAGACCTCCAGAAGAAAAAACAAAAAACACCAAAATTGAGCAGAAGAAAAAGAACAACCACCACAATAAAAAACCTGAGTATACCTCAATGAGGATTCTAACTCAACGAATGACCCGTTTTTGAGGAGCCATCTTCCGCTCCGCGAGTCGGGGTTTCAGATTGTGCTCAGAGAGGACTCAAATTTCTGCTTCTGTGATACCGAAAGGGCCTAACCCCAAAGACGCTTTTGTTCATATAATACGGGGGATTCCCAAAAGTAGCACAGAGGTGGTTTATGATAAACCCCGAGCGATCCCGCACGGAACTTCTGACGAACTGTCAGGACCCCGAGGATTCCCAAGCTGAAGGAAGCCACAGGTTTCCCGCTTCGCAAGGCTGGGTGTGTCAACTTCCATTTGCTGAGAAGGCCCCATGGGAAAAAATGAAAAACATATGTCCAGTAGTGATAAGCTCCCTTGAAAACCAACAAGGGTAAATTGAAAACTATTCTTAAGCAAATGGAAGTCAATGTCAACACACTGTACAATCGCCTTTCCGTGTCATACGCGGAAAAGGCGCCTGTGATAAAACTATCATTCCCCAATTGGTCAAACAACATGTTTTTACCAAACCTCAAGCAATGATTCCACGCGAGGAGTTCCACACGAAAGGATCGTCGAAACCCACAAACTTAATTGGCAAACATGCCGATGTAAGTAGATACGTGCGACGGTCAACACTCCCTGCATGAACACATGCACATGCTTCCCTTCCCCAAATCCTCATAGATCTCTCTACACATGTGGCCATGGGTCCAAATCCAATTCGTACCCCCAGTGAACATCCCAATCCCCACTAAAGTCGACTAAAATGGGTGGTGCACCTACCCCAAAATGGTACCATTGGTTTTGACCCACAGCCATGTTGAGCAATGACCGTCTCCTAATCCTCCAGCAATTCCAGAATCAGTGGCGTCCCAACGGCACCAACTCTACGGGTTCCTTTCTTGGTTGCTGTTGACCCCCCTGCAAAAAGTTTCACTTTTGGGGGGTTTAGTGGAAAACCCGAAAAAGATAAAGTCTAAAGATCCAACCAAATAGCAGTAAAAAGATAAAGTCTAAAGATCCAACCCAATAGCAGTCAACTTTTTGGCTTCGCGGCGTCACAGACCGGTTCGTTCAAATCAGGCCCCACTATGCGACGTCGTCAGAACTCCGAAGGCCCTTCAAATGCTCGTAAAGCAAGGCATGACAACATCGAACGCAGCCCAGCGACAGAGTCAAGAGCACGTTGAGCACGTAGTACATGTACCCACCTGAAGGAGACAGAAGGAACCACATTGTAAATGCAGAGGTCGAAGGGGGCTGGCGGGGAAGTTCACGGGTTGAGCAAACAGCACACATCCTAAGTCGGAGGATTGACTCCTCTCAGTTACATGGTATCAAACATGGTATGCCTGCCTGCCGTTGGGACGAAAACAAGAACACCTGCCAGGAAACCCCGAACCAAGGTTCCAAACTCAATAGTCATTGAAACATCTTGATTTAAGGAATTGGCCCCGTGCTGGTGACGCCTCGACAGTATGCTACCATTATCCGTCCTGATGCCCCAATACATTTGTCCAAAAGGATCTTGAAAAGACTATCCGCCAAAAAATGTTACTTCCAAAAGCTGAATTCAGAATTGGATCCCCAAGTGCAGAACCTTTGTAGAATGGCTTTCGCTCCCACCCCCGAACCGGTCAACCGGTGAGCTCGCCATAGGTCCCAGCCCATCCATCCCTCATCCGACTCCGCCGAGGGCCCCGGCGGCCGATGACCACACCGAACTGCACGCGGGCGCGGCCGTCGGGGCGATCCGCGTGGCTGTGAGCGCCCAGCAACTTCCACTCGTCCAGGGTGATCTGGCTGTCCACGTGGCAGAACCTGCCGACCGATCCGATCGATCCGACCGCTCCGACCGCCTCAAAAATGAAATCATGAACTCGCGGAAGAAGAAAGACGAGGCCGAAAAATATCGGAAAGAAAACACGGGATGGAGGCAAACACTGTATCACCTGTTGTATGGCGGCAAAACCCCAAAGAAAAGAAACAGGAGGCAAACACTGCATTACCTGTTGTATGGCTGGATAGTGGTTGGATGCGCAATGGACTGTCTTGTCACATAGTTCATCGGGGTGATTGTCGCCCGTGTGAAGATCGGGGCAGGAACGTCCCAAAAAAGAGCCACATGTTCCGCTGCAAGCCTGTGATTCCAGTCACAGCTCCGCTTCCTTTGTGATACATTTGCGGGCACAACGAGAAGACGGTTCCAAAGGGTAGAAACAATGGGGTGCTACATTCTGATCGGAGAGCAGGACATACTTTGGGTACCCTCTCTCCCACTAACATAGCACCTGCCGGAGGGTACCTGGAAGATCAATTTGCTCCGGGGACCCTCTGTGAGGTGCCATGTTGGTTGGAGGGAGGGTAAAACAAAAGGGTGTGGGTCAAAAATAGGTGCCCAAAATGGAACCCCGGTAAATGGAACCAAGGACTAAAACCTGCGGTCCCCTGGTGGTTTAATTTTGACCCATACCCAAATGGTGGTGTTTCTCGTGTTCGCCTGAAGGTGCAGGGCAGCATAACTCACTTAAAGTCGCTACCAGAATTAGACCAGGACTAACGTTTAGCTGGCCAATGGGAAAGTGAAGAAAAAACAGCACGGGATTCGGGCCAGACATGCCAAGCTTGGCATGACAAAAGTGAGATCGACCTTCAACATGCACCTGAACGATTGCGGGAATTAGATTGCAACATAGTAAGATCCACAAGTGTACTAGTTTGTTTTCCCCCGGGTAAACATTTCGCAAAAAGCAGGCCACCAAATCTCTATATACCAAGCCCTGAATACTACTAACTGCTTGGTGTGGTTTGCTTTAGTCGGCTGCTTGGCACATATGGTGCGCGCATCCATTAGGATGTGTCTTGAAAACCGTCTTTCGCCTCCTGAACGAATTGATGCCACTTATGTAGTTGAGACCGGATCTACGTATTTACTTTGAGCAGGTACATTTGCTTGCTCTTAACCAGCACTTCTGGGGGACACTTCCCCATTCTTTCCAGAGCTCCTTCTTTCCAGAAAACTATCAGAACCGCAGGGGGAAAAAGCTAGTTTTTGAAAAGAACGATGGTTGAAAAGAATGGAATTGGAATGAACCCCTAGAGCACTGATTGCAAGCTCTTTGACCCTCGGAGCGCGCGGCCCAGCCTGCAAAAGACTGCACGATCCCGGTCGCGCCGGGCGCGCAGGCCTGTGACCATCGTTGGCCACACAAAGTCAGTGGCAACACGGGCATCAGCAGAACATGTGAAAGAGTCATGGCTCCTTCCAGAAAATCATGTTTGGAAGTCCAAACTGTCCCATACAAGAGGTTGAGCGTACCAAAGCTCAAGAAACCAGCGATTGCCCATTGAAGGAAGGCCAAAGGCAAGAGTCTTGAGTCAAGAAAATCCTCCTACAGGTTCGGACCGTCGATTTCCCGAACTCACCGATTGCAAACTCGTGGGACGCGACGTTTCCCAAAATTCAAAACTCGGAGCCCTTGAGGTATTCCCAACTTAGAACAGCGGTTTAGAACAGCTGCAGCTAGCACTTCCCTCCCATTCAACACCCGACATGCTGTGACGTTTGACGAAGGCTGCAGCTCCGCTGGAGCTAAAAGTTGGGTTGCTTCGCTGAAGGGACGCCTCAGCACAGAATCTGTACCGAACCAATATTTGGGTGTGTCTTTTGTCAGGGTACCTTTCTGGCTTTAAAGGACAACAAAAAGATACGCACGCACATTTTGGGGGGTCCCCACCAAACAAATCTACCTAGATCCATTGCTTAGCCTGGCTAAATGTGTTGATGTTCAACCATTGGGTCAAGAGAGTGTTCTCAACAACTTTGCTGGATGACGTTCAATGAAGAGGTTGGAATAAGGGCGGTACCCTTTCTTCTTTAGTCTATTTTAGTAGGGGAAGTCCTCCCCATAGGACCCACGCCATCTGGGTCTGACTGGATGGTGCCATGGTATGACAAGGTGCCAAGCACGATGTTGAGCCGCTGCGTATCGAAGGGAAAGAGGCGCATGTCGATCTCCATCTGCATGATGGCCTTCCATTGGTGTAAGTCCCACAAGTGTTCCATTGGCTTAAGCCCACTGGCTTAAAAAACGACATATTTCCAGTAGTGATAGATTCCCATTCAAACCAGCAAGCGCAAATCAAACGATATTCTGCAGCAAATGCAGTTTTCTGGTTTGGGAACATTTCGTGCTTTTTGTTGATTGACAACAATGATAGTGGTTGAAAGGATTGAATTTTGTTAAAGTTCGTGCAATGGCCAAGGTTGGGCATCCTGACCAAATACATCGCCTAGAGTCGACCCTGCTAAAGGCCGCACGGCGAAGAAAAAAAATGTGCTGGAGCTGCATGAGAGGTTTGAGGCGAGTCTCACACCTCGGGGATGAACCTTCGGATTCCGAGGGATTCGACTTTTGTCTTCCGCCCGACCCCCTCCGTGGGGCCGTGTATTGTGGGGCCAGTGGCCGCAGTGGAACCCGTGACACGCGGGTAATGGGTACAACGAAACGGACAAAGGGGCACGGCCCTCAAGATTTGTGGAAGCCTCCGCTGAAATCTGTTTGCAGTCAATAGGGTGTCAACCGAAAATCAACTTTCAGCTGCTTTTTGAGCCGACTGAACGGCATGCCATTTCGGCTTCGGCGCATCATTCATGCATCTCCATGCGGAGAGTTCTGGCTTGAGACCAGCGTGAGGTTTGGACAGCTGATTCCCAGTTGCGTGTTCTATAAAATCTTCACTTTGTGCAAACGTGCAAACAAACATATGTGTCAGCCTTGTTCTTGGGTTCATCTCAACTAGCTGAGCAGATGCTGCTTGAATCTACGCGAGCACATGATACTATGTCTGTCGACCAACAGTGGATGTCTGTCCGAGCCCGTGTGACGGCTTCTATCACGGCGAATGCTGTCTCCACGGTCGGATTGCTTGATATGTGAGGGCTGATCAATATTCCCTGACCCCAAATGACCTTTAGGGTAACTTTCCCCATTTAGTGTGGTGAAAGTCATTTCTGTCGGTGTTTTTTTCCATCCAATGGTCCTCCCATGTTTTTCACGGACCTGTTGATCAACCCGATCCCGAATTTTTCGTTTCTGCCTGGTAGAGGACCTTGATGGCGACATGGCCCTTCTCGCTGAAGATGATCTCCGGGGGGTAGTGGATCTCCACCCCTCACGTCTCGTTCCATGGGGCAATACAAGCTGTAAACCCATGACACATATGCCTGTGGTGGTCAAAAATAGGCTAACCCCAAAATAGGTTGCCCTGGTAAAAGGAAACATGGACCAGAACCTCCGTTTTTCTTTTCTTTTCTGGTGGCCTAATTTTGACCCACAGCCATAATGCCATGCGTATGTGCCAAATTCAAAGTTGGCCATGGCTCACAACGTGCTCACCGAACTCCAAGGTCCAAGACATCTCGAGACAAAGCCCCGACCGAAGAACTGGTCGAACACCCGCATTGTGTGCTCAAGTGAGGATCCTTCCTGGACCTTCCGACGTACCTGAAATTTCAGCCTCCCCTGGCTTTTATAATTCGCGAGCAAGAACAAGTACAGTATCAACGGAAGGTCCAGGTTGTGGACAAAGTTCGGAAACACTGGGAAGGCAGCTCTCGCGGCAAAATCGTACGGCGAGGTCGGCCAAGGCTTGCCTTTCGAATTGCTGAAGCTGAACGCGAGGAATGAGTTGGAATGACCCTGAAGAAAACAATCCAACTGATACGATTCCTTTAGCGGGACCCCCTTCCGGTTCATTCCCAACACCCGGACTCGGAAAGTCATTCCCTACCTATCGCCTTTCCTTCGAACAGGCCAAGCCTTTGTCCTTGGAAAGAGGGTGCCAAGTTCTTCAACAGTTCTCCAACTGAGCACAAGCAAGCAAACTGTCCATTTGCTGAGAAGGCCCCATGCAAAAAAAATAAAGTCCAGTAGTGATAAATTCCCTTTAAAACCAACAAGGGAGAATAACAAATATGCTCAAGCAACTGGAAGTTCCAGGGGCTTCTGATTTCCCTGCATTCTCATGGCCCCCCGCCCCGTTTTGTGATCCGCCCGCCCCCTCCCGTGATCCGCTCGCCCACCGGACCGAATTCTCTCGGAAATAAGCCGCGCGGCCGGTCTTCAGCGTGTTCTGCAGCGCGATCTCCGGCACCGACAGCTTCTTCCGGTTCTCCTGGTGGATGGCCCGAGGGAAAACCGCGAAGGAAAACGCGGGCAAACGCGGGCGGGAGGAGGCTGGAGGATTCGACTTGAAGTCGGTGGCCAAGGCAAGGGTCTAAGATTTGTCAAACTGCCAGCGGATTTTTGAAACCTCTGAACTGGTTGGAGAAGATCGCCCCACTATCCTTATCTTCAGGAAAATGCCTCTCAGGTCATTGTCGTTACCTGTCTAGTGCGAGTAACCATGGGAACAGGCCGTGAAAAAACACATGAAACATTGCTGGTTATCTGCTACAGTGGTAACTTGGGATCTACTGGGACATGTTCTGTTGTTGCAATGACAGCTCCTTCCCCCGACGCAAAGCCGGCGGGTGAATGGCTCACAAAACTGCCGTCCGCCGTCCTCCGAGACATCGCCGGGGGGCAAGCCGATAGCAGCAGGGTCAAACCACTCCAGGAAGATGAAGAAACGGCATTGGTAGGTGGCCGTCATGGGGTTGATGTTCCGGATCCTTAGACTCGAGGCTTAGTTGGGTCTTGCCCTGAGAAACTGCTCCATTCCCACGGCACGCTTGAAAGAAACAAGCCCAAAGGCCAACTCATTTCATGGCGATCTGTTGCGAGACCGCACCGGAAAAGGACACGCGCTGTGCAATGGCTCCCTCCAAGCACGGAGACGCTTGATTGACATGGGGGCCTTTTCTACATACCATGCCAGCATGCGTCAAGAGAACTGCGCGGCAGCAAAAAGCCAACCAACCTGTGACATGTTGATGCTTGCGAATGACTCAATGGCGTTGTCAAAAGCGCGGGGTGCCAAGACGGATGTCCGAAATTTGGATGTGTGTCAAAGGAAGACACCTATTGGCACAGTGCCAAGAGGAACTGAAACAAGAACTAACGAGAAAAGAAGCAAGCCTTTGTTCCTTTTGACACCATGGGCAAACTCTCCGTGCGCCGGTGACGTTGAGGTCCTGAATACCCTGGTTTGTTCTTCAAGCTCCCTACATGTTCACAGCAAGAAGTGAATTGGCACGGTGGCACCCGTGCTTATCAGCCGTGGCTTTCCAATCACCTTGCCAAGATTGCAAGGCATCAAGAAGCAATCGAAGCCATTGCGAAAAGCCGAATAAGCCCCCAGGTGGTATCCCCAACAGCCCCGGAATCCTCCGGAACAATCCATGAAGCTGCCCAAGAGCACCCCTTATCGCCTATCTGGACCTATCGACACCGTGGCTTTCAGCTGTGGGTGAAAAAGCACCTCCATTTTGAGATCTTGGTCAACGTCAACCCAACACCTATTCAAATATGTCCTTTCTTCATCACTTTAGGCCCTAAAACATGTGTCCTTTCTCCCAAAGTTTAGGGCAAAACATGTTTTCGGTGTCATCCGATTTCCCAGGATCCACCTCGCGACCCAACGGCGAAATCTTCGAGGCGAGGCGCAGCAAGATCTCGCAGGAGCAGGCCACTGCGTTGGTGGCGGGCGGAGGCTTCTTCTCTGAGGCCTCCTTGCCGCGAAAAGGTTGTTTTCACCCCTTGCGTGTGCTCGTAGGTCGAAACAACCTGTAACCCATTCGACCTTCACATGGAGTTTCCGGATTTTCCCCAGTCATGCCTTTTACCTGTATAGTGAGTAGCCATGGTAACCAACTCTAGGTCCTCCAGTAGAGAGGCTAGAACAAGGGTGCCTTTTTTTGGTAGTTTATTTTAGTAGGGGAAACATTCCCAAAAAAAAGGTGAGAAAGGGCACCACTCGGGAACCATGGGAACCAACCTTTTAAAACCAAACGGAAAACAGTGTAGCTGGATCTACTGGGTGCAGGCTTTTGTTCATGATCTTGTCCCTGGCCTGTGGCAACTGGAAGCACGTGCCAAATGCAGAGCATCCACCGACGCATCTCTCGGAGGTCCCTAGTTTTGACACATTCCAAATTGTCAAAGAATGCGAGGGCCGGCAAACCTATAAACAATATGTAGTGTCCTTGTACAGAAAGACAACAACTGTAAGTGGATTAATGTTCCACCTGCATCGAAGACTTTGGTCCTTTCGGTTCCATCCCGTCTCTTGGCTACCTCCGAACAGTATGGAAGGACAAGTGGCCGATTTCTGGACCTGAACTCCTGGTGATTTGCTTGCCATATTAGGTGGCTCGTCTGTTTGAAGTTGGGCCCCTGTAAAGCCAATCGCAAGGTGGTTCCTTCAAAAAAAAAACGCACCCATATCTGTGACCAACTAAGGCGATAGTTGGGACACATGACTCTCCCACCTTCGCCGACGAGCGAAAGGAGAGGATTGTGAAACGCAACACCCAGACAAGCATATGCATATTAATGTTAACCGCAAATGAATAAACGCCTGGTGATTTTGATTGGGTGGTGTCCCCTTTTAGTGGGGATTCCTCCACTTTTGGAGGGAACACCCAAACAAAGCATATCCGTACTCTGGGAAGGTGCTTCAACTGAAAAACCCTTTGGGGGACATCATGTAGGTGGGGTTTTATGTTCGCCAACCAGTTGGGGGGGGGGGGTATTCTCCGTTAAACATCCTATGCCATATATATATATAATATAATATATATATATATACATATATATATATATGCAACCCCCCCCCCAAAAAAAAAAAAAACAGGTTTTGAACCGGTACTAGTACCATCTATGTGTATATATAGCTATCAGGACGTGACCTTTACGACAAGTTCCTCGAGCTCGCCGAACCGAACCGAAGTCCTTGGCCACCATCCGGAAGCGCAGGTCCTGTGGCGAATTCAGGTAAGCCAATATGGGTTGCCCGATCGGTAAGTGAAAACATGGACCAAAACCCGCAGTTTGCCCCTCCTGGTTAATTTTGAGCCACACTCACATTATCTCATGGTGGAAACCAAGGGCTGTGTGATTCTCTTTTGACACTGGCCAATGACAGCTAATTTAAGGCACGCCTACAAACACCTTCACTATGCCCATTGAACAAAAACGTCGCAGCCTTGAAACTTCCTCCAAAACTCCCTCACTTCCCAGTGTTGTGAACCGAAGCAGTGGTGTATTTTTACCCCAAAGATAGATCTTGCCAAAAGCTTGAAGTCCAGGGCTGCCTTCCTCGAGGAAATTTCGCTCCTTAACGGGGGATTGTGGGGTGACGCCGCCCCTCACGCATGATTCCCTTCCACACAGGGAATATGCATGGGGACGGACCCGTACTCCCTCGGCATAGCTGGCAGTACTTTAGTGGGTCGGGATGCATATCCTTGTTGAACAGCAAGCGAGCTCTTCAACAGAAACTCGGCCTGTCTCAGTCTCTTTGGCCAGTTGAAATGAGCCGAGAAGTTTTTGGCAAGTGACCGTAGGAACTCACGGGGCTTGTGTAGCACCATGCAAGCGCCTGTCGCGCCTGTTGATTCCGATGAAGGTAAACTGGCTCACTGGGCATCAATAGCACGTTGGGGCTAAGAAGAAACATCCTTGCCCAGTGCTTCGCGCAATGACATACAAATATGTATATATATGTACATATATACATATATGTATATATATATACACATACATACATACATACATACATACATACATACATACATACATACATACGTACATACATACGTACATACATACATACATACATACATACATACATACATACATACATACATACATACATACATACAATTACATTACATACATACATACATACATACATACAGTGCATTACATACATACATACATACATACATACATACATACATACATACATACATACATACATACATACATACATACATACATTACATACATACATACATACATACATACATACATACATACATACATACATACATACATACATACATACATACATACATACATACATACATACATACATACATACATACATACATACATACATACATACATACATACATACATTACATACATACATACATACATACATACATACATACATACATACATACATACATACATACATACATACATACATACATACATACATACATACATACATACATACATACATACATACATACATACATACATACATACATACATACATACATACATACATACATACATACATACATACATACATACATACATACATACATACATACATACATACATACATACATACATACATACATACATACATACATACATACATACATACATACATACATACATACATACATACATACATACATACATACATACATACATACATACATACATACATACATACATACATACATACATACATACATACATACATACATACATACATACATACATACATACATACATACATACATACATACATACATACATACATACATACATACATACATACATACATACATACATACATACATACATACATACATACATACATACATACATACATACATACATACATACATACATACATACATACATACATACATACATACATACATACATACATACATACATACATACATACATACATACATACATACATACATACATACATACATACATACATACATACATACATACATACATACATACATTACATTACATACATTACATTACATTACATTACATTACATACATACATACATACATACATACATACATACATACATACATACATACATACATACATACATACATACATACATACATTACATACATACATACATACATACATACATACATACATACATACATACATACATACATACATACATACATACATACATACATACATACATACATACATACATACATACATACATACATACATACATACATACATACATACATACATACATACATACATACATACATACATACATACATACATACATACATACATACATACATACATACATACATACATACATACATACATACATACATACATACATACATACATACATACATACATACATACATACATACATACATACATACATACATACATACATACATACATACATACATACATACATACATACATACATACATACATACATACATACATACATACATACATACATACATACATACATACATACATACATACATACATACATACATACATACATACATACATACATTACATACATACATACATACATACATACATACATACATACATACATACATACATACATACATACATACATACATACATACATACATACATACATACATACATACATACATACATACATACATACATACATACATACATACATACATACATACATACATACATACATACATACATACATACATACATACATACATACATACATACATACATACATACATACATACATACATACATACATACATACATACATACATACATACATACATACATACATACATACATACATACATACATACATACATACATACATACATTACATACATACATACATACATACATACATACATACATACATTACATACATACACACATACACACACATACATACATACATACATACATACACATACATACATACATACATACATACATACATACATACATACATACATTACATTCCATTACATTACATTCCATTCCATTCCATTACATTACATTACATTACATTACATTACATTACATTACATACATACATACACATATACAATATACATATATATATATATCATTTGAGACATGGGAATGTGCGGCAACGAGGTTCAGCTTGGCTTGTTCCCATGTTGACGGGAAAGCCACTCTTGAAACCAGCATACTTTGGAGCGATCGATTCCTGGTGTCACCTACCTTGAGACCTGACATCCAAAAAGGGTACCCCGCCCTAGTATTTTAAGACACTAGGTGGTTTTCCTTTTGGTTCCGCCCTCACCCACCCACCCACGCGCGAACGGGGCAACCAATCTCCTTGTGCATACTTGCCACCTGCTTGTAGATGCCCGAGATCTCATCTCCCTGGCACAAAAGCACTCCAGGGACTGGAGGTAGGCTTGCGGGTTTGACTTGGAGAAATCTTCAATCAGCTTCCCTCGTTTTTCGGGCGCTTTGGAGCCGGAGCTGAATCGGTGGTTTGGGATTTGAAGGGGTCCCTGGTTGTAGAAATCATGGGAATCCCCATCCATTTCCCCACCAAACCACCAATTAGAGGGAAGAAGAGGGTGGGGGGTTCCATGCGGCGGCCTAAACCCAGACGGTGGCCATGGGAAATGGACGGTGCGCTTGAAGCTCAAGGGTCGCCCCTCACAAAAAACAGAGAGAAACATGGGCACCACTGGGGGCCTGGGTGAAATAAGCGAGATTGAGTGTCATCCATCCTGACTGGCGGATTTGGTCGCCAACCTGCGCGCAAAGCCATGAAGCCACGAAGCTGCAGCACAGGCAACTCGCACTCCGCTGAAACATGCCACATGCTCGAGACTTGGCCCTCGAAAATAGATTCCCCCCCCAACACAGAAACCATGTTTGATTTCCGCTTGGTTCTCCTTTAAACCAACCCCCAACACAAGGGGTACCCTCTCCAAAAGCCCTGCCCTTGCATCAAAATCCAGTTCTCACTTCCGAAGCGGATGGCAGAAAAAGAAGCTGAACTTCTTATTTGCCGCTACAGTGGTCCAAACCAAAGTGCCTCAAGTCCGAAGCGGACCTCAGGGAGCTCAGTTGTTCAGCGACCCTGCAAAAAAGGGAACCCTTTTCGGGGAAGACCATTTTTAGTGGGGCAGCCACCAAAAACAGGGGAAAAAAGAAAAAGGAGAGAAAAAAGGTGCCACTGAAGAACTGAGGGAGACAAAGAACCCAGCGCCTGCAGTGGATCCGAGGCCATGTTCTGTCGGCTCCTCGCAGGGCTGTCGTTGAGACTCCCCGGCAAGGAGCTCTCTGCGCTCTTCGGACTCATAGGGCCACCTGAGCCGTGCGCGAGTTGGGAACCCTTTTCGGCTTGAACTTGGCCCACATCCGGGGTACACAGAAAGTCATAATTTGAGATTCTGCCTCATGTTCAGTCTACCCTAAAGATTGACATACATTTGGAGGAGTCCAAGTGTGTGCGTGTGTGCGTGTGTGCGTGTCTGCGTGTGTGCATGTGTGGGTCTTGGTCTGTGTCTGTGTCTCTTGTGTCTTGTCTGTGTCTGTGTCTCTGTGTGTGGGCGTGCACGCGTGCAGGCGTGCATGCGTGCATCCGTGCGCCTGCGCCTGCGCCTGTGCGTGTAAATGTGCACGTGCATGTGTATGTGTGTGTGTGTGTGGGTGGGTATATGCATGCGCTTTTGTTGAGGGGGTACCGGTGCCCTTTTTAGCTTGCTTTCGCTGGAAATCAAAGGAGCACTACTGATTGTGGGGTCGCCTATTTTGACACGTGCCCATTTCGTGCTAGCGATCCCCATGCTCCAAGGAACGGCCTAAGCGCACTCCCCAAAAACCAGCAACCAATTGGTTTAATGGTCTTACCGTTACCGTTCTGTAGAAAAAACATGGAAAGTTAAGCAGATTGGGGCAGAAGAACCGCCTTGGGATTTCCAGATCAATGGAACGGCGGAGAATAGACAAAGGAAAAAAATCGGCGCTTGAAGCTTGACATTCTTCTCCAGTACGATTGTTTATGCAAGGCATGCTGGCCTGTTAGCCGCGAACCCATGTCCATCTGAGAAAAACTAAGGCACTATCTCTGGATTCCCCACCAAGCCAGGCTCGCAGAGCCCCTTGGACGAGAAGTAGGACTGACCAAACTGAAGGTCTCAAAAAGTAGGGGATGCGTTGCCCGCTTTCTTCGTGCTTCATCCCAGCTGACACAGGCCAATTACAAGTTCGTTTACTGGGACGTCTGTTCGGGTTGGTGAAGCCAGGGGTCTACCGCGACGAGCAACCAAAAAGAACGGACAAAACACAGCCCACTATCGGTATGATTGAAACTCAGATGAACCATGTGGTGCTCAAATAGTTAGAGTAGAATGGGGTTGCGGGGTGCTTTTCCACAAATTTTAGTCCTGATCAGGGGTAAACTATTGGCAATTATCCTCCCCCCCACTAACATAGCACCTCACAGGGGGTTCCCTGAAGAGAAAACTGATCTTCCAGGTACCCTCCCACAGATCCTAATTTTGTAAGGGCATTTCGCCCCGTATATGTCCCACATAGACTAGGTCCTCCAGTTTTGGAGGTTAGGTTGGTACCCACTTTTTCTGTAGTCTATGTTAGTAGGAAATAGAACCCTCCCAACCAAAAAAGAAGAGTAAAAAAAAAAAACTCCCAACCAAAAAAAAGAAAGGGTTTCATAAAAAAAGAAGGGGGGCACCACTTGCTGGGGGACCCTTTAGGAAACCTCACCCTAGACCCCCGGCCCGTCTCTCTCTCTAAGGGCTGCGCAGGAGGGCACCGAGAGCTGCGAGAAGGCGAGGCCGGAGTTGCGGCCGTCTCAGCGCGTGCGTCTTTCCAACTTTTGGGCGTTGGCGCCCGTTTGTGGGCGGCTTGGTTGTTGTGTTGTTTCCCCCCGTTTTTGTTGTCTTCTTATTCTTCTGTTTTTAAAACAAATTAAATTGGAAACCAACAGGATTCAGGGGGCCCTAAAAAAAAGAGGATACGCCCAAATGGGGAAACCAAAAGGAACACCGCCATTTACCAGGATCCGAAAAGGGGGCCATCTTTTGATACACATCCATTTGGGCGTGTCTTTTTTGAAGGCACTCCTCAAAAGCGGATGTGTCTCTCATCTGACCTCTCGTGCTGCACCGTTGCTTCTTCGCTGTCTCCTCGAAATGTTGGTGCCCACTTCAACGTCTCGGTGTGATTTGTCTTCTTTATGCATCTTGCTGCTTGACAACGCATCTGCTCACTTCTTCCTTGTCCTCTTCAGATATGATAATATGCTTCGCCCTGTTCTTGCCGATGCCATTATCATGATGTGTTATTACCATTGTTCCTTGCTTGCTTCTTTACTCTCAATCTCCTCCTCCTTCATCCTATCGTCACACACAAACAAACACACACTCCTTGTAACACACTCACACTCACTCTCAAACTCGCACTCGAACTTGCACTCTGACTCTCTCTCTCTCTCTCTCAAAAGCAACTGCGCGCTAACTTCAATGACACTGCCCTTGACTGCTCATAAGTATGCTGCCACCCACCAAGCAGCACCTTTGTCCAAAGGACTTGGAAACAACAAAGGTCAAACAGTTGGCTTTCATACATCTGAGACACAGTTCAAAGTCCCTTTGTAGGCAAATGTTCGGAGCATCTCAGTCGGCTCATGCAGAGCTGTATGCATCCAAAGCACTTTCCCTGCCATGTGAGTTGCGCCGGGCCTGCAAATCCAAGCGCATTCACACCGCGCAAACAAGTCGGCCGGCAAGAAATGAAACACACCGCACTGTCCTTCTCCATCGGTGCAACAGTGGAAGGCTTGCCCCAAGAACAAGCCACAGGACAGGAACTGGTTTGCCGAACAAACAACGTGTTTTTGACATGGGCCGGTCTGACCTCTGATATGATGCAGATCTATGACTACAAAACCAGTTGCGAATCAAGGGGAACGGAAAGTAATCCTTGCCGGCTGAATTCGGCACTTTCACTCACTGTAGTAGGTAATCAGGCGAGACAATCGCAATGGAAAGCACAAGGAATGTTCTTGTCCGTTTGTGTTTCATGCCTCTGAACTGTGACACAGTCGGCTATTCGGCTGCGCCAAAAACCAGCTGCGCCTTGCCGCCCATGCTGACGTCTGAGGGCATCTGCGGCAAGCGTGGGCGAAAAACAAACAAACACTTTGATCGGACGCCTGGAAGAGCAATGCTCGGACCGCGCGGGAAGCCAACGGAAACAGCAATTGAATCCCGAACAGCAATAGCATTTGGCTGCTCGGAAACCTCCAAAGGTTTGCGAGCCGTTTGCAAGCCGTTTGATTCACCGTCTGCGATCCGTGTTGTGGTGAAAGACATCCCCCTGCTCATGTTGCTCCCAAAAAAAAGTCAGCCGGGCAAGCACAGACATGTCATGTCAGTGTTTTCCCGCCTTCGGGTTGAGACTAAGTCGCAGGCACCATTGCAGCGTTCAATACAATAGGCATAATGATCGTGAAAGGCTATTCATTCATCAAATCGAGGGCCTCCGTTGACATCTCTTTGATTGTTGCCCAGACTTCTCATCGATGTCTTGTGGTCCCAATGCAGCATATGGCCATGGGTCAAAATCCCGTACCCCCAGTGAACACCCCAACCCCACTAAAATAGGTTCTACAATGGGTGGTGAATTCACCTACCCGAAAAATGGGATCCCAAAACGGTTTTGACCACCACAGCCATATATTTCTAGCGCTTGCACGGCTTCCTGAACTCCAGCCTTCCTGGCCTTATTTAATAGCTGCCTTGTGGTACCGTGGATGGACAAAATCCATTTCGCACCACCTAAGAAACCGTGACAAACCATTGTTTGTTTGTCTTACAGGGGAAGAATCATGTTTAGGTTTCTTTAGGTGGTGCCTAAGAGGATTTCGTCCATCCACAGTATGAATGAGCTGGACCGCAAAACGGCCAGTTGACTGGTGGTCGAAGAGCAACAGGTAAAATCACGACTCTTATCTGGGCTGTCCTGAGATCCCTGCTAAAAGTTTAACTTTTAGTGGGTTGAATATTCTGGAAACCCCCACTAAACGCTAAAAGTCGAAAAAGCTAAGGGGATGGCTGGGAACCACCAATTTATATACGGACTAGGTCATGCTGTTTGGGTGAGCGTCCAAACTATGGACTCCTTTTTTGGTCCGTCTCAAAACGATTGACCACCAGTGTGGATGGGTCAATTTTACGTGTGCACACAGCCACTTGTGAGCCACAGCTGCAACTGCTTAGGGAGGCTTCTTCGTGCTCTCTACCTCTCTTTGGTTAAACAGATCAAACAAACGAAAACGCGTGGCCTCCATACAAGCAACGCTTGCCTTTGGAGCCCTCATTTTGGAAAAGACGAGAGCCCTCACAACGGTGCCGATCAGACCCCCACGTTTGAGGCTGTTCTTTCGTTTCCGGAGGGAAATTACGCACTAAACCCGGTCTGTCAGGGATGTTCAGCCCCCGAACTCTGCGGTTCGCGCCTTGCGCATTTGCTCGGACTGCTGGGCTTCGAACTGAACCAGCTTGGTTTGGTAGCAGCAAGGAAGCCCAGGATACCTCGGCCCGACCGAAGTGGCTGGAATGCGTCTAGGTCCTCCAGTAGAGAGGTTCGAATAAGGGTACCGTTTTTTCCCCCCCGAAAAAGGGGTGAGAAAGGGCACTTCTGGGGGACCTAGGCGTCAATTCGAATGTGCACGTGGTCTGTACTTCCTTGCGAACGGCCTGGCCTTTCCATGATGCAGTATGCGAGTTTTGCCATTGGCCCTTCAAAGGAAGCCATGGGACATATCGCATTAAGTGTCAAATTTTGGGAAGGCCAGGCCTTTAAGAAACCACCTGGAGCCCGAAGAATGAGCGCCTATTTGTTGAGGGCATTTTTCGGATGGTTTTAACAGGGAGCCAGAAGTGGAAACCACGGCCTATTTTGGGGGGCTCCGCCATCTTGAAACAGAAAAAACACACGGAGGGTTGCCTGGTTCGCCATCTTGACGTAGCGTGACCCGCCCTACCGGCCCCTTGGCTCACCAAGGCGCGAGGAGCTGTCGCTGTGTGTCAGCTCCCACACGCCGCGGTCGGCGCGGAAGTTCACCTTGAGGGACGGAGAGGCGTGGGGTGGACTCGGGTGGATTGGTCAGAAAACGTCGACCCCCAGACCAACATAGACTAGGTCCTCCAGTAGAGAGGGTAGAATCAGGGTGCCAACTTTTTTTTCTGTAGTCTATTTTAGCAGGGGAACCCTCCGCCCAAAAACAAGTTAAAGGGCACTACTGGGGGACCTAGTAGAAGCTCCCGAAGGGACCCCGAAGGGTTGAAGGGACCCCTAAGTCGACTTCAGACACCATCTCCAAATCTAGAAAATTTCGACCTCAGACTAACATAGAAGCTCCCGAACGGACCCCGTTAATTAGAAAAACCTGGGGTTCCATGTACAGAGGCTCGGGGAGCTTCCATGTGAGTCTGAGGGAGGCGAAAGTTTAAACTGCTGACTAACTGGTTTCCAAAAAACTGAAGCCACACCCGGGGAGGAAGTTGGGCAAACATGGTTGAGCCAATCAAATGCTGAAACCCTGAAGGAGCACCTTAACTCAATAACAAGATGTTGCCGCAACCCTAAACATATTAGGCTTCCAAAGTCAAGCAACCAATATTGCATACACATAGAAGTTCCAAGTCAATCAAAGTACTGTCTGATGTTGGTTGAAGTATTGGTTCAATACTCTTAGTGATATTTCAGACTTGGATGATGCTCCCCCACGACTACCCAAGTTGCGGGACCCAGATGATGGCTCACTATGGGGAGAAGATCGTGATGCAAGGCATTACGACCAATAAACGGTTGAGTGGCTTCGCTTCGAAATAGGGCACCCCAAAATGGATTTGTGTTTCCCTTGTAAGTCATCATCAAACCCCGGTATTAAAATGCTCGTATTCCCTGAACCATGCTTCAAGAATTAAGAAGCCGGATATCCGCAACGATTTCTGGCTGGGACTGGCCCTAACCTTCCTCTGCCCGAATCGGTTTTGAGCACGTGGCTCTTGTGGTTGCCCTTTGAAACCAGCCAACGGGAGGGCTTCAGAAGCCGTGCCACGTGCCACATGCTAGCGGACTTGGTCGCATGCCCTCTATACGTCCGCGCCGTATCTGTCTGGCTGGCCGATATTTTTGGTTGCCTTCGTAGATATCTCTGATGTAGGGCCATTTGGGGTCCCATATTGGTCATCAAGACTGGGCTGGCCCCGCGTCCGAGAGAACAACAAGGTTAGAATAAGAGCGCCCTTTGTTTATAGTCCATTTTAGTAGGGGGATTCCTCCCCCCCCCCAAAAAGGGTAAAAGGGCACTACTGGAAAACGGGGGACCTAGACAATAGTCTTCCTTCACGCTTGCACATTAACAGAAGGCTACTGATCGTAGGTGATGCCCCCGACACCTCATCCCGTGGTTCGAAGACACCCAGCAAAAGGAAAAAGGGGAACCCGTACCATGCTTGGCGTCATGGCGTTTGCCCTTTCGAGATTCTCCAAAAAGGGGGTCCCAATAAAACCAGCACTTTTTGCTGCGATCCGACCCCATCTTGTGGAAAGCTTGAAAGGGAAACACGTGTCAACCTGCAAGCTCACCATTTTGTGGGGCTGTATCTTAGGGAACAAACATGAGTGTCTGTCTTGGTGTCACCCCCCTTGATTTCAAAGGAAAGCCAAGAGGAAAAAAATGGTTTTGAGCCTTCCCCCCCCCCCCGCCCCAACCCACATCTTTCCACGAAGTCGCCATGCTCCTCGCGTCCCCCAAACCGAAGCCGAAGCCTGGCAAGCCCCCAAATTTCCAGATTTCCATGGGAGATTCAGTTGCGAAACCTGTGGTTGTTGATCGAAATGAAAGGGACCCCCCTGCAAAACCTCAGGGGAAAAGGGCACCAATAGGTGTCTTGAAGGCTGTAAGCGTGCGCGTGTTTGAAGCTGTTTGGATTTGAGTAGGAGAAAAAGGGGCGTTGGCTGACCCAAAGGAGTGTTCTGAGCCCAACAGCCTAAGTTACGCGCAAGGGCATGGCCAGCGAAGGATCTCTTCGCTTTCATGAGACATGGCCATCGACGATGGCCATGAGACATGGCCATCGACGATGGCAAGGAGGTCACCCGACGAGGTCGGGCCTAGAGGATTCACCAGGAATCGCATGGCCGGGTTGCGATGGATGCACCTCGGAGACATGGAGCACTTTCGAAGGGTCTGAAGGGTCCGATCGGAGCTCTTTTTGGCAGATCTGGAGCCGGAACGATGGAAGTTTTGTGCCCTGGAAGCGCCGGAAGAAATGCTCTAAGCCCTGGAACCACCGGAAGAGGCTGGAAAATTTGCGCGCTGCGGCTCTTTGATCCACCTCTTCTCCGTGCCTGATGCAGCTTGGTGGATGGACGGATGGTCACCAGGGACGGCGGATAGGCGGACGGGGTAGCCTTGGCTTGATAGCCTCACTGGCTGCAGCTGTAAGGCTGGCTTCCTCAAGCACCCCCGACCAGGAGTACAAGAGCGGTGGAGATCCAACGGACACCTCCTTCTTCGTGCCGCCCGCTACCCGCTCTCACTGAGAGTGCACATATATATATATATATATATGGGGTGTAAGAAAAACAGTTGGAAACGGCGGATATGAGGCAGAGACTGCGTGAAGAAATCAGGACCGCGCTTCGCCTGGAACGGATCCAGGAGAGGCACCCAGATTGCCATGGAGCAGAAGGACGTGGCGGTCGACTGCGTCTTCAAGGCCTTCATCTATTTCGGGGTTCACGTCCAGGCGGAGGAGGGGCGACACCCGCACCTTTTTAAGCCGAACGTGAGCCAGCCGGCGCAGCAGAAAACGAGTGCCTTCATAAAAGCCGCAGACTACACTCTAACACTTTAATTGGGTCAGGCCACTTTGTTGGACTCGTTTCTCGTTTTCCTCAACATGCTCTTGGCCACTGCCTGTGACGGCGACATCTGCAACTTGAGAACGTTCTTTTGACGCCGTGTCGGTTCTGGGCATGACCGACCCCCAAACCCGCAGGCCGGAAGCACAAGTCTCTGACAAGTGGGCAACGGGAGCCGTGCGTGGTTGAAGCCTTTTGGATTTGAATTCGAGAAAAGGGGCAGGGGGATTCTGGGCTTTTCCCCTACCCGAATGATGGGTGAACCTGAAAGAAGACACGACAGAACGGGCCAGTGTCTATGCTATAATACTTCACGCGACTTGGTTGTATGCCTGCACACTACCCAGGTTCCTCAATGTTGACAAAGCGCAATTCTCACTGCTTTTCATGCTGGCTGGACGAGTACTTCTGCTACCCGCTAAGCGGCCTTCCAGTTGACTCTTCACACAAATGTTCGCAATAGAACACATTGTGATTCGAGTTAGGCCCAGTTGTAGAATGTATATTTTAGTGTTTGATTCACTTTGAGTCACTGAGAAAATGCAAAATGTATCCTAAGTCTACCGCAGACATCAAGCTATTTGAGGCAACTTGTGCAAAGCAAGAATCGCTTCCTCCAAACCCGGCAAGGTGAGGCACGGCTATGCGTGAACCAAACTTCAAGTTGTTTTTGGCACACGCAAACCGGTTGTGCTCTTCATGTCAAACCGAACAGCATGGGGAAACAAATCCAAACAAAACCTAGTCAAGCTCTTCATGCTTGATTACCTGCCTATAGTTGTGTGACAAGTACACATCCTATCAATTTAATGAATTCGCCGGTACACGAACCGAGTAGATATTGAGCCTCACGCTGCGGCCCCTTGGGGGTTTTTAGGCAACTTTCTATGCAGCCTGTAGGCAAGGGCCCCGAAAGTAAGGTGACCATCTGCGGCAAGCTGAATGCCTCGTTGAAGAATGCCTCGTGTCTGGCCCCATGTTCCCCCCGTTTCGGCGGATTGAAATTGCCAACTCTGCACTCTGCACTCCTAGGTCCTCCAGTAGAGAGGTTGGAATAAGGGTACCAACTTTTTCCTGTGGCTATTTTAGTTTGGGAACCCTCCCCCAACAAAGGGTTATCAGGGCACTAGTTACTGGGGGACCTAGACTCTTACCGCCTGCGGTTTCCAGCCCAAGCTCGGCAAGCTGGGGGCACTTCCCCTGCAAAGGTTGATCAAAATTTGATGGCGGTGACCAGAAACCGCCACTGTTGGAGGTTCCAAAAAAGAACGCGGAGGAAACCCTGCAAAGGCGAGAACCACCTGTTTGAGCTTGTCAAAGCCGCCCATGGTTTGAACTGGCGCTTGTCTACCGTTCAAGGGTACCAGGTTCCAGTTTCAGCCCATCGCCAGCCCCGAACAAGCTCCCACGCCTTGCTGCGACACGGCTCGACTGCCATCCGGGCGGTTCAGGACTTGCTCGTTTTCCTGTCAGAGCCATGTGGAGAATACGTGGAAGGGCCCTTCGGAATTCGGACCAGCGCAGAAAGAAACATAGAAAAAGGAATCCGCTGGCAAGATAACCCAGCTTCCACAAAGCAACTCCGTTCAGAAGCTTCCATGCTTATTTTAGACTTGCTTGTTTTTGTGCGCAACTACGTACCTTGGTGTACCACACGCTGTTTGCGAGTGTCCGCAGCACGAAACAAAAACCAAAACAAACACAAAGAGAGAGAGACACAGAGTCTGCAAGCGCCACTTCAACCTTGCAAAGGCTCTGGCTGCAGTGCTGCAGTCTTTTTGCTAGGGAAGCGGCCAGGCGGGAAACCTACGAGAAAACTGCCATGAACGCTTGTTGTTTGTTTTCAGGAGACCCCCACCCCCAAAAAAAAAAGAAACAAGTGGTTTTCTGTTGGTCTTCCTTCAAAACAACAAACAAAGGGGTGCCCGCAAAAAGAGAGACACCCGTATTGTTTGTTTCGCTCAGACATGGAAAAGCATGTGTGTCGCCCCTGGGTTGTCATGCGAGGGTACAATCTCAAGCTAACAACGGATCAACAATGATTTGCCAGTTCCTTCTTTGAACAGGCCTTTCATTTTTAACCAAGACTTACGGTCACTGTTTGCCGAGCAACACGCCACCCCGTCAAATATCTCAGGTTGGGAATGTGAACCCTTAAACAGTGACCTTCTTTGACCCTATGTGTCAGCCTATTCATGATTAGACTGAGGCCCAGGTATAGAATGTATATTCTATTGTTTGCTTCCCGTGGAGTCACTGGCAACATGTATAATGTATCCTAAGTCTACCCCAGTATGGGTGAATCCGAAAATGCCATCGGTTCCCTTCCACCCGCCCCATCCCCACCTGGAAACCATCAACCTTCAGCTGCACCAGCGAGGAGCAGATCACCCGCCGGACCTGCGACTCAGAGGACCGCCCGAACTACCCATGCCACGAGTCTCCTAAACTTCCATTTGGTTAAGACCCCGGAAAAATAGAAAATTGTCCAGTATACTATATGTTTCCTTTTAAAACCAACAAGGGAAACAAGTATTCCAAACCAAATGGAAGTAACATATGGGGCCCAAGGATCTCGTGAGATCCCCCCTACCTTAAGGGGGAGGGGGGTGACATGGAACCATCAATGGAATTCCAGGGGTCAGCACCCTCCCCGATTCCATTTTTCAGGGGGTGGGGATGGAACGAGCAAGCCACAAATCCTAGATGCCCAAAGGAATTGCACTGCTTTGTCGTTGGCCACCGCTCCCTCCGCCCAAAGACCAGTGCCACCTGAACGCCGACCCCATGGGCCCCATGGCCGATAGTTCCTTGGAAGTTACACAACTCTGACATTTCCGTGGTCCTTACCTTCTCTCCCACGTTGCCATGGCACCTGACAAGGGGTCCCAAGAGGAAACTGATCTTCCAGGCACGCCCACAGGTGCCAGGTTTGTGGGAAGGGTATTATCTGAGCGCTTCCTGCGGCTTTCTGGTGATTCAACTTGAACAAATACGCACGCGTGCTTTTCCATCAATTGGGACAATTGGGGGGCGGGTAGGAAGCTTCTCGCTTCTGGAGCATGTCTCCGGTATATCCATGTTTTTGGGAAAGATGTTTTGAACATGTCCAAAACTCGTGATTGAGATATGCTAAAGCTTGGTGGTTCACGAATCCCACAAGTTAAGCTGTTAGCTGGACATGTCTCAAACCCCGAACTCCGAAGGTCTAAAAGTCTTAGTGCCAGGGCGGGTCCCCCGTCCCCCTCCCTCCCCGGCACCCAAACAACCGAACTTTGGTTCCACCCAGCAGCCAACCAACCCCCACTCCAAACACACCGACCCCTTGGAGTTTGAAACGGAAAAGCGTCTCACTTCGAAAGCCGAAGAAAAAAACAAAAAAAACGTGGCTCGCCTTGCCGGAGACCTCCTCGCGCTCCAGCGTGGAGGCGCCATTCTTGAGCTCGCTGAGTAAGGACTCCAGGGAGGTCTTGGTGAACCTAAGAGATCTGCCAGGTCCTCCAGTAGAGAGATTCGAATAAGGGTGCCAACTTTTTCTGTAGTCTATTTTAGTAGGGGAACCCTCCCCCCAAAAAGGGTAAAAGGGCACTACTGGGGGTCCTAGTCTGTCAAGAAAGCGGTGGATGTGGCTTGTAGGATATTGAAAAGTTCCAAAACATATTGCTTACAAAGAACCAACAGGGGGAAGAACAGGTGAAATCCACAAAAGGCGCACCCAAACCGTTTGCGGGAGTCTGCCTCGTTGGGCAGACAGGAAGAGCTTTTTGAGAAAGCCACCGGTTTTGTGTTTGGTTTTGAAAAACAAATTAAGACAGCCGTACGGGCACTGAACAAGCCATGCACAAATATGCAAACCCTTAAATCGCCAACCAACAACAAACCGCCTCGGTCGAAAGCCAAAAAACGTGTAACTTTGACGTGAAGGGCATGCTTCCTGAAAGAATCGGAGTCCTTAAATGGTTTCGTCCGTGAATTGGGCACTCATCAGAAACACAATGCAAGTTTCTGGCATGCCAACATCATGAGTAGTCTACTTTTCTGGTTGCTTGCACCAGGTTGGCAGAGGCGGACCTGTCAATGTGCCCTATCCTGCCTGGATGTTGGGTCTTCTGGGAGGGCTGGTGTGCACTGACGAGGAAAGCATCTCCAAACTATCTATCGTTTATATGCACCTGACTGAGAGGACCTCGAAGACGATGTTCCTAAGGGACCATTTCTCTGGTAGGTTCCAGACCATGTCTTTTGTGGGTTCCAACGACAAATTTAGCAACAACTGCCAGGATAACACCCTTTTCACCTACATTTTGGATTTACGGCCTCAGTTCGAGAAGGCTTTCAACAGAACAAATCTACAACGACAGTGCAGGTCGCTAGACTGGTACAGACCACCCGAAAAACCAGCCGCGAGAGTCGGGTTCTGTTTGGGACACGAGCTGCGTCTGACCGTCGCGTGGATTTCTGCTGGAAGCCTGGGAGTGCTGCATTGAAACGTTTGGATCAGCCGCTTGGCAACAATCGAAACCATGGGACAAGCGAGCTGTCACAGAACGTGACTGTTCTCCGGGGGAAACCCCAAAATTATACTTTTCCTCTTGGTTTTCCTCTCAAACTCCCCGGGCGAATTTCTGCCAAGCAGCATACCCCATGTGCTCACGTTTACTCCACCGAACTCCAGCAGCACACCTCAGCCAAGTACTCTCTAGGCTTCTGGAACATTGACTGTTGAAAGCCGGGCACTGAACATTGACTGTTGAAAGCCGGGCGAGCTCGCTACAAAACGCATACAAACTATATCCCCGAAAGCAAACAAATCGCCACAAAGGCCAAGAGGAGACCATGCTCTTTGCCGCGAAGGCTCATGCGCAACAAACGCAATTGATTCAAGGGATTCCAAATGCTTGGCAACTTGACGACCCATCATGTATACCGGATCTCGACATTGATCCACACACCCAAACATGTGGTGCTCAAAACCGCGCTCCCCAACAAACGGCTGTTCACCTCAAGGAGTTTGCGTTGCCCTGTGTTTCAGGGAGTCCCTGCCGAGGGCCCAAAGTTGCCATTTGCCACTTCAGGGTGACTCGAACTCATGTTGCCATGTGGCTGTGGGTCAAAAATAGGCACCCCAAATGGCTTGCCCAGGCAAATGGAAAGAAGGACTAAAATCTGCGGTCCGATTCCTGGTGGTTTAATATTGACCCACACCCATGTGTTGCACCATCTGCAGCTCACGCATTCCCAAGTTCACTAGCCCTTGGTCAGCATGGAAACAAGCTCACGATCTTGACGAAGGCTGGAGCGACAAAGGGCCATGAACTGAGGCATGGAACATGTCATGCTTTTGGCTTTGTGTATAGTGGTATCCTACCATGTACAATCACAGAAATTGGTTTAATGGGCCAGGGGAAGGGTATAGATCATCTACCAAATTCACATTGTAAGATTGGAGGTACAATGCATGTTGTCGTTTGCCTACATCGCCTTTTCAATGTTGGGTGATGTTGAAGAACCCTGACTTGCCGCTGGCAAGAGCTCCTGGCGCATTCTTGATTGCTTCATCGAGGGGAGATCTTACCATCTGAAATGGCAAGGAAGTTGGTTGCACTTAAACCGTCCTAAAGGGAGTCCACCTGCATTTCAGGAACGCCTTCGCTTGGCTTTGACCACTTGGGAAACTTTCTCTGCAAGCAGGTTGGAAGATATTGTTGTCGTGTCGGCCACCCTTCAGAAACGCCATCCCCTGGTAGAGGGGGTGCCAAGCTTGGATACTGAGTCGTGGCTGCACTCAAAGTGGCAAACCTGTGTCAGCCATGCTTCAGCCAACAAAAGTCTTGAGCCAGTCTCATGCATCCAGCAGCCCTGAAACCGGCGGGCACCACTGAATGCAGGGCATTGAACAGCCGATTGAAGCTTCGTGTCCTAAGCCAAAAAAGACAGCGTCTTGATTTGGATTGGTAGGAACTGGGGATTTGAACTTGGTTAAACCCTGGTTCTTGTGGGCAAAAAAGGGAAGCCGCCCCAGAACACCTCCTCACCACCGGGCTCCAAAGCGACCAATTGAGGGAAGCTGATCTAGGTCCTCCAGTAGAGAGGTTCAAATAAGGGTACCAACTTTTTTGGTAGTCTATTTTAGTAGGGGAACCCTCCCCAACAAAAAGTGGGTCAACGGGCACTACTGGGGGACCTAGCTGATCTAAGGAGTGTCCGAGCAGCGGAGATCGCCGGGGTTGTCCGGGACTTCCACCTGCTGCCAGACCCCCGCATCTGTCTCCTGACCGGCCGGGTCGGCCGGGTCGCATGGGTCGAAACGCTTCGGCCCGGCCGCATTCGGGCAAAGGAGCTCTGTGCAAAAAAGCATTGCTTGGTTGGGTGGTTGGTGGGTTGGGTGGGTGGTTGGTTGCTTGGTTGGGTGGTTGGTTGGTTGGTTGGGTGGTTGATGGTGGTTGGTTGGTTGGTTGGTTGGGTGGTTGATGGTGGTTGATGGTGGTTGGTTG